TAGAGGGGGGTGGGGATTACCGTGCTCCGCTCCTGCCTGCTGCTGCCAGCTGCTCCTCAGTGCTGTTCGCTGGGCGAGTGACTGAACACAAGAGAGTCTGTGCTCGCGGCGTGATTTGGACGGCGCACAGGCGGAGGAGGGATGGAGGAAGATGGAAGAGGGAAAAGAAGGTGTGGGAGGGTGGTGTGAGGTATAGTACAAGATGATAAGAACGGCAACAGATTATAAAAGTGGGATGTCAGGAGTGAGAGAGGCGAGAAAAAGAAGATCGGCACAAGGAGGAAGGACAATTAGAATTTAAGGCAGTGAAGATATAGTGGGATGGATTGTAAGGCTGGTCAAGAATAATGAATAAGAATAGTAGGACAATTTTTGTTTTAAAAACTGAAGGGGTCAAGGAATGAAAGACAGAGAATCAGTCTTTTGGGCCCCAGAATAAAATTTCGCTTATCACCATTTTCTTAAAAGAGAGTTACCTAGCTCTCTGACGAACCACATCGTTTTTACAGTTATTTCATAAGCATTTTAAACTGTTTTTTAAGACTGTTTGGTTTTTTTCCTGCAGTTACAAGCATCCCTGGGTTTCCATTCCAATCTGTACGATATAAAAATCAACTAGCAGACTCCTGAAAACTTGCCTTGTATTGTCAACAGTAATAAAATAAAGCAAAATTACTACATTCTAGCAATCTGCCTTAGTTTAATGAATTTGTTTCCCTATTTTTGTCCTGATTTTTTCTCTCTTTCCAGTGCAAGTTTTCATGCTTCTTATGACAACTGCGGACAATGATTACTGGAAATCGACCAGCTGCCCAGCGCAGCTGCATCACTTTCTGCCTCAGGGTAAATTCTATTTGGACAGATATAGGAACGGAGACATGAAGTGAGAGAAAGGTGGAATGAGACATCAGGGAAGAACATATGTGCTTTCCACTATCACATGCGTCCCACACAATTCACTCCGTTTAATACATAGGCCCTAACTGGTGTCTTTAACACCAATGAATTTTTACATTACTGGAAAGTCTGAAGGACATTACAGAGAGGGTAACACCTACCGGATAACGTAAGATGTGGGAGTGTATAGATGAAGCTAGATGGATATCGACAGGGTTTGGTGGCGGAGGTTAGGTGGTTGGGAAGTGCACCTGCTCAAGTAGGGTCCAGACCACTTTTAACATGCGTGAAATTATCTCTATTGGTATCTGCCATCTTATGCCTCTGTTGCTATGTTCCTTGCAATTGTGGGTGGAGTTTGTAGGTTTATGTGAGTGACATTCACTTCTTGGTCAGCAAAATCAGCAATCAAGTACATTTGACAAAATAACACGCCTAAGAAAAGAGAAATGAGAGAAGTTTTTGGGCCACATATAAAGAAATCTTGTAGATAGGGAACTTTTTTACTTTCTAACTGGAGGACCAGTGGAGTCAGTTGTGCTTTATTACTCACGAATAGAAAAACTTTATCTTGTAAGCAACATTTTGAAAATGCACCACAACATCAGACCTAATTTTTTAGTTCAGTCATACTAACAAGAACTCATTAGCAATCGGCTTTAGAGATGCTTACTTTAAACACATAAAAAACAATAAAACATTTTTGAACCTGTTTCACACACTCAAAAAGTTTGGTGATCAGCTATAGGTCGCTGATTTTTTAGGGTTCACCATTCTCAAATATGTGTAAACAAACCAACTCCTCAATAGACAGAATTCATTGGACAACTGGTGATATGAAAGTGTTTTCAAATCTGTGGTTGGTTCTGATTATTCTATGGTCATTCGATAGTTTAGAGGACTTCATGGAATTTTAATGGGCAAAAATGTATTTATGTATTTTCTTCAAGGGTGGAAAAATGACAGCTGTTGTTCCCACAGCAAACATTGTAAGAGATTGTTTTGTTTACCATATTTTGAAATGGTAGAAACTGAAAAAGCGACTATAGCGATCACCACTTTGATTTGACAGAGTTCAAACTGTTATGTGTTATAAAAGTAAGCATTCGCTACAAGCCTCATCAATGAGTTCTTGTAGGTAGTGCTGAACTAAAAAATTGGTATGTTGTGGTCATGATTTCATAAATGTTGCTACAAAGAGTATAAAGTTTTAATCTTATAATAAAGCACAACTGACTCCACTGGATCCTCAGTTTAAAGTAAAAAAAGTTCCTCTATTCTACAGATTTCTTTAATGTGGCAAAACTTCTCTCCATTTCTCTTTCTAGCTTATTTTGTCATGTACTTGATTGGCTGATTTGCTGACCAAGAGTGAATGTCACTCATAAAACCTACCACTCCACCAATTGCAAGGACATAGCAAACCAGAGGCAATAAGTAGGCAATACAATAGAGATTAATTCAGCATGTTAAAGCTGTCTCTGGACCCTACTGAGCAGTGTCCACCTCCTCCAACCACCCTCCCCCCACCCCTTCATATCCATCTATTCATCTATACACTCCCACATTTCATCCGGGGTGTTACCTCATCTGAATGGCCTTCAGCATTTCAGTAATGAAATCTCATGGTGTTAAAGAACCAGTAGGCCTATGATTTAACGGAGTGAATTGTGTGGATTATGGAAAGCAAATGTTCTCCCTGACTGTCCATCCCCTTCCTCCTCATCCATCCGTCTTCCATATCTCCATAGATAGAATTTACCCTGAGGCAGAAGTGGGCAGCTGCCTGGGCCCTGTGATTTCTCCAAAATCATGTCCCAGTTCAAAGAAGCATGAAAACTGCAATGGAAAGAAGAGAAAAAAAATAGGACAAAAATAGGAAACAAATCATTAAACTAAGCAGATGCTGAATAGTAATTTTGCTTATTTTACTACTTTACTCAGGCAAGTTTCAGGAGTCTGCTAGTTGATTTTTATATCGTACAATTGAATGGAAACCAGCGGCTGCCTGGAACTGCAGGAAAAACACCAAAAGTCTAAAAACAGTTTAAAATGTTACTTGAAAATGAACTGTAAAACACGATGTGTCGTTCAGGAGCTGGTATACTCCTTTAAAAAATGGTGATATCAAATTTTTTCTGGGGCCCAAAAGACTGATTCCTGTCTTCATCCCTTGACCCTTCAGTTTTTAAAAAAAATTTGTCCCTCCCACTATTCCATCATTCATTTCATTTGAGTACCCCTCCTCCTTCATCCATCCTTCCATCTATTGTCCCCTTCTTCTGTCCATCTTTCCTTCTTTCTGCCCTCTCTCCCTCCTGCATCCCACTTTTATATCTGTTGCCTTTTCATCTGATACTCCACCCACCCTCCCACCACCTCTTTCCCTCCCTCTCTCCCTCCCTCCCTCCCTCCCGCCTGTGGCGTCCACACACCGACCGGAGCACAGACTCTCTTGCTGTCAGTCACTCGCCCAGCGAACAGACGGCAGCGGCAGCGGGGCGCGAGTCCGCCGACCGCTCCGTCACCGTCAATCGAGTCAGATTTGGCCGCTTGTTTCCGCGTCTACATCCCCGTCTTTAATCATCACCGCTTCCCATCATGTTCATCCACAGTCTGGGTGTGAATTTAGCCTCGATCTAAAATCACAAAGACCCAGAAAGGGAGGGGGGGTATCCAGCCGCACAGGTGTCCCGCGAGGTTTTGTTCCCCTCCTGCCTCCGGTTTCTGGGTTTTGGAGAGGGGTGGGGTGGGTGGACTGAGGGTGAGGGGGGTGGGGGGGATTACCGTCTCCGCTCCTCCTGCTGCCGCTGCCGCTGCCGTCTGTTCGCTGGGCGAGTGACTGACAGCAAGAGAGTCTGTGCTCCGGTCGGTGTGTGGACGCCACAGGCGGGAGGGAGGGAGGGAGGGAGAGAGGGAGGGAAAGAGGTGGTGGGAGGGTGGGTGGAGTATCAGATGAAAAGGCAACAGATATAAAAGTGGGATGCAGGGAGGGAGAGAGGGCAGAAAGAAGGAAAGATGGACAGAAGAAGGGGACAATAGATGGAAGGATGGATGAAGGGAGGAGGGGTACTCAAATGAAATGAATGATGGAATAGTGGGAGGGACAATTTTTTTTAAAAACTGAAGGGGTCAAGGGATGAAGACAGGAATCGGTCTTTTGGGCCCCAGAATAAATTTGGTATCACCATTTTCTTAAAGGAGCATACCAGCTCCTGAACGACACATCGTTTTTACAGTTCATTTTCAAGTACATTTTAAACTGTTTTTAGACTTTTGGTGTTTTTCCTGCAGTTCCAGGCAGCCGCTGGTTTCCATTCAATCTGTACGATATAAAAATCAACTAGCAGACTCCTGAAACTTGCCTGAGTCAAAGTAGTAAAATAAGCAAAATTACTATTCAGCATCTGCTTAGTTTAATGATTTGTTTCCTATTTTTGTCCTATTTTTTTCTCTCTTTCCATTGCAGTTTTCATGCTTCTTTGAACTGGGACATGATTTTGGGAAATCACAGGGCCCCAGGCAGCTGCCCACTTCTGCCTCAGGGTAAATTCTATCTATGGACAGATATGGAAGGACGGATGGATGAGGAGAAGGGGGATGGACAGTCAGGGAAGAACATTTGCTTTCCATAATCACACACAATTCACTCCGTTAAATCATAGGCCTACTGGTTCTTTAACACCATGAGATTTCATTACTGAAATGCTGAAGGCCATTCAGATGAGGTAACACCCCGGATGAAATGTGGGAGTGTATAGATGAATAGATGGATATGAAGGGGGTGGGGGGCAGGGTGGTTGGAGGAGGTGGCACCTGCTCAGTAGGGTCCAGACAGCTTTAACATGCTGAATTAATCTCTATTGTATCTGCCTACTTATTGCCTCTGGTTTGCTATGTCCTTGCAATTGGTGGAGTGGTAGGTTTTATGAGTGACATTCACTCTTGGTCAGCAAATCAGCCAATCAAGTACATGACAAAATACAGCTAGAAAGAGAAATGGAGAGAAGTTTTGGCCACATTAAAGAAATCTGTAGATAGAGGAACTTTTTTTACTTTAACTGAGGACCAGTGGAGTCAGTTGTGCTTTATTATAGAATTAAAACTTTATACTTGTAGCAACATTTTGAAATGCACCACAACATACAATTTTTTAGTTCAGCATACTACAAGAACTCATTAGCAATGGCTTTAGAATGCTTACTTTAAACACATAACATTTTGAACCTGTCAAATCAAAAGTGGTGATCGCTATAGTCGCTTTTTTCAGTTCACCATTTTCAAATATGGTAAACAAACCAATCTCTACAATGTTTGCTGTGGGAACAACAGCTGTCATTTTCCACCCTTGAAGAAAATACATAAATAACCATTTTGCCATAACCTAATATGAATGAAAACATAATAATCAAACCAACCAAGATGAAAACACTTTCATACACCAGTTGTCCAATGAATTCTGTCTATGAGGAGTTGGTTGTTATACATATATGCATTCACTATTGGTTATACCAGATGTCCCTGTTATCTTGGTCTTCTTCTTCTTCTTCCAATAAATGCATGGATAAAATATGTGAACAAATGTTATCAGTAGTGAGGTTACACAGCCATTTTGTGAACATCTGTTTACAGATACACAGCAGAAAAACTGCATTTAAAACTCAGTGCTCAACACAGAACCACCTGCCCTCTGACTGGACTGTCATTGTCCAATCAGATTCAGGTGTAAAAACAGGATCAAAATTCATACTCATAACTTCAGTGTCACACAAAGTGTGGGAATTTCACTGCCCAATTTTACAATGTGTAAAGTGTAAGTATAAAGTAGCGTGAAATGCAAATACTCAAGTTAAGTACAAGTAACTCAAAATTGTACTCAAGTATAGTACTAAGTGTAAGTGTACTTAATTACTTTCCACCACTGCTAATACAATGACTAAGACCACATGTACTGTAGTTTAATATTATTCAATAACCCAACCAGGTAAAACTCCTGAATTCCTGAATGAAAATAAAGGGTGTTCCATATCAAAAATGTAAAACACTAAACCACCACACAAAACACTATTAAAATGAAATAAGGCACTCTATATTAATGCCAAAACTTATCTCTAGAGCAACCAATCCTTCATTGTCTCACCGCTCATGACTGTTTGCTAAAATTAGATGATGTATGAAATTTCATAATTGTTAATCAAATGACAACATTGGAAATGACAGGGTGCAGCACCAGCTAGCTAACATTACTTAGCTAAAGCGTAACTTAAGGCAAAAGTTAGAAATTAGCTAGCATTAGCTATCATCCGTACATACGTGACACAATCTACTTCAGAAACTCTGACAGTAAGAAAGTAAAGTGTATTTAACAAGCTAGATAGTTAGCTAATGGATAGTGTAGGGTCTACATAGGGGGGCAGAGATCTGAAGACACTGAGCCACTTATGGGAGCGAGACAGGCAGACGACAAAATCGTACCACAAGATTCTTGCAGGCATGAATGAAGGGAAGATATTGTAATATTTACAATGCTACCTTTTTTTTTTAGCCTTTTTTTAGGGGGTACAGGTATTTGGGTTTTTTTCTACAGTACCGTAGGGGGGCTGACGAGGGCACACTACAAGCGTCCTAGTCTGACATTAAACTCGAGCAGAAGAAGAAGGCAGGCACAGTATACAACAACAACATGTGGAATGGCAGCAGTCAGTGCGGATTCTGCAACAGGTTCACTGCGACTTCTGGAAAAAAATAAACCACGCCATGACTGGTGCATGGGTGAATTTTGTATTTCACATGGAGCAGCAGGGACATGTTATAGACAACCAAAAGCCAGGAGGAACACATCGGCAGCTACACAGCATACTGGGTTAGTGAGTTTCAGTTGTTAACTTAAATATATTAATAAGGTGTCGTCAAACAACGTTCACAAAGGCTAACGTTATCTTGTTTAGGCTAACGTAGCGACAGCTTGATCTTCACAATATTAGTAGGCTGCCGTCAGTATTGTTCAGTCCGCCAAATTATTTTTTAATGAATATTTTTCCGGTCATTTTGAGAAACACAGATACACACAGCGACGCACCTGGGCAATGGTAACCATTTTACCTTATATTTTCAGTCTACCTCAAGGGTTATTTTAATATATGTTAATGCTTTGTTTTTAAGGAGATTTATCTGCATTTAGTTGGTTAACTGAGGTGGGAAACAAGTGTTGTGACGTAGTTGGTGTGTAACCGTAGCAACAGCAAACTTCCCTCAACTGTAACTCAACTCAGCCTGAAGATGAAGGTAACTGACTGAACGATTAATAAAATATATGCCTAGCTTTAAAAAATGTCCTCTGTCACTGCTTCATGAGATTATAACCCTCCCGAGGGAAGAAATTAAGAGTTTGTTCACTGTCCATCTGAAACTGTCAGTTGAGTTTTGATTAAGCATTAATTCAGCCTATTTAAGTAAAATTCGAACTTTTGTCCAGCTGTTGTCGTTTTTTAACTTTAGCCCAGCTGAAATAAATGGTGTATCCTGTACGTCTTTATGTAATAATTTGTCAACTCTGCCAAGTTTTAAATGAAGGCTTAACCCTTTTGATAGGTAGCAAGCATGACTAATGTAGTATGTGCACAAAATTTCACCATTTTTTAAATGTAGTTTGGTAAACATTGACCTTGCTGAAGGGGGAGTTTTGAAACTAGTACCATATTATTTTTTGCATTTTGCACTTATCCTTCTGAACATGAACATTACATGGATTTCCCCTTGGGGATAAATAAAGTATCTATCTATCCATCTATCCATCTATCCATCTATCTATCTATCTATCTATCTGAAAGATGGGCTTGTTAAAGTTAACCTTAAAACCTTTTTGATTAATCTACAGAAAATTATTCACTAACTATTTTGATTACAAAATCATCCTCCAAAAGCTTGCTCATTCCAGCCTCTCAAATGTGAAGCATGATGCCTTTCTTTATCCTGTAAAATGAAAATATTTGTTGCAGCCAGAAGGAACCCTATATGAGAAAAATCATACAACTTTAAGTGCCTGTAGTGACTTTTAGCCTATATAAATATGGCCTACCAAATATTCCTTAAATGCAAACATGTTATTTCAGTACAGTAACTAATTCTTCTCAGCAAAATGAAGCCCTTTTAGTTACTTTTTATTGCACTGTGGCATTTAATGTGTTTGTTTATAATCCGCTTGTAATCTGTTTTGCAGCCGGCGTCCAGGTAAAGACAAGTCGACTGAGTATCTTCCAGTGATGTCTGCTCAAATACCCATGGAGAGAACAAGTCCAAGCACAGATCCAAGTCAGTCAGCTCACTCTCCAGCATCTATCTCACCCACCTCTGGAATCAGTGGGGTGGAGCACCAGGGGTACAGACTGAGCCTGCTGGCCTGTCAGGGTGAGCCAGTGGTGGACAGGACTCACCCTTACATGTCCTCTCTCCTGAGCCCTTATGATGCTGTGCCCATTGGCCAATCCCAGCTGACTGTTGCCAACATGGGTGCCGATGCCTCTCAGACCATAACCGATGCCTCTCAGACCATAAATCAAACCATGCAACAAATAAGTGTAAGTATTACTTTTCTGTACTTCACAAAAGCTCAAGGATTAAAGGAGAGCTCTAGCACAAAGTACTTTGATATTGTAAAAACAATTATTGATGATGTACAGTTGCACTGTCAGAGTACAGTAATTTCTCTGTAGAGCTGCTGTTTTGCACCAACAGTCAATCATAGTTCATAGTTGTATAGGAGAAAGCAATTGCAGAGGAATTAGACAAACAATACTAATCCACATAATCCAACATGCTGTCTTTTAGTCTATTTCTCCTTCTTGCCACTAGGTTGCAGTAGAGCATCAGATTACAGCATTTCCTGGAAAGCATCTCATCTCAAACTGCCTGACAAAGCCAATGGGACATAATCTGTTTTCTTCCTTGGGTTAAGTTCTTAGTTAAAGTCTGCTTTTTTTTCCACAGGCTTCAAATCATCCATGTGACGTGGTTCAGCAGCAAATTGAGCAGATCCACAAGGTTCTACAGGAACAGGGTCGACTGCTGACTCTTCTAGGAACAGGTCAGTGTTGGACAGGACACACATCCAGTGCAAAAAAAAATCTCCTTTTCAGCATTGCAATTAAGCCTTTCCAACAAATGCAAACCTTAAAAGTACAGTGCAGATTCAGTTTAGGAGATACCTTTGAACAAAGGCAGAAAAGTTTTGATTAAAATCACTTGTCATTTATCTTAATGAGCTAAATTCCTTAAAACTGTTTTCAGTCTGAGGCTGAGACATAAGTTATTAAAGGATTTAAAAAAATTAGACGAGGCACAGAGACAGTATGCAAAGAAGGCAGCAACAATAACACTGATGTTCAGCATTTGTTTTTCTTTTGCTCTGTTGTTTTGATTCCTGTGATATTCCTGCTCTGGGGCTACTAGCCTCAACTTGACAGCTGCAACCAACGCTGCTGTTGCAACACCCATTTAGCCTAACCAGAGAAAAGGGTTCACACCTCAAAGTAAAACATAGTTGAAAAAAGTGTTGTAATGAAGGGCTAATGCATGCACACAGATGTGGGAACATGCCGCTTCAGTTTGCTGTATCTGACCTATAATCTGACCCTAGATGGTTTCATGTTCTAAGTGTGATTGGAGTCTCTGTCAACAGATACACATACACAACCTGAGCAAACTGTAGCACTTTCCTGCAAAGGGGTAGAAAATGGAGCCAGAAGAGGCAGATCAGCAATGCCAATGTTTGGACATTGTAATGATGTATAGGGGTGCAGCAGGGATATGGAGGTATTACTCTTTGTACTTGTTTGGAGTAATGTTACACCATTGGAAAAAGAGGAAGGTGGTTTTGCTCATTTGTGTATGTAACAGTATGTTTTGCCGAGAAAAGACAACACTCTTCTCTTGCAGACCCTGAAGGCCACGCAACTACTTCAGTGCAGTTGTACGAACCGTATCACCTGTATTCTGTGTATTTACAGAATCGATATACAAAGATCTCCAGTCAGCATCTCAGTGTTATAATAATTATTCAATTTTGATAATCAAATCACCAAAAGTATATACACTGTGAGTGAGGCAAAGTTTAAAAGGTCTTCATGGTTTCTGTCGTCCACCTGGGTTTGACATTTTTGTAGATGTCGTAGTTACATAATTTTAACCTCTTTTAAACCCCAGAACGTAGACATGAAAATGATTATAAAAGAGGAAGCACCATGGATGATCAGTGACACATCGGTCATTGACTGTCAGTGAAAAGAGTTCACAATATGTTGCACAGAGGGTAAACAACCAATGAGAACAGATCAAACTGGTTTGGGGTATTTTGGGTGACACACAGAGATGAGTTTTTGAGTGATGAATGAGAGCTCTGCAAACCCTGCGAGGGTAAATGTACAGCACAGCAGCTTTGAACAAGTATGTCAACAGCAGTAGTAAACAGTATGTTGGGCTTTTTCTATACTATACCATCAGTACTTAGTTGTTATTTCAGGGGCCATCATATGCAGGAATATGCAGTCACAGAGTTATCCTCTCAGCTCCTTAACACCTGATTCTGAATAAATCCTAATAAATTAAAAAATACAAATTCAAATTGTATGTAACACATTGTCTCATATTCTTATAAATGTTTTAAAGTCCCGTAACATGAAGACATATTAGTGACTAATTCACTTTAATGCCCTATACACCCACACTTGTGTTTACAGTAATTTTGGGTGAGCAGCCCTCTTCACAGAACACCTCGCTGACTTCTTTTTTATCTGACTTATCTGACTGCTTTTGTTTGTTGCACCTTATCTGATTCATTCGTAGTGATAGCAGGATTACTGTTGCCAGAGAGAAGTCAACAACTAAAACCAGTTAACTTAACTTATATATTTAATACAACATTATTGAGCATATGTATTACACATTGAAGTTGAGAAAGCAAACATAACATTAGCTGCAATAGAAGGTTATTCAAGACTATAATGGAGGATTACATGGAGAAATGTTGTGCTTCATTGTCACAGATTACTGACGCTGTGGAGGAGGTGTGTTGTGGTACACCCCCACTACATCTGCATCAGACTTTTAGTAAAGGGTATTTGATGACCTTAAGTTATCAGCATTGCTCGGCCCGACTCTTCCAGACACTAAGTCTAATCTGCCATCGTCTGTGGAAATACCCACGCATAATGGTAGATAAACTGCAGATACTTCCTTGGAGATGGTTTTAATCACAGTTCAAAGGAAAGAGGAAATCAGTTTTATAGTATCGGCAAAGAATTGGTTCTGGTTGCAGAAGTTGTAGTTGTTGTCATTCCTCCAGTCCCGTTAACTGTGTAGGAAGTTAGCAGTCTCTCCTGAAGGAACTTGGGACAGAAAGTGGATATGTAAACATCCTTAAACCCTGAGTTACAGAAGCAGTATACCAGCGGGTCCAGCAGGCAGTCAGTGTAAGACAAAACCATGAGGCCGTCGTAGATCTGCACCACTATGTTCTCTGCGTCCTCCTTCTCTAACAGCCTGACGCTCAGCAGCACCACTCTGGCTATGGTGCTCGGCAGGAAGCAGATGGAGAAGACGACGACGACGGACATGACCACCCACACAGCTCTCCTCAGTTTGGTCTTCTCCCCGACCGTCTTCTTCCTCAGCCTGTTGACGATGCGTACCGTGCAGTAGACGAGGATGATAAACGGGATGACGATCTGAGTGAAGAAGACGATCTTAAAGAGATTTAAAAAAAAAAAACAGAGGCTATGAGTATGATGGCCAGTACCCTGTCCCGCAAATTTAACCTTCACATATCTGCAGTCGAGAGAAAAAATTGCTTCTCCAGGTGTTGAGTTTTCTAGCTCATCTCTAAAAATTTTTTTGCAGAACATTAAAGGTCCCATATTTTACACTTTTTCTGTGTTATATTTTGATATCCATGAGAAGATATATTTGTGGTTTTAAGAATCAAACACTATCTCAATGTAGTTTTACATTTCCTCTTTTAGCCTTCTCTCTGGAGCTCTAGTAACAACAGGTCAGTGAGACTGACTGTTTTCTGAGTGATCGAATAAAAAATGGCAGATTTCAGGTGAACACTCAGAGAAACCAAATCCTGCAAGGTTGGATGGTGGGTCCAGATGGCTCAGGCTCAGGTTCTGAATACAGGCTGTGTGCATTTCTCTGTGGACTGAGGCTTTGATACTTTCACAGTATTAATATAGAACCTAGACCTGATCTATAATCAAAAAAGACATGGACATTTCACTTTATACTATTTGGGACCTTTAAAGAAATTGCTATTATAGCAACATGATATCTGATAAACATAAGATTTTAAGTAATTCTAAGCCATTTTTAACCTGGATTTTGGGAGTACAGTGTTTTTGTGATTTAAATACAGAACCAGTATAGAATTTAAAACATTGAAATCTCTAAAAGCCCTAAATATTAGGCCCGCAGATAATGATTATTTTTGTTATCAATGAATTATAACTATTTTTCAGTTAGTTTGGTCTATGAAATGTTCAGAATGTGTGAAAAATGTCCATCACAAATTCTTCTGCTCCAAAGATATTCAGTTTACTAGCATAGAAAGCTAAGAAAACCAGCACATATTCACATTTGAGAGGGTGGAACCAGTGGATTGTTGTCATTTTGGCTAATGACTAATAAGATCATTAATAAATGATTAATTGATAATCAGAAGAGTTGCTGATAAGCTTCCTGCTGATAACTAATAGATAAATCGACAATGTGTACAGGCCTCAGACAGTTACTACACATCAGAGGTTAAAATCGTGGATTAATTTTTTAATGTTGCCCAGACAAAGGGGAATTAGATGAACCATTAAAGCGCACAGTGCTGTGATGACTGTCAGCTTTATTATTTAGGAAGTCTGGGTGAGATTGTGTAAATAACTCCGGTTCTTATTAAGTGTTTAGCTTTTATATGCTTGACTGAGTATATATTGGGCTGTTGTTTATGGTCACATTTAAGCCTTATTTTTACAGCTATCTTTACAGCCATGCTACAAACTAAACAAAATTAAGAGATAGAAATAAAAAGTACCTCTCTGAAGGTGTCTGTCACATCGTGAAAGGATGTCTCATTTCTTCGTCCATGGCTATTGCAGCACTCAAAGGTCTTGAGCATCGTGGGGATGGTGAGGGGCAGCAAGAAGAGCCAAATGATGATGGAAATCTGGGGCGATTTCTTCAACACTTTGATAAAATTTCGCCGCCCAAGGTGGACCACGTTGAAATAGCGATCCATGGACAGGATGATGAGGAAGGCGATGCTGGCTCCTCGGTTGAGAAACAGCATGAAGAGCATCATCTTACACACAGTGTTATCTTCGCTGCGCCTCAAGCCGTTGTAGTAATGGAAGGCTTTGACAGGAAGACAGGCCACCAGCAAGAAGTCAGCCACCACAATATTGAAGAGGAAAACGCTTTTGTTCTTCCAGAACTTGAATCTAAAGAGGAAGAAAATCACAAAACAGTTATTTAATTCACTGCTACAGAGTTTATTCTGCCTCAAGAATAAACACAGGAAAACTGCTTCATGTTTAAGACTCGGTTCTCTGTTGACAAACTGATGCATGTGTTAGTGTAGTAATGTGACGTTTATATTTTATGTTTTAGGATTTCATAATTAACCACTGCTTTCCTTTTTGCACTGTTTATATCAGTGGATGGAAATAGTACAGCTGTGCCAAAGAAAATGCTGACTCTGCACGCTGCCTGCTGGGATGCTCCTCATCCACAGCACAATATGTTCCACATGTTTGTACACATGTTTATCAGTCAATCTCATGGCACTGTGGTTCCCAACCAGTGGGCCTGTGGGAAGGTATTGCAAGTGGCCCGACAAATCGTTTGCAAAACAGAACAATTTTGGTGATTATAATTAAAAAACTAAAAACACTAAATACTTGTTTGTTATCTCAGTGTGATTGAGTGCTAAAAGATTAGTCCATCCATGGCAAAACTGCAGTATCAAAAAGGTTAGCTGGTTGGCAACAGGAAGAATTAAAAGTCAAGATTCCAGAGATAGTGAATCAACAATTGAAAAACAAAAGCTTGAGCAAAATTGAGCTTCCCCTGTTTTTGCTCTGAGAAGGCATTATTTGGCCTCCATATCCTTATGGGGTCGGATGTGTGCCGCCAACATTTTTGAGATTTTCAAGTGGGCCATGTGTTGGAAAAGGTTGGGAACCACTGTCATAGCACACACGGCTCATCTTGTTTAATCTGCACTGGATTCAACATATCGTTTTTTTGTTCTTAAATAACATTTTAGAGACGTTAAATTGCTATCGTATTACATGTTTGACATTTTGAAGCAGCATCCTAAATTTGCACTGAATTGTCTGTTTAGTCTTATTACAGTCATTTAAAATAAGGTGTGTGAATTCTATACAACTTAAATGACTTGCTTTTGCAATGCTTACAAGATAAGTTCAGCGTTGTTTTTCAGTTTACTGTAATATTAGGGTTGAATCACTCTAAATACCAGGAAATTCCCACTAGGTGGTGAGCCATGCAAACATCACTTACTAAGATAAGTGTTAGGCTGGTTTTGGCCAAGATTGTGCTTCCTCATACCTGAAGATGAAGATGTAGAGAACCGACAGGTTGAGCGGCAGCCCCAGCACAAACTCTCCAATCATCACCCAGGAGAGGGTTTTATATGTGACTAGGCTGGGTGCACTGCAGTTGTCAATAGCTTGACCCATAGTCATGTTCATTTGGCCGGTTGTAACAGTGGAAGTCATCCTGCTTCCACAGCGGTAGGAGAGGTTGCAGTCAAAGTCCTGTTTAATATAGTGCCACAGCAATAGAAAGGAGAAGTGTTAAAGATGTATCCAGGCGGGCATCACAAAGTTAAATCCTTCATCTTGGAGGCACTTGTAGCTGCCTGTAACCCAGAGTCTCCTCTCCTCTGGCACTGGGTTCCCCCTTCAGACTGTGATCCTTCAAATACAGCAGTCCCCTTCTGAGAGCCTCCCAGCGATTCTGGAGCTCTGTCAAGACTCAGCTGGTCGTGCCAAAATGCACTGAGCGAACATGCACTGTAAACACATTGCATACATTGAAAAAAAAAAAGAGGAAACACCCCGTCTTGGTGCGTCTGTCAGGCTTTTCTGTGTGAGGCTTCCAGCAATGCTTCAGAGAGGAAGAATTTATACTCAGCTGGAGGTGTGGTTTAAAGAGAGGGGATTATCTCACTGAGGTTGGTTTCATATCATCTGAAATGCACCAAGCTTCATAGGACTTTTGTACAGCAGATATTAGCACTAAGATAAGGGACGACGACACATCTTCTATCGCTTTCTGTTTGACACAGAAACTAATGACTGGAAACTGGCTGTTCAAAGTTTTTTCCTGCAGAACGGGGGCAGCGCTTGTGAAATTCCTCAGGTGGCTGTCTATAGGAAACCATCCTGCCTGCACATGTCAAGCATTACACTTGGATATGATGACAATAAGACTGGAAAACATGTCCTTTAAAGAAAATGACCTATCAGGTCTCATGATGTTATATAGAGAAAAGATTGCATCTACTGTGCATACAGTACATTTTGTATATTTTATTTGTTGTGATTACATTTTTTTTATTGTGATTAATAAGGATGAGGTTAAGCCAGAAAACATGACTTCATCCATTCTTGTGTATAGACATCACTCACTTACTACTTTCTGGGGAATATAAGCTTCTATTTTATTTTTTTTTTTTTACCACACTTAGTTAAGTGGAACACAGATATGAATAATGGTTGAATAACAATTGAAGCAATCTTTGAGCCACATCCTCTTTCCCTAGATGCCCTTGTGTGTTGCATCCTACAGAGAAGTAATATCTTCATCTCTTAATCTGACACCTTATACACCTTTTGTTGAATCGTTGATCATTTCTGCATAAAAAAGTCCACCTATGATGAACAGTGACACATCTTCAACCAAAACCTTTCTTCGTTTATTGTAACCTGTAGCCGTTTGAGATCAACCATGACTCTCAAATTGTCCAAAACAATTTGGTTGGTTGACGCATTGCAGAAGAAGCTTGGGATGATTTTGTTTTGTTGCTGTTTTTCTTTTCGACAATATCTTTATTGAACTTTTTTACATATAAAAAATACAAAACAGGCCAACGGACCAGACAGTTTCAGAGGTGAAGGCTATACCATACACTGAAGAAACAGGGGTATACCACATCCCCATCAAAGACAGAGTCACAATTCTGAGTGCATTAGCTTTTAAACATCTTGTTCCTTTGAAGTTAAACATTAACCTGTTAGCAGACACACCTCTTTTTTGTGCACAAGCCCGAAAATAATGTGTCCAAAACAAAAAGGTTACCTCTTCAACCCTTCTGATTACAGTCATAACCCTGGCCTCCTTTGAAGTGTACCTCTTTAAATTTTATGACCAAAAAATCAGAGTGAGTAAAGCAGATACAGAGGAACAAACATGGTAGAAATGTTTTGTTGTTTTTTTTGTTTTTTTTTTACATCGCCTATTTTTTTGGCATAAAAACGAGACCATAAGGCCTGTAGTAAGACCTTTAGTGTGGAAAGAATATTAGCGTTATAGCCACAAGTCTGAACCTATTTTGTGCCAACAGCTGTTGCAGTGATATGATCCTAAAATGATTTGCACTGATAGAATCAGGAGACTGAGCTTTCAAACAATTCATAATTTGTCCAGGTTGTGTGGAGATCGAATCAAAAACACACTTAAAGTAGCGCTACTAAAGCGTCCCACAGGTAAGCTGGAATGTATTTTAAAAGGTTAAAGTAGCCTCGACTCTTCTCCCTCCTGGTCTCTGCTGCTGTTTTCACTGACAAGCAACTGTAAGACAAAGCAACCTACATACTAGTGATTTGAAGTTTTGGCATAAACTTGAATTCCTGGGAAAGCCATCCACTTACTAGTAGTTACTAGTTTGCTCTTCGTCACACTTTGCTTCCAGAAGTAATGTAACGTAGCACAAAAAGGGCAGTTCAACATTGAGCAACAAAACCTGTATCTAGACACGTTTGCAGATGTGGTTTCTCAGCGGTGTGTGTTCGTGTGTGAATCCATCAGTCATTGCAACATTGGTTTTACACCGTAGTGGTGTCAAGTTCCTCTTTAAGATGGCAGCATGATTTCAATTATACACCTATCATCCTGAAAAAGGAAAACAATACTCTCCAATTTGCTAAAGCATTGAGATCCCACACAGTGAGCTCTTTGTATGGTATACGTGTGCGACAGCAGCAAATGGAAGCATGAAAACAGATGCAAAGTAGAGATAAGTAACCTGAAAGACAAAAAAACAGCACATAGGCAGCACACCACAAACATAAAGAGTGTAAAAGAAAAGGAAATGCCTTCTCATGAAGGACTGACAGGTGTGCTCTTTGGTGGATCCATTTATAAAAATACAGCAATAGCTTTGAATATGGTTTGTTCTTATAGCTGCCATAGAGCAGCAAACTTGGTGAAAACGAGTGCACCCTTTATAAAAAAAATACATCAATTAAGACATATTATGTGGCCGTAGTGAAAAAATGACATGAACATCTTACAGCATAATACAATCCAGTTCTACAGCATCACAAACTATGGCCTAAACAATTATTCAAACATCTAATCAGGGTCTCTTGTACATATTTCTCCTTATATTTATATAATTAACATGGCTATTGATTTCTGTGGTATTATTATTGTTGGGTGCATCCTATGTCAAATATATTATATGATAATAATAGATCCCCCTATAGGTGACATCACTCTCGATATAGGCACATTTATTTCATAATTACATTTCTTTATATACAGATGAAAATGAGTCATATTTGCATATCATTATATTGTGTATATGGTGTGGTGATGTCATTAAATATGCTTTATCATATCGTGATAATGATTTCCCACACTTCCTGATGGAAAAACTCTTCAAATCATTTTCTCACTTTAAGCAGTTTTTTTTCTCCTCCAAGCGGCATTATGATGCGCTGGCAACAAGTGGCAGCAAGTCCACATAGCTCGAAGTTTTTTGGCTATATATTTGTATATGTTAGTATATTTTTTTGTCGATCGATGTTTTTTATTCTACGTCGTCGTTTCATCTGAGGATGGAGAAAGTAATGTACACAAAGGAAGAACTCCTGGCTTTAAACTTTACCGGATATGGAGTTAAACATCCCATACCGGCTGAGCTGAAGAAGCCGTTCTGTGGATGCAGAGCTGGGGCTAAGCTAGAGGCTAGGAGATGGAGATATAAGCTTCAGCTGCAGCTTCTCCTACAGCATCTCCTCCACAACATGACACTGCAGCTGCAACTCCCTCCACACTGGGGTCAAGTCTCCTGTCCTTTACAGTGGAGAAGGTGAGGGTGGAGCTCAAGAGGCTACGTCCTGGAATGGTCCCGGTCCTGTGGAAAACATCATGTCTTAAAGTAGGACGACCGGCTGAGATAAATGACTACAGACCGGTGGCCCTCACATAACACATCATGAAGACCCTGGAGCAGCTGCTTCTCCACCTTCTGAGGCCACAGGTTGAACATGCACTAGACCCCTATGGTTCGCCTACAAAGAACATATTGGAGTAGATGATGCCGTCCGTTACATGCTCCACCAGCCCATTCTTACTTGGATGAGCCAGGTGGTTACATGAGGATTATGTTCTTTGATTTCTCAAGTGCATTTAACACCATCCAACCCCCCATTCTTAAAGACAAGCTGGAAGGGATGGGGGTGGTCCCTCCTTCACATCCTGGATTGTTGGATTACAAAAAGGCTGGGTCTGTGCTTGGCAGGAGTCTGGACTCACTCATGACTGTTGTGGAGAGATGCATGCAATGTAAGATGGAGGCCATCTTGGACAATACCAACCATCCTCTCCACAACATTCTGGCAGGACAGAGAAGCAGGTACAGCTGCAGCAAACGTCTCATCTCACTGTGCTGCAGAACAGAGAGGTTCAGGAGATCCTTTGTTCCCACTGCCATCAGGCTATATAACACCTCAGCAGGAAGTGGACTAATCTAATTATTATTGTTATTTATTATGAACTGTTTTTATTATTATTATTATTATTAATGATGAGCTAATGGACAAATGAATTTCTCCTAGGGGATAAATAAAGTATCTATCTATCTATCTATCTATCTATCTATCTATCTATCTATCTATCTATCTATCTATCTATCTATCTATCATTAAATAAGTGGAATAAACAAACAGTAGCAGTTCACCCTTGATTTACATTTTACAAATTAGAAATGACACCAATATAGAGAAGGCTGTTATATATTATATATCAAGGCCATCATCTTCAATGGAAACTGCGGCCAGGCTGTCCCGAGCAGCAGCACAAATAGGAGCATTCTCTGACCTGTCAGGCTTTGCAGTTGGACCCAATTTAGAACTGGATGTTATTATGGCTCCAAAATTCTGTGAATGAAGGAGATGATGTGTGTTGCTCTCCAGTCTGGCGGTACTTGAGTAGAAAATCTCAGACATTGGTTGAATATATCCGAACATGATGTACCAGGTCACTAGTGCGATCAGAAACGCTTTATGTAATCTTCACAATATTACACTCTACCTTGAGCAAACCAAGCACTTTAGCAACTGGTGTGAAACTTGCATCTGGTGAAAGGAGAACTTTGCAGATGCAACAGTTGCGCAGAAACTATAATGAACATACATAAAATGAATGATAACTTCTGTATCTTGCATTATGTACCGCCATACAGAGCTGTCAGTGACCCGTCTCTGTTCAGAGAGGATCCCTAAAAGTTCTTAGCTAAGCTTCATCCCTCAACAAAGTTTGACTTCATTTCTGTTATGCGTCTGTGCCAGCCACAGCCAGAGCCAGAGGCATACTGTTTTCGGGTTGTACGTCCATCTATACGACGCACATACGTACGTACTTCCCATTCTCATGGCTATGATATCTCAGTTTCGCCTTGACAGAACTTCTTCAAATTTGGCACAAACATTCACCATGACTCAAAGATGAACCGATTTGATTTTGTGGGTCAAAGGTCACAGGTGTGGTGACCTGACAAAACATAGTTTTGGCCTTGTGAACGTGATATCTCAGTAACACCTTGTAGGAACTTCTTCAAATTTTGTACAAATGTTCACTTGACCTCAAGGACGAACTGATTAGACTTTGGTGGTCAAAGGTCCCAATGACCTCAGAAAAACTTTTTCATTACTCAAGAATTCATACAGCAATTATGACATTTCACACAATTGGTTAATATTTTAACTAATATACTAATATTATATGACTCTGGATAAGCAAGGATGTACTGTAACCTGAATTTAGTGTGAGTGGCAGAGGCAGGCCGCCAAGAGGAGGTGATTCTAGTTTTTATCATGACTCAGGACTTGGCTATAAGAAACTGACAGGCTTTGTTACAACATGGATGCCTTGCTTATTCTTAAGTACCCTTTTTTAAAGTGGCAGTAATGAGGACGATAGCATACACACACTCAGTTGTTTACTTTTTCTGCACTTAGAGTAAGGTGTCCTAGGAGACATGTCTCTTAAATTTATTGTAATCAGCATGTGTGGAAATACTGTTAGTTGGTTGTGAGCAGTGGTTTAGGCTCAGCCTGTATTTCCTTTCAGACAGCTTTAGCTCTTAGAAATTGATCATCTTATTTGACAATCTAACTCTGTCTCTCTCCTCTCTTTATCTTTTCATCTCTTGAAGGTTTGACATTTCCTGCCTACGCATTTTCTCTGTGGCGTGCCTCACCTCCCGCGCTGACAGTGATAAATTCTGAGCAGGTAGGTACTTTATGACTGGCAAAGTGCCTCCTTTGAGTATTTGATCTGGATTCCTTTAAATGCATAAAGTCTATATCCGACACTTTCTTTTTTTTAATTGGAAATGGGTTGGAAAAAAGTCTACTCAGTTCCAACAATGATGATAGTCAAACTGCTTTAAGGCATTTGCTAATGGCCAGTGACACTTTTTTAAGAGTTTTTCTGATTTCACCACCAGATAGTAAGACACTTTATGAATGTGAATGGTGTAAAATTATCGCATGTATATGTGAACCTGTCAAGGCCAAAGTTGTCACATACAGACAGGTAACAAATTAAAGGTGAAACCTGAAAAACGAGTGGAGAAACAGGATGACGATGAGAGTGCAAAATGATGTGAATGAAGTCTCTGGGCTGTACTAGAGGGGATGAACACCATTCCTCCTAAAGATATTCCCTCAATTGGTGTTTTGATGGTGGTGGTGGTGGTGGAGAGCGCTGTCCAGCATATCTGTCCAGAATCTCTCAGGTGTTCAGCTGGGTTGAGATCTGGTGACTGTGAAGGCCACAACATGGGATTCACATTGTTTTCAGACTCATCAAAGCAGTCAGTGACCTCTCCTGCCCTCTGGATGGGGCCATTGCCATCCTGTTTCTCTCTTTCTTTCTTTTTTCCTTTTTCTAATAGTTTTTTTTTATTTTTTATTTTGTAAAAGATATTGTACTGTTCACTTGCTGTATTTATATTTTATTTTATTTACTTATGTACTTACTTTGTGGGTTGGGGGTTGTATGTTCTTTTTTATGCTCATTGTTTAAAAAAGCAATAAACATGTAAAAATAAATAAAAATCTTCCTCAACGTCGGGTTCTCTACCAGAGGCCTGGGAGTTTGAGGGTTCTGCGCAGTATCTTAGCTTTTCCTAGGATTGCGCTTCTGGACAGAGACCTCAGATGTTGTATCTGGAATCAGCTGGAGCCACTCTCCCAGTTTGTGGGTCACAGCCCCCAGTGCTCCGATGACCGCTGGCACCACTGTTACCTTTACTCCCCACATCTTTTCTAGCTCCCCTTTAAGCCTTTGGTATTTTTCGAGCTTCTCGTGTTCTTCCCACAGGATCTTGGCTCGGTCATTTTCAATGTCTTCCATTCTGACAGTGGGACTTTCAGCCCATAATCGGTGCAGATGTTCCTGTACACTATGCCAGCCACTTGGTTCTGGCGTCCCATGTGCGCTGTTCCTGCCTGCATCTTGCACCCTGCTATTATGTGCTGGATTGTCTCAGGAACATTTTTGCACAGCACCTGGGGTCCTGTCTGGTGTGGTAAACCCCCTCCTCTGTTGATCTTGTAAGAAGTGCCTGCTCCTGTGCTGCTATGATTAGTGCCTATGTGCTATATATATATATATATATATATATATATATGTATTTACACACACACATGCATGCATAATTTGAGAATATGTGTATGTATAATGAGGGTATATGTATGTGTATGAATGTGTATGTGTGTCTGTTTGTGTCATCTTTGTGTATTTTGTGTAGCATGGTGCAGGTCACACCAACATCAACATCAAACTGTTACAGACAGTTCTGACAGGTGATTTATCAGACTCATTGTAGATTTGTGATATGACTGTTTCCTTTGGCAAATCTGTCTGAAGTCTTTTTTTCTTGTTGCTTCATATCTCTAACTACAGATGTTGCAGTGTTGGCTACTGGGCTGCAAAGATGTGAAATAAATGAATGAACTACTTTTTTGTTCAGGTCCCTGATGTGATTTACTTATTGTTACTTCCTGTGCATGTTGTTGACGTCACTGTGCAGACTGATATGTGTGCAGAGGTTGTTTTCGCGTTCACCTGCTGAACGGTGAACATTACTCTCTCGTTAAATGTCTACATCTTACACAAGTGTAAGAAATTCGAAGCCTCCACCACACATACGCTGAGAGGAGTTTTCAGTGAAGCAGGAGACATTTTGTTTCCAACTTGTTTCCAAATTCATTTCCAAATAAATTTTCGAATGATGGACAGCACATATCAGACAGAAAATGTTATTCTACACAGATGATTTTTTTATACAATCTCTTTTATTCTGTCTTTTTTCCCCCCTCACATTCTTCCTCTCATTTTTATCCTTGTCATGTCCCTCCACCCTCCACAGCTCCCAGTTTTCCCAGAGCCATCTCCTCCATCAGATGGAAGGAGGCCCGAGGATCATCCACATGTCCCCACACGTCCCAGCCACGGTAAGAACCAGCTACTGCCTCCCAAAACCATATCAGCATCCCTTCTCCTTTATACAAAACAGCAAAACAGCTGATATTATCTGACCCAGATTTCATGTTAACATGTTGAGCCCTGTTTGAAAAGGTATTTGTGATTTTAAACATGCTGTAATCACATAAGTTTTACACTTTCATGCTTTACAATACCAGTGAAAGTGAGAGCAGTAGAGATTTTACATTGAGTCAGCTCAGTCAGCTATTTGCATAAAGATTTCATTGAGAAAATCTACTAGTAAATGAATAAAATTACATGATATGGTAATTCGAAACAACAAAAATCCGACCTCTGTATCAGCTAAATTCACCACAACTGACAAACATTACACCAGATTATAAATGGTTATCCCTTTGAATTGTTGTATTGCTTATAATACAGCCAAAATATAGATTCAGTGATGTGTTGACCTATCTCTCCTCCTTTGAAATGTTATTTTAGGCTCATTTGTTCAAGCAGAGAGAAGTAGAAACAGATTACAGTGACCAAACAACAGGAAGCTAGAATGGTTATGCTAATAGTCAAACTTATGTAACATTTCTTTTTGAGCAAGAGCTTGAAATGCACCAGTGTTGTGTCTCCAGCTTCCTTTTTTTCCTGCTTCTTTCTGATCCTGTGTGATTGGTTATAAAGCCAATATACTGTGATTTGTGGTTTACTGAAGTCACTTTACATGGTCACTTAAGTGAACATACATCATTTAGACTTTGTGCTTTGTATCTCAGCTTTAAGATTGAAGTCACCTGCTTGTTTTCCCTCCTTTTATTAACATTTTAGGCCACAATAGAGCAACTTTTTCTTTTCTTTTTTTTTTTTTTTTTTTTTTAAATCTCAGGACAGTTACAATGTTGTGTAAATGCGTGTTGATGCATGAAGCTCATTGGAATGTTTGCTCAGCAGTTCTAGTGAGCGAATGTTGTTGGACATCAGTCTTGAAACAGATTCATCAGACCTGAAACCGTTCAATGAATCACTCGACTTTAATCAAAGTTTCGTTCGTTTATCGTTTTCTCGCCTGAAGGGAGATGAAGAAATGGGCTCAAAGATCAATATATATTTGTAAATTCACACATGTCAGCAGTAGTAAAAACACATTAAAGACTAGGCTAGTATTTACACAATGCCACTTGTAAAACAGAGTTATAAAATGTTTACTGTGTCAGTCTCTGAGAGTGATCCCTGCTCTGGTACACATTTGTGACCAACTCATATTGACAACTTCACTCTGTTGAACAATTTTTGTATCATATCTTCCAGGTGTGATATGTAAAACATTTATACAATTTATAAAAACAAAAAGAATAGTTATAAGGACCTATTATGTAAATGTCTTACATATTGCTGTACCCAAAATTCCCAGAATTCATCAGGTTATATGAGGTGATGTAAACCTGAAACTATTCGAAATCCTTTTCCAGTAGTGGTATCATAACATATGATAACATTAATAGTATTTGCTAATACTTATTTCAGTTTGCAACTAAACAAATAACCTCATTTAGTGTTTAGGAATGTTAATACAGCTGTAACACAGCTGCGTTCATCGCAGGATGACTTGTCAGGACTCGCAAGTGTACATGTTTGACCCAATTTAAAACACCCACGTCCCAAATGACTATAAAGAATGGATTTAGAGAAGGTAATAAAGGAACTCTGGCCGATGGAGGAAACAGTGCGACGTTTGTCCCCTGTGCTAGAGCACTTTTATAGTTTGAAACAATAAAAAAGCAAAAACAATCAATATCCCACTCGTAAGTGGGCTGACTGGTACATTTATAAATAAACTTAACACAGACTTAAAAACAAGAATCAATTGTGTTCACCAGAGTCACAAAGCAATCATCAGCACGTATACACAATGTGAAAGGTCAAATCTACACAACTGAGCAATAAAGTGCAGAGTGTTAACATTGATATTGTCTTATTTAAGAACGTACTATATATGACTGAAGGACGTGTGTTTGCATCTTTACTTGCCATGTTTTCTTACACATTGTAAGTTGTGCATATGTGACATTTGCAGAGCCAAATCTGGCTGCTTACATTTTCACATGTTGTTGTTTCACATTGCTTTTATACAATTCTGTGTTTGTATGTTTGTGATCTGAGTTCAGAAGTAGGCAGTAGTCTTGTTTTCAACCACATTAATACAGGTCTTTAAATCTTTGTCTCTATCACTACAACGCTGTGGAGTTGTGGATCTTCTTCTCTTCTTTTTCTTTTTTCTTGATTTCCCTCCATGAGAAGCAGCTGCGTTTTTCCTTGAACTGAAGTGGGGTTTTCCTCTGTGGCATCTCCACTTCTAGTCATTTATTAGATTTTTTTAATAAATTCAACTTGACAAGAAAGTTACATAATATTCAACAGCACAAATGTCTCATTGTATCATTGCAGTGTCTCACCATTTCAAACCACGTTGTCCCAATTACAAAGCAATGAGTTACTCTGTGACACACACTGATGCACCTTTAACACACAGATTCACATGACATGCTTTGCTGAGCTCACTGTCTATTTTTTAGCCAGACAGTAAACAACAGACATACAGTATGTTCACTAATTATTACTATTGATGACATCATCAGGGTGAATGTGACCATTCAGATGACTTATACAGGTCCAGTCTGGGTCAAGTATCCTTTAGTCTGGTTAAAGTCATTCATTATTTATTCTGTAAGATGCGTTCAGGGAAATCTTGTATTTCTGAGGCATGTCATTTTAGATCAGTGGTTGTCAAAGTAAGGTCTTTAAATCAGCAGTATTGACATGACAAGTGACAGTTTACTGCAATTTTATTATCAATGAATTTACAAGACATTATCCAGGACATAAAATATGTACAGTTTAAATACACCCATCTCTCTCTATATATACACACAGTATAAACAGTTACACAATTCAATATTAAATCAACATTTACAACCAACTTCCTGTATGGGCCTGTAGGATTAACTCTTATGTAATAGGGGACTGACTTTGGCCTCATATGCATCTATTTTGGAGTCGGGTCCATCCACACATTTCATACTCCTGACCCAGGAATTCATGCTAGTGAATGCTATTCATGATTTCTAGAAAACCTTTATCCCCTCAGGCCTCTTGGTTCAGAATTTCTCACCACAGCTTCACAGAAAATGTATTTGACAAGATTTTTCGAGAAACACATTTTCGAGTGGTGTGTTTATATTTTTCTGAGCTTTAATTAATGCTTGTTTGATAGTGGAGGCTGTTTGAGACTGGTACAATTTGACAGATAAGATTCTTGGGCTTGAAAGGAATTTTTCACAGTCATAACTTCTCATTTTTCTGTCCAAGCCAAACAGAAAAAAAACAGATGTGCTTACTTTAGCTGGGAGGCATTCCTCTTAAACAGAAAACTTTTATGTTTCATTGAATAACATCCACCAACATGAATATATCCTACACAATCAGGAATCACGACACTCTCACCTGGTAGATCTACGGTGCTGAAGAGTCCCTCCTATTTTCTACCTCTGTATATCTCTATTTCAGAATGGATCAAATAACTACTGACTGTCTTCTCTTCATAGCAGAGTCCCCTTTCATAAAGTTAGTAGATTTTTTGGGGCAAACTGTCACTCTCAGGTAGTATCCTGTTGGGTTCCTGCGTCACCACACAGAGAAAAAAAAACACACCACACGGCTTTAAATGATAGTGTTGGTGTTTCGAGGATGATCCGATGCTGTGTGCCCCCCTGTTGAGCTGTCTACCTGTATCGGACCATTTTTCACCAAGAACGGGCAATAGTTGGAGAGATAAAGAGCTTTAAACTTGGTGCTGCAGAAGCAGTAGACCAGCGGGTCCAGCAGACAGTCCATGTAGGAGAGGACCATGAGGCCGTCAAAGGCCACGGCAGCTTTGTCCTGGTAGATCAAAGGCAACTCTTGGACGCGGACGATCAGCAGAACCATCCTGGCTATGGTGCAGGGGAGGAAGCAGAAGGAGAAGACCACCATGACAGCGGTCACCAGGAAAACCGCTCTCTTCAGCTTGGTCCTGTCCCCGACTGTTTTTTTCCTGAGCCGGTTGACGATGCGCACCGTGCAGTAGACCAAGATGATGAAGGGGATGAGGATCTGAGTGAAGAAGACCACCTCTCTCATACTGTCCACCACATCCTTTAAGAAGAGAAAGGATCAACTTAGTTGTCATATATATCAACAACAAAGGCTTGTTCTTGATTGGTTGGCCTGAGCATCAGAACAGTATGTAGTTAAAGTACCAGTCGGCCATTTTAACTCTTAAGGCTTCAAACTGTGATTTAAATGAAACCGTCTGTTAAGTTTGGAGGGGATATCACTCTTTAGTGGAGCTGCTAACAACAAGTGGACACTGCTTTCTTAATGAGGATCACAAACCAAAAAGGTTAAAAACCACTTTACCAGTCTGTTGTGTTTTTAAATGTAACATCTTAACCTGAAAAGTGACAAGCAGCTACAACTGTCAAATAAATGTAGTGGAGTAAAAACTACAGAATTTCCCTCTGGAATGTTTTGGAGAAAAAAACTAAAATAACATAAAGTGGATTTTCTGCTTCACATTACTGTACTGTAATACAATACTTAATTAAATCCAGTTACTGCACCACTGCCCACGTACTGTATGTGTGAAAGTAGCCAACAGTAGTTGTGATTCACTCTTCCTGTTAACTAACCAGTGACACTAACCTAACCATGAATCAAAGGCCCTGTTCAGACCTGTCAGTGACATCAGGTGATCTGATCACAGGTGGTCAGCTCTAAGTTCAGGTGTAAATGCACCCAAGACGCCCTGTTCTATCTCTCTCTCTCATGCTCAAACACATTGATGATGGACCCATCACTTATTTTTTTGGGATATTTTTGTGATAGAGACAGTGAGAGAGAGAGACATGAAGGATGGAGAGAGAGAGAGAGAGAGAGAGAGAGGATGACATGCGACAAAGGGCCACAGGTCGGATTCAAACCGATGGCGGCTGTGGTTAGGACTGAGCCTATGTGGTGCGCGCTCCACCAGGTGAGCCACCCCACCCCCCCCCATCTGTCAGAGTTGGTCTGGCTTAAACCAACAATGCATACGTGTTTATTTACATATAGAGCAGGAAAGTGAGCTCCCATCACAAGTGGTCACTCCAGACGCCTGTGGAGACACATGTTAATGCCAGGTGTGAGCAGGGCCTCAGTGACTGCAAATAATAGATTTAAGCACAACAAGGTATGAACACAACAATGCACTCTGCAGTCTCCTAATATAGAAAATAATAAACATGCTTCCATGTTTTTTCAAACTTAGGCACCTTGTCGTGAACAGAATCCTATATAAGATGACTGAATAGTGAGGAGTTTCCTCCTTTTTTCTGACATTAATGTTTTGTTTTTAGCACACACACGTCTTATCAAACTGTGGCCCTGTCATGTGTGGTGCGGTTTGACACATTCCAGCTTTAACAAGTCTCAACACTGTGTGCTCTGTCAGTGCAAAAATAGCTGTGGAAACAAGCTCTCTCTTGAGATAACCCCCACTGCTGTGTTCTCTCTGGGACCATGCCATGAACCCACATTCTTCATGTCTGATTGGGCTTTACGTCCCCATAATCACTGAATATCACTGTCCTCTCTGTTACTTCAGGCTGTTCAACAAAATAAACTACGTCATAGGTGACTTAAAAATAAGTTGCCACATGGTCCAAACTGACAGCGTTCACGTTAGGAAACAACTAACTTACTAAATGTCATGAACAAGCTCTTGCAAAATTATTTTCACATTAAGCAAATCAGTCGGGGATGAATCATTTGGTGCCTTGTCACTATGTCTCATTTCACTCTCTATGGAAGATTTTTGGGTCTGATGCTGAAAGAACAGAGAACAGACAGATTTGTAATGATTTCTAATGAGAATAAACACAAATGCCACATTCAACAGGTAGACATTACCTTCACCAAGGTGTCATCTCCTTCATGGCTGCTGTCGTTGTGTTGTATCTCGCTCTTGTGGCTGTTGCAGCATTCAAAGGTCTTGAGCATGGTGGGAATGGTGAGAGGCAGCAGCAGCAGCCAGATGAGGATAGAGATCTGAGGAGATTTCTTAAGAGCTCTCAGGAGATTCTTCCGGCCAGGGTGCACCACGTTAAAGTATCGGTGGATGGATGTCACCGTCAGGAAGGCGATGCTGGCCCCTCGGTTCAAAAACAACATGAAGAGCATAGCTTTGCAAACTGCCCCATTGTCACTCCTCCTCTCTCCGTTGATGAAGTTGTACGCCTTTATGGGCAAGCAGAAGAGCAGGAGAATGTCAGCCAACACCAGGTTGAAAAGGAAGATGTTGTTGGAGTTGGATTTCCAGAACTTCAGCTTGAATATAAAGAGGTGGAGGACAGATGCATTCAGAGGCAAAGCCAAGATGAAAATCACAATCATGACAGCTGCATAGAACTTATACAGTGCCTTGTTTGTGGCTTCACAGTCTTCAATCTTTTGGTAGAGAGGGTTGTTGATATCCATTTGAACAGCCAAGGAGTGTGCTAATATAAGTTACAAGCAAGTAAAAAGAAAAATCTGTCCTACATGCATGGAAGTATCCTTTTCTAAAGTGAGAAGGAAATCACCTCACACACACACACACACACAAACACACGCACGTGTGAAAAAAAACCCGCCAAACAAGTTTCTCGGGCGTCTTCAGTTCTATTCTTCTTCAAGTTTTTAAATGCTTCCTTTAGTCCTTGCGTATGTTTGGGATTTCCAAGTCATTCAGGCTTCACGTCCTGCTGTGCGAGTCAGCACCAGGTCTGGAAGTAATTTCTCTGTGTGCAGATCAAATGCAAGACACTGCTCAGCCCTACAGTCGTAGCTCCTCCTTACTGCCTGAGGTGACTCACCAGCTGCTTTTCAACTGTGGGACCAATGGGAACTTAATAATGCGCAAGACCAGCCTGTAAGATTTAAAATACAAATGGGTCAAGCTCTTCTTGTGAAGAGGAAACTAAGACTAGTTTTATTTTAAGTCAGAGATTTTTTTTAAACTATGAAATTAGAAAACCTTAATGCAGCTGTGTTGAGTCCTGATAAGCCTCTGTGGGCGAACAAAGTCAAAACAGGTCTGATAACACAAACTGATATGACTTTTGACAGTCAGCCAAAAGTATGAAAAAGCATGATGAAAAGATTTCACCTTCTTTCAAAGCATCTTTTTCCTGGCTCAAACTGTGAGAATGGACCATTTAATCTATTCTTGAGGGTTCAGTAAATCCCACAAGCTACTGTGTGACCTCCAGTTTCTCATGAGTGACAGCTTGCGAGTGTCTCAGCTCCTAGCCTCGGATGCTAAAAATGCAGCGTGGGGACATTCAGATATAAACTCTCCTCAGAGTACGCAGATGTGGCTCCCTGGGAATTGGTGATAGATTTACATGTGGGCAGGAGGAGATGGACGCGATGTTGCTGTCAATGTTTTTTTCTATGTAAGGAAAAGTACATGAAGTCGTGTGGTATGCTGCGTCCTGAGGGAGGAGGATTTCTTTTCTTTTTTTTTTTTTTTGGGTGGGGGTGGACATAGGCCTCACGCTCAACGCTGCATGCCCTGAACTTTGCATGCTTTGAACTCCTTCTCTGCCTCAGCGACAAGTCCAGACAACTCTCAAAGATTCAGACTTTCTCAAAGGACGTGTTTCACAGACAGGGTGAGGACGTGACCCTCTTCGGCATCTGGCCCATGATTTAAAAGTCAGCTGTGCATAACAAGAGGTGCATGAAACTTCTCAACACAGTGACCTATATAATAAACCTACAGTTTGTCTTTACTCAATTTGTTTTCTCAACATTTCTGAGTGGTTTTATTGCTTGAGAGGATTTATGCATGAGCACACAGCTGGATCTGTACTGAGTCACTACAGTGCTTGGTTTAATCTTGTCTTAGACTTGACCTTGTCAGATGAGGACCCTGTCTGTGTTTATCCCCCCTCTTCACTCTATCCTGTACTGCCTCCTCAGACAATGGTTTAATTGTATATTAGGTAACTCAGTCAACTAAGCAGATTAAAAAGCAGTCAAGCCCAGCCGTCTGGCCTGCTGGTCCTCGGTAGCTACTGCACTTCAGTTACCTGCATGAGGGGTATAATGACCTGGGCACGTTCATAGAGCAGTGGTTCCCAACCTTTTCCAACATATGGCCCCTTCCTTAAAATCTCAAAAATGTTGGTGGCACACATCTGACCCCATAACGGTGCAGACGCCAAGTGATGCCTTCTCAGAGCAGTTTTTGTTTGAATGATAACGATAGAAGTTTTTCAACATATTTAGTGTTTTTAAACATAATTTCATTTTAAAACATTTAAAAACATTATTTATATTTTTATATATTTGTTTAGAATTACATCTCAGCAAAATTCATCTGTTTTGCAAATGATTTGTCAGCCCACTTGCAATACCTTCGCAGCCCACCAGTTGGCCCTGGCCCATAGGTTGGGAACCACTGGAATAGAGCATTTTAGCATTATCTGTCAAACACACAAGCAAAAAAGTAGCCATTCGTTTATAGTTTCTTATTTTATTGTGCATACAATACAATATTGTGTTTTTGTGCTACAACATATTTAAATATAAATCTTGTATCGACAAAAGTGGAGGTCAGCGGTTCCCAACCTTTTCCAACTCGCAAAGATCTCAAAAATGTTGAGGACCCACATCCGACCCCATAACAATACGGAGGCCAAGAAATACATTCTCAAAGCACTTTTTATTTCAATGAGAACGACTGAACATTCAGAACTGGACTGAGAGCAGGGGAAACATGTCTGTGTTGTGCTGCTCTTTAGTTTTGTGCTTTTAAATTCCAATCGACTCATGACAGAAAATAACAAGACGATAACTTTAATGTTGCTGCAGATGCCTTTGCAAAGTCTTCATTCTGTCAGTAAACAGCAGATTAGATTAGAAGATCAAAAACAAATACAAATGATTTACATTCTTGAAGAACATGTGCTATTTAACTGAAAAAAGAGAAAACAATGATAAACAATTAAATCTTATTTAAAATGTCATATTTCAAAGGAAGACAGGCAAGCTTCTGAAAATGACTGGTTAATGCAAAAACACAATAGCAACGGTTACAGAGTTATGAAAAAATGATTATAAAGGTGTTGCCAAATAGCACTGTGTTGCCACATGGTCATAACTGACAGCGGTTCAGTTAGGAGAAACAACTGTCACGAACAAACTCTTACAAAAGAGTTTGTACAGCTCGGGATGAATCATTTGGTACTGAAATGTCATTACTTCTCATTTCACTCACTGTGGGAGATTTCTGGAACTGATGCTGAGAGCCTCAGGGTGATACACTACACTTGGAAGACAGATTTATGTAGACATCACCTTCACTTTTGTGGCTTTCGCAGCATTCAAAGGGAGGTTCATCTGACCAGGGAGCACCACCTTAAAGTTGCTGGCTCCTCTGTTTAAAAACAACATGAAGAACATAGCTTGTCAAACTGTGTCATTCCCAATCTTCCTCCTCAATACACAAAAGCTATGACCACAAACAGACTCGTTAAAGTAAACACTGATCATTTACCTGATTGAACACGTTGCCGTGACTTGTTATTTGTAAGAGTTCAGAGGAAAAGTGACGTTCGCAGTGACGGTCCCACAGATTAACAATCGCGCCACTGTACTCAGGTTGTCAAGCCAACCTTTGACTCCAGTAACACTCACTGTAAAGTTGTACTTTGTGCTATAACTCACAGCGGTGTTGTGTTTTCTCACTTTCATCCGTATATATCTCACAGGAGGCTGAGATGTTTGGCACTCAGCCCCTCACATGCTTTGGCTTCCAGGTTGCAGCTCAGTGTAAAGCTTCCCTTCACCTCCTGTCCTGCAGACTCTCTCCCTCCTCTTTGCTTTATCTGCATCATATACCGTATATTAACTGCTGTTTGCCGCTCAGATAGATGCATTTAGATGCTAACGCTTTGCAATATGGTACACAAAAATATGGTTATGAGTTATTACTAAGGACAGATTGAGAAATGACCTTAAAATCTATTAACCGTTAAATCAGAACTTGAATCTAGTAGATATGGGGCATCTACAGGTCTTGAAAAGCCTTAAAAAGACTGATTACAGTTTCCTTAGAAAATGTTTACAAAGGTATTGAAAAGTTTTAAAGGTCCCATATAGTCTAAAGGCAGATGTCCATGTGTTGTTTGATTATAGATCAGGTCTAGGTTCTATATTAATACTATGAAAGTATCAAAGCCTCAGTCCACAGAGAAATGCACACAGCCTGTATTCAGAGACTGAGCCTTAAAACCAGCCGTCAGGACTTCTGGAACTTTGTGATGTCACAACAGAGTAGTCACTGCTCTCAGCCACGCCCCAAGCCTTGCCCAGAAGAGAGGAGGCTCAGAGCCTCCTCTCTTCTGATTGACTCACCGACCTGTTGTTACTAGAGCTCCAGAGAGAAGCCTGAGAGAGGAGATGTAAAACTACACTGAGGTGGTTTTTGGATCTTAAAACCACAAATATATCTTCTTATTGTCACACCGTGGTGAGGTTGTCTTGTCCTGGGTTTGTTTTGTCCTGTCATTTACTGTTTTATTTTGAAAAGTACTCTCCTCTCGTTTCAGGTCACTTGCCCTTCCTCATGTGTCTCAGTCTGATTGCCCTAAGTGTTTCCACCTGTGCCCTATTTCCCTCCATGTGTTTAAATAGTCTGTGTTCCCCTTGTCTTGTGCCAGAGTGTCTTCGTCCTTGACCTGCACCCGAGCCTTTGTCCATGCCCACAGCCACAGTGTCCTTCGAAGTAAGCTCGTGTTTGTTCCTCGTGAAGAGTGATTTTTTTGTTTGTAATTTCTTGCCTTAGCTAATATTCATAGCCCTTTGTTTTTCCTCGTTATGAGTGATTTTGGTGGCATGAGTAGATTATTTTGGTTTATTTTTTATTTAGTCAGGTTTTCCCTCCTTACGGGGCGTTTTGTGTTTACCTTTTGTTTCTTTTGATTAAGAAGCTTTTTCCTCTCCCTGGAGTGTTTTTGTTTTCTCAGGTTTCAGAGTTTAGTGACTAGTCTTTTTCATAGCCATTTGTTTTTCACTCTGTCTGAGGTCTCCAGTGATTTCAATAAAGCCCATTGTTTACTTATTCTCTGCGTCTGAGTCCCTGCCTGACACTTATGGATCATGTCGTGGAAATTTTCTGCTCTTGGTGAAGAATGAAATAGAGACTTCCGTCGGCCGACAAGGTTTTATTTTCTTTGCAAAGAAAAGGTCAATCAACGTGCGAGCGGTTCAAAATGAAGAAAGACCCCGTGTCGTGGAAATTTTCTGCTCTTGGTGAAGAATGAAATAGAGACTTCCGTCGGCCGACAAGGTTTTATTTTCTTTGCAAAGAAAAGGTCAATCAACGTGCGAGCGGTTCAAAATGAAGAAAGACCCCGAGCATGGGGAACCTTGAACATTTATACCTGAGGGAAAGGCCCACCCCTGTGGTGTGCTTCACGTCCTTTGTCTGTTGTGGGGTCGGCGTCTTACCTATGATGTGCTTTCACACTCTTCTCCTCTTGTCATTCGTAGGTATCGGCACCGACCCCCTGAAGTGTGAAGTAAAGTGGTCTAGCGAACATAATTTAAAATACAAAAGGGTTTGAATATTGATGAGAAAGTGAGAGGTTGGGTGTCTCAGGTAGTTGAAATGCAAAGGGATTGAATTTACAATTACAATTAAAAGTCTGATATCTTGGTGAGAAGGTGGGAGGTTGGGTATCTTACAAAGAAGTTGAAATTACAATTACAATCAACACTTCAAATAAAACACCAGAAAAGTGTCAAATATGGGACCTTTAAATTTGTTTTACAAACATCTTCAATATTTTTAGTTGTAAAATGTTGGTGTTATTTTAGAAAGACACTGTCTGACAAAACCCCATGACTGTAAAATATATAACTTAATTTGTTTTTTTTTCTTCTTTGTTAAACCATCTATTTTGGATATTAAAGATATAAGTTCTGTACCACAGGGAAGTACTGACAAAAGTATAATATGAATGCCAATAATTCATGTATTTGGTAATATGTATAAATTGTACTAGAAACTGGGCCATTCTATATGGTATTTAAAAAATCTGAAAAAGTTTCAAATTTAACTTGGTGAGCCTGCAGAAGCTCTGGACATACTGGGAGGTAGTTTACTAATCAGTCATTAGGTGATGATTAGTTCATAAATATCTGTGGGTCAGAATAACAGCCGTTTTCTCCATGAGTCCTTCCTGATTAATTATGACTTATCAATAAGTGGCACAAACTAGTAACCAGTCATTTGTCATTATTACTTCATAATTAGTTACTGAAGTAAAGTGGCGTAAAGTGGAACATGATACTGTGTGATAAATAAATGAATGGTCACTAGTATGAGCTGCACATTGGCTGGATACTAGTTTGTACCACTCATGGACAAGTCATGTTTAATCAAGAATGACTCATGATAAAAGTGGGTCATTATTCTGTATCACACATACTTATGACCTAATCATTACCTAATGAGTCATTAATACAGTATCTCCCAGTCTGTTCTCCACTAACTCAACGTTATCTACTAATCAGTCTTTGATTTAGAGTCATTCTCTTCATTGATTGTAAGCATGTGTCTCAGTCCTCCCTCAGTAACGTCTTTGTCAACTGTATTCTAAAGTTTTAACATTTTGATGCAAAAAAAAGATTGAGAGACTGACCGGACTGTACAAATCTCTCTGAACAGAGATGGAGACCAGGATCCAGTCAGTCCCTCTGCAGTGAGAAACCTCCTGTCAGCTAACCCTGAAGACAGCTACCTAGACTGCTGGACTACAGCTCTGGAGGCTTTGGGCCTTTTAGGGTGTTACTAGAAAACTTATTCAGACTGCACATCTGTGATCATTATATGATAGATCTTATATGTGTGCTACTTATTTGTTCGTGTTTCTCTGCTGTTCCTAATACACTCCTCTTACAGGGATATTTTCCAACTTTTAACTAATCTACTTCAATATTATTTTGTATTTTATTTTCCAAATATAATTCTGTTGTGTCTGGACACCAAGGTGGATCAGATCTGCTCTGAGGGAGAGTGTGAAATTTGAGTTTGTAGAAGAGCATCTGAAATCTGTGAGCCAAAACTATTGAAGGTGTCTTACACAGAAGTTTACTGTGGTAGATTGTCCTGTAGCACTGTACGACAGCTGGCCCATTAGGCACCACCTAGATTACCTTTAGGTACATATTAAGCAAAAAATAAATAAAACTAAAAATCAAATTATTAAGCTTCAAACACAAGTAATTATTACTATCTATATTTAAAAACAAATCTTTTCCCTTGGTGTTCTTGCCAGAAGAAAATGCCATTGTATTAAAATATGCATTATTGTTGCTCAAACTCGAGGTCATCGGGTCGGTGACGTGATATTAAAGGCATTACTTATTGCGGGAAAGTGAGGGCATTTCCTGGATGAACAGAAATAATTTGAAGGTCACTGACCAGCAGCAGCAGCCCCACAGGAAGTTGACCTCTGGCATCCAGAGGCACTCCTCTGCCCCATCTACGCTCTTTAAAGACAAAGGAACGCAGCTTGAAGCCTTCCAGTCTACGACCTTTCAATCTGAGCACAGCCAACGTTTTGAGACTTCACAAGAATTTGTTCTGGTTTATATAATCCTGAGACATTCCCAGTAAAGCCAGAGACAGACTCAAATAGAGATCCAGGCTCAGACTGAGGACTTTTCTCAAGTCCACTGCCAAGAGCAAACTTACTTCAACACTCCTCCCCTGCCCCAGTCTGAACCTGTGACTTTCTCACAAGTCCAAATAAAAGACATCACTTAAAAGCACATGACAGTGGGAGAAAATGGGAACTTAAAATTTCAATCACAAGAGCCAACAAGTCCAGAGAGGAATCCCATTTGGAAGACAAAGGGAATAGTGATATACCTCATTCCTCACTCTCTGTCTGTAAGAGAGAAGAGGGTGAAGCACCAGGAAATGGGAAACATGTTGATGAAGACGCGGTGAAAGGTCAGATTGAAGTGACAGCACGTCATAGAAAAATGTCTTTGAGCTCATGTGGTGCCACCTCAGACGATCGATGGGAACCCTCCCTGCAACAGAGTCTGCACATGTCTGGACGCCCAGCAGTGTGCATGAATCAAATTTAGTGCAACATGTCAACAATTCCCTCGCCTCTGAGGGAGAACAGCCTCTCCCCCTGGGCCTGCAGAAACCAGGAAGTTATTGTTAGTTTAAAGACAGTGAACGACAACACCGACAGAGTCTCAAGCTTGAACATGGAAACTATATCCACAGGCTGTGATGAAATAAAAACACATTTTCAGCTTTGTCAGTGTAGAGAGTCAAGACCAGGAAGCCACACAGTCTCACACTGGGTCAAAGGTCAAAAACAAACTTGAACAGTGACAACATAATTTTGCCTTAGTGCTCCAAATAACACAAGCCAAGCTTCAACACCTCAGAAATGCTGTACATTTCCCATGCATTCCTCTACAAGAAGCAGTACCATCCTCGCTGGCAGCAGCGAGGAGGATGAAGATAACCTGCCCCCCAGTGTCACCACTTTCCCAAGCTCCCATTCCCTCCTCCGTGCCTCTGCCCTCAGGATTCCCATTTAAACCCATCGGATGGTGATTGTGCCGCCGATGCTCCCAGTGAGGCCGAGCAGGGATGGATGTTCTTGGGAAAACTGAACCCAAAGCGGGATCAGAGACTTGGATCTGAACCAGTGCCTCAGCAACTGTCCTGTTCCAGCAGCTTCAACAAAGATAACAGAACTAGTGTTAATTCTAATGGTAATATTTTAACAAATGTATAACATTTTATTTAGGATATTTTAATATTTTTGTTTTAAATTCTAATTGTTTTTCATGATCAAAATTCAATGTTTGAGTGTCTTCTAGGATTCATTTCTTATTATTTAATCATGTACCCTTATATTTATTGATAAAAAGCCTATATTGACTCCATATGTCAAAGCACATACAGTATTTATTTATGATATGTTGGTATGTAATGGATGGCTTAGATTTAACTTAAAGGTCCCTTGCAGACATGATTTAAGACATATAAAAATACCTATTACATATATTATATCTACTCCTTCTTCCTCATTTAACCTACAAATATGCAACCATTCTCCATTTTAAAAATCACATTTTTTCATTTCTGTCTTAAAACAATAGTAGGGTGCCTATATGAACATTGAAACAGGTCTTCCTTTCTGTAATCATTTCTCCTGTTCATAATGGGCATTAAGAAATCTGTCCTTAATGGACCTTTAAAGCAAGTCTGTCCAGAGAAATGCAAAGGGAGTGTTATACTAAACAGACTGTGACTTTGGATGATATCCACCTGACAAACCCAGACAGCCAAAGCCTTAAATCAGCTTCAAATAAACCTCTTCGTAGATTTTGTGCATGAAATGAGGCCTATTTTTTCATTAAAAGCACTTTATGAATGGATCTCTAAAAGCCAATATGAACAAGAGAATGGTTATAGAAAAGCCTGTTTCAAAACCCACAGAGAGCAGATCCAAACCTGTGAGGAACTACAGCAGGAAACCAAGGAGGAACAAAGAAATCAGAAATGCTGTAGACATAATACACAGAACCAATTACACTGGCAAGATCCTTATTTCTATTTGAATGTCTTTTAATAAGTAAAAATTTTGGTCATGAAGATACTGCAGAAACTGTAATAACACATATAACAAACCAAGGGTGTGCAATACAAAGAGACACAAGAGTCTGACTGATGTTTATATTGAAACTGAAATTTAAGATGCTATCTATAAAAATTGCTTTGTCACTTTGTTTTGAAAAATGCTGTATGAATAAAGTCTATTGTTATATTATCATTTTTGGGTTTTGCAGATTTTTTCAGTTGAGCTGAGCTGTCACATTTCAGAGCTTAAGGTTCGCTGAAACTACACTGGATGACCTGCAGCTGTTTTAGAATAAACTTTCCATGTAAAAACCATTGAAACAACAACACCTTGATGTTAAGTTAACGTAGTAACACCCACTTTACGCAGCAATTGGCCAGATCTTCACATAAACTACTCTCATCACTTCTCATGTTTACATCATAAAGACGTTTTAGGAGAAACTATCCGCAAGTTTTCTATAAAGACATGCAAGACCTTTGAGAGAGAGATCAGGGAAGCCGTGTGTGATGCAGTCAGGGGGAGGCCATGATGACAGGTGTTTCACCCTTGTGTGGCTGCTTCTTAAAACTCTCTTTTTTTGTTTTTTTTTGCCATGTCTAGGGGGTCAGAACATGTTGAAGAGAAACTCACTGAAACCAGAAATGGAACATGATGATCCAGATCAAACAAAAATGACACAAACATCATGGGGATTTCACAGGTAAAAAAGACCTTGTGGTATCCTGGTTTCATGCAAAATATTTTTTTTCAGTACACATTTGAATTGATGAAGAATCTGCAACATGCAGAGCAGTGCTGTGTCTGTCAGGAAGTAGGTGGGTGTTATCTTATCAGCTTAGTGTAATGCTAGTTTAAACTTCCCCTCTGTTTTATTATCTTTTAACTAATTACAGCAGTTGTGGAGCATGACGTTCTCACCAGACTGTAGTCCTTGAAAAACCTTGTAGCTTTAAAAGTTTAAATATTTCAGGTCCTGGAAATCTTTCTTTTTAGCCACTGGATGAATTTCTATCTCTGTGGTGATTCCCTGACTTTTCATCCAGAACCATCATCAGGTCTATATTTAAATCAGCCTCAGCTGTCCTTTGTGTGTTAACTGCAAACAGAGACAGTTGATAAAGGAAACAGTTCACTTTCAATTATTTCCCATAACTGTCATGTGGGTTTCGCCACCTCCCCACCCCTTCAGGAGACCAGCAGCAAGACTGAGTCTGTTCATTCCAATGGGAGAAGTGAACAGGATCACAGAGTATGACACCCCTACAGTCCCCGAAATAAATATTGAATAATTTTTTCTAAAGCCACAGATCTTACGAACATTCTGACATCAAAATGGCATTTTTCAGAGAAAATTAACTTCATTCAGACCTGTGTCTGTCTCAGCAACACACCGTCACAAGATCTGGCAACACAGATCTCCTCTCTCTGTCGGTTCTGGTTTCGCTGCTGCAGCACTGTCGATGTTGCTTTCCAACCGCAGAAGTTTAGAGGGACTTATATGTGAAACCGTGAATTAAAAGTTCATACCGAAATAAAACTTGTATTTCTTTGCTTAATAATACTATTACTATTGCTATCATTTGACTGTTTTTGGAGGGAAAACTGATACGATCTGATACGATCTTATGCTGGATTGATCAGATATTGAGCTCAAAGATAAAAATGAGCGGCAAAATCAGGCGTAAATTGATACTGTATCTAATGTTGTAATGTGTTACGTTTTGACATGAACAAGTAATTATGACCACGCCCACTTTACATCCATTTTATACCACTGGCGCTGCCTGTACTGTGTAATCATCTGTATAGAGTATCTTTGGTAGATAGATAGATAGATAGATAGATAGATAGATAGATAGATAGATAGATCATAATGATAAAAACAGTTAATAATAAATAAACAATAATAATTAGATTAGTCCACTTCCTGCTGAGGTGTTGTATAGCCTGATGGCAGTGGGAACAAAGGATCTCCTGAACCTCTCTGTTCTGCAGCACAGTGAGATGAGACGTTTGCTGCAGCTGTAGCTGCTTCTCTGTCCAGCCAGAATGTTGTGGAGAGAATGGTTGGTATTTTCCAAGATGGCCTCCATCTTACATTGCATGCGTCTCTCCACAACAGTCATGAGTGAGTCCAGACTCCTGCCAAGCACAGACCCAGCCTTTTTGACCAGCTTGTCAAGTCTCTTTGTGTTCATGTCAGACATGCTGCTGCACCAGCAGACTGCAGCATAAAAGAGTCCACTGGCCACCACTGACTGATAAAACGTGCAGCAATTCACAGCAGACGTCAAAGGACCTGAGCCTCCTGAGGAAAAAGGGCTGGCTCTGCCCCTTCCTGTAGATGGCATCCGTGATCAGGGACCAGTCCAGTTTACTGTCCAGGTGCACACCTAGGTATTTATAAGTGTGCACCATTTATAAGTTACCCAGCCTGACGTACTGTGGTCGTCTTGTCAGATAATCCAACAATCCAGGACGTGAAGCAGGGATCCACCCCCATCCCTTCCAGCTTGTCTTTAAGAATGGGCTGTAGGATGGAGTTAAATGTACTTGAGAAATCAAAGAACATAATCCTCATGTAACCACCTGGCTCATCCAAGTAAGAGTGGGCCCTGTGGAGGATGTAAGGGACGGCCATCATCCACTCCAATATGTTCTTTGTAGGTGAACTGTAGGGGGTCTAGTGCATGTTCAACCTGTGGCCTCAGAAGGTGGAGAAGCAGCTGCTCCAGGGTCTTCATGATGTGTGATGTGAGGGCCACCGGTCTGTAGTCATATATCTCAGCCAGTCGTCCTACTTTAGGGACCAGAACCAGACATAGATACTATATTCATCCCGTAGGGGATAAATGAAATGGGGAATGGTAAACATTATACCTGCTAATCTTCAGCTTTTAGCTTTGTCATTGTGAGCATTACCAAGCTAACATTAGCATCTATCTCCAGCCTCAAAGAGCCTCACATGCTAATATTAGCATCCATCTCCAGCCTCACAGAGCTGTTTGCATGTCTGTAGTCTCTCAGTCTTGTCTTATTATTTCTGATATTTTGCAGTGTTTCCTAAGTTGCTCTGTTTGTACGCAGAGAAAAATTGGAGAGAAGCTGCAAAGGAGGTGACGTCCTCGGTGACAGAAAAGAGGGTCAGGCCATGAGGAGTCAGCACAGCCTGGACAAACTGGACACCAGTGAAGTTGAGGTAAGTCTTGGGTGAGAGAAAATGTAGCTTTGTGTCAGAACAAACGTGTTTGGAGTAGAACAAAGTCAGGATTTAAAACTAGCTGGATACAAGCGGCTGTGGCACGGGAAGTAGAGCTGATCGTCCACTAATCAGAGGGTTGGTGGTTCAATCCCCGGCTCCTCCAGTCTGCATGTCGAAGTGTTCTTGGGCAAGAAACTGAACCCCAAATTGCCCCTGATGGCTCTTCCATCAGTGTATGAATGTGTCAATAAGAATGGAAAAGTTCAGTCCATTTACCACTTCGCTTCAGGTATATTTTTCTTCTCTTATCGTGGCCAAAAGAATTGCTAGAATTCAGATGTTATTGTGATATCTGTATAAAATAAGTATATAAATTAATAATGTTAGCAGTTAAATCCATCAAATGAATTTGACTCAAATACAAGTGTAGGGAGGTGGAGAAAAAGAGTCTGTTACCATAACTGTGCAAAAACAACAGTGACTCTTAATGGATAGTGAAAAGGCAACCGGATGGACTGATAAAGATCCACAAGGCCATGATCACAGTATCATTATCATATGTGTATTATCAACAAAGTATCAATATTTCCTTTTTTAAATATCACAGTTCTCATAAATACACCCCTTCTTCAGTTCAAACAAATATAGAATCAGTGTTTGTGTCATGATCACAATGAAGGAATATATAGTTCAAATGCACCAGCATGGCCACAACCCTGGTGTTCATTGGTTTAGAGTCAGCTCAAATTCATTGTGTTCATTGTTGACAGTACAACAAGATAAAACACTGCCTGCATGTTCTGTAAGCTGCAAAAATGTTGGCCGTGAGGCTGTTATGCAGGAGTATTGCTTAACAAACTGCCTCGTTCTTTCTCATGACATCATGGACCTGTTTCACAACACCACCTCTCCCACCAAGCTGTATTACACACATTTGATCGCTCCCCATAGATACCGTGGAGGTGAACTGCTCCCTCATGAAACTGCTGTGTAACACTTATCTGTGTCAGAGTAATAATTTACTGTCTGGAATTCTGAAAAGCTCCTTCCAGTGTTCCTCTGAGCCATGAGAACTGCCCACTCCTACAATGTGTATGTTGCAGAACTGGTACCACCGGTGTAGCATTATCATCGGCAATTAGAAACACAAGCTTTTTAATGGCAGTGCTTCAGCACTACTTCTACATATCACTTCAGACTTTCAATACCAGGATTTGGAGTGTGAAGTGAATGTGAAAGTTGATTGCACACCCACACCCACCTCCACGAGACGACAATAGATTGTGTATTTGTTGTGAATGGTTTCATGATCGCTGCGAAATTGCTTGTTATTATCTAAGTAAAGATGATTTAACCTAGATAATTAAAACGGTGCTCGTGCCATTTTTGAATAACTGTCTGCAGGAAAAGTTAATTGCCCTTGTGTTTTCTCCTTTACAAAAGACCTGGACAAGTTTCTGCCTGTTTTTCTCTGATTCACTCATCTGCCTGTCATACTGGAAACGATTAGCGCTGCTGCTCTGAAACTTAATGTCAGGGGGCGTGGTAAAAGCAGCTCTTATTTGACAGCGAGAGGCTTAAAATAATGATTAGCAAACAGTGTTTTTGTGTAGAACAGGTGAGATAAAGCTGTAGGTGACAATGAACCTTCAGAGAGTTGCAGGGTGCAAAGTCTCCAAGAAGTCCCCAGCAAAAAGAGAAGTTTCACTGTGCCCAAAGTATATTGGCTAAACATAATTCAATCTCAGCTTTATTATCTGTCAAAGTTTTACAGTATTACAAAGCAACACACTTTTAATCACTGTGTCCTGGGAGAAGGTGGAGTCAGGTTTAATCCTGACAGATCAGGAAGATCTAGAGCTTTTCCTCTCAGATAATCAGCATGTGGTTTATGGTCTCCTGAAGAGAGTTTTTCAACAGCTACTGAAATCAACAATAAGTTGATGTTCTTAAACAGGCGAGCATATGATCTGCACATTAACGCAGTTCGCACAGAGATTGTCATCTCAAGATAATCAGCATGTCCACATTTCTGTTTCCCAGAACAACTAAAAATATTGAAGATGTTTGTAAAACAAATTTAAAGGTCCCATATTTGACACTTCTCCTGTGTTTTATTTGAAGTGTTGATTCATAACAAGATATATTTTTGTGTTTAAAAACCATAAACCACCTCAGTGTAGTTTTACATCTCCTCTCTCAGGCTTCTCTCTGGAGCTCTAGTAACAACAGGTCAGTGAGCCAATCAGAAGAGAGGAGGCTCTGAGCCTCTTTCCTGAGTGATTGAATAAAAATACAGCAGATTTCAGGTAAACACTCAAACAAAATCAAATCCCACAAGGCTGGATGGTGGGTCCAGGTGGGCGGGGCTTGGGGATTGGCTGAGAACGGTGACTGCTTTGTTGTGACAACACAAAGTTCCAGAAGTCCTGACGGCTTGTTTTAAGTGAGCGCTTTGATACTTTCACAGTATTAATATAGAACCTAGACCTGATCTATCATCAAACAACACATGGACAGAGACCTTTAGACTATATGGGACCTTTAAGAACCTAAAAAATGATATCTAATATCTCTACAAGCTCATGTCAAAATAAAACTAATTCAGTGTAATACAACGTTTTTTGTGTAAACTGTTTTGGAAAGCGGTTTCTTAAACTGTTGGGGGATGTAGCTTGTGAGTAAGATATGACCCCAAACTAGAGGTAAAGAAGACGAGGATTGCACTATGAAATGCTAAACAGTTAGAGTAGTTTCAGGGAAATTTGACGTAATAAGCACCTGGGTGTTTTTGGGATAACACACCATAGCTGTTGCTTTCATTTTGACTTCAATTAGCTTGAGGCTGTTTCCTGTTTTTTTTTTATGGGGCCTCGTGTCACCAGGTGTGATGGCCAGTGGTTAAACACACGATGGCGTAAATCTGTGCAAACATTTACAAACATACTCCCACTTCTTAAAGTCAACACATGAGTCACACACAGAGTAATGTGTTTTTGAACAGGCTTACAGTGGACGCTTGTGTCCTGCCTCCATGTGTGTGTTCGTGCGTTCATGTGTGTGTGTGTGTGTGTGTGTGTGTGTGTGTGTGTGCAGGCCCTCAGGCAGCAGATGGAGGCCCTTCAGCAGCAGTTTAAACAGAGAGAGAGTGACTGGTCTGTAGTTCGACACCAGCTTCAGGAGCTCATCAGAGAAAACTGTGAGCTGAGGAGGAAGCTCACAGTTACACAGCACTGCCCTCTGCTGGCCAGACGATGCACTGCCGCAGCGCACACACTGCACCAGGAGGAACAAACAGAGGTGTAATACATTGTATGGTCTTCTGAATCTTATCAATATATCCTTATCTCCCCTATTTTATCCTCACTAATAGTTTGTTTAACTGTTATTTTTGGTCTCTTTCATACAGTTAACTGAAACACTTGAGACACTTGAATACCTCAAGCTTGTTGTGTTGTGAAGACGTACAGTCAATGCATCGATCTCCATGTAACAAAACACTCTGGTTAAATTACATAATGCTTCAAACAAACCTGCTCAGTAACATTTGTGTTAATACCGTTATAGTCTACAGATAAAACTGCTCAGGCTCAGTATTTTTGATAGAGGAGGATAGAGAAGAAAAAAACGTCTTAACATCACATCCCACTTTTGTCTTCCACTTGTTTTGCCTGTGACATTTAAAACAGCTCACTTCAATGCCTCACTCAAAAGGAGTGTAGGAGGCCTGACTGAAGTGTCTCACTTTTTTGCTCACTCGGTTCAAGGGAGGAGGAGCTGACATTGAAAAGATTAGAGACAAATTTCCTCTGCAGGCTGCAGAGGAAACGTATGTGTGTTGAACACTGTCACATCAGGCCTCATGCAGGGATGTTTTCATGTTCTCATCCTGAACTTCTCTTACTTTTTTCTTTGAGTTTTTTTTTTCTCCAAATCCGACTCTCTTAACTGGCAAATCACCGTTTTCAGCCTGATGAATAGCAGCTGTTCATGAGGAGCTGCACGTTCGTGAAATATGATCATTAGCATAATCAAAAGCCCCAAAAACAGCCATATAAGGCTGCTGGTTCTGCTTCGTTTCGGGACAGATTTCACTCACAACTGCAGAACTAGAATGTAAAGAGCTGAGCTTCAAGATCTTCTTAAATAAATCAGAGAAAACAGGCCAAGTTTAGCAGCACCAGTGGTCACATTTGAGGACCTGAAACAATCGATACAGGGCTGTGCTGTGCCGTGCTGTGCTGTGCCTGTGCGTGCCCTGGGTGTGCCTCTAGTGCCAGTGCCTCGTGCTGTGCTGTGCTGTGCTGTGCTGTGCTGTCAGAGTGGGAGAATTCTTCCAGCAATAATATTTAAATGTATAAATTGCTGTTTAGAAACAGGCGGAGAAAAATCAGAAAAATCTTGAAAAAATATATTTTTAATTTTACATTAGGTTTGTTTTAGTAAACTTTGGTATCATATCAAAGTTTAAATTCATTCAGATTATTAAGTATTATCATATCAGGTGAGTGTCTTTTTCCTCCATGGAGATAATCTGCACATGACTTCGACAAAATTTGCCAGCCTAAAAATTTTGAGGAAACCTTTGTTCAGCCAACAAATCTACATGGAGAAGTCATGTGTGGATGTGCACATTCACACTCTGTGGTACTGACGGACTCGTGTCATGACTCAGGTTCAGTACAGAGGCAAAGATGTTCTCAGTTTAAACGTTCTCTGCTGGTTTGACCTGAGAAACAGAAGAAGCCACGCTGCCCTCCACTGGCCCTCAGCGTACTCTCTCTGATGAGGACAGAAATGGTGATGAGAGCAACACTTGAAAGAGATGTGAGGTGTTAGTTCAAGAACCAAGATCAGAGTTAGATCAGAACCAAGAAGCATTCATTGATTTGTTTCTGTTAGACACTCTAAAATACCATAAAACACAGAAGATAGACTTAAATAAGCTCCTCTTCTAATGATCAGTTGTGTTGGTAGTGTGGTTTTTCCACGTTACAACTCTTAACGCTTGTTTCTATTGTGCAGACGTTCTAGAGTTCACCTGGTGTCTGCTGTTAAATCTTGTTGGTATCAAATTGTTCAAGTATATAATACACTGTTAAGTGGTCTTTAAGCACACCGGCAATAATTTATGAGGTCGAACAAAAGATGGTGTCAAAGCACTGACTGACCTCATTACATGTTTATGCAGTGCAAGTCGATATGCTCCTCCTGCCAGTTCTGTCACTGCCCGAGTCTGATTTAAAGGGTTACTCACATACTGAATGTCAATGAAAAAGATGAGTATTAAAGTTTAGATTCAGTACATCAAGAATACAAACTCTTTCGTGGGTGAGACAAATACTATTTCATTGTAAAGATGGGATTTTGTCCACAAAACAATTCAGAAAAAGACAATAAAACAGGGTTACCTGCTAAAGTGACTTGTAGAAATGAGTCTAAATCATCAAAAGCTTTAGGTAGATGGATAAATAGATACAGTAGCTTTATACGTTATTTATCCCAAGGGAAAATGATGTGTTGTCAGAGAAAAAAAAAACACAAGATGAATAGATCACTGTAGCAGTAAGAAAAGAAGGAAAAAGTGCAAGTTTACGAAACTTTAAATCGCCCTCTGAGGGAAATTTTCCACCACGTTGACAGTTTTGTCTTTTTCTGCCCAGATGGAACGACTTCTGTCCAACAGATGCAACCTGATGACTTTCACTAACAGGACGGAGAAAGACATTTCTGCAGAGCAGAAAACAAAAACAGTGGCATTTGTCAATGGAGACATCAAACACATTTTGGAAGATGGGAAAGTGGTGAGCTCTGTGGTTCCCTTTGTTACCTTAAAGTATGTTTAAAGCCCAACGGTAGGAATTTCAAATGGTTCACCTGATCGAACTTGTCAAACCCGATAATGCGCATGTGTCTTACAGGTGTATTACTACGCCGGTTCACAGACAACACATACCACCTACCCAAGTGGTCTGGAGATCCTTCACTTCCCCAACAAGCAGATTGGTAAGAGATGCACAGTATACGACTACAGCTGACAGCGTAGTATTTCTTTCACAATATGTGTCCTCCCGTAAACAGAGAGGCGACACCCTGGGGGGAAAAGAGAGATCTTATTTCCAGACCAGACCATCATGTACTTGGAGCCTGACGGCAGCGAGAGGACAATCTTCAGCGATGGCACCGTCGTTCACCTTTCCCCGTAAGACTGAAGTCACTGCTTTATCTCAGGGTGTCCGCAGGGTCAGGAAGCCAGTGGAACCCAGGAAGACTAGCTGTCATTAAGGTGGCAGCTAACAGGTATCCTCATGAATAAATAATAAATGATCGTACACCATGAGGTAACCAGTACGAGGACAGACGCTGACAAAATCGAATTTTGATATCAACAATTTAAAAAAATGAAGGTGCGTTATGATGGGTTCTTATGAAAGAACGAGAAAGAAAGAGAAAATACTTGAAATCCTCCAGTTTATCACACCTGGGGAAGAAGATGTGTTTGAAGTCTGACACCATGGGGCCCCAAAGTGAGGGACAAAGTTCTTACAACTCTGTTTTTAGTTTATATTTGTTCACATTTTGGAAAACTGGCACCATTAAAAGTAGCTAAATTAGCTATTAGCAGTTTCTGTTAGCACTGTACCCATGGGTGTACAGATGACCATCACTCTATTACTCCGATACTGGAGAAAAATTAAAAACGTGATGATTTACAGGCAAGTTCTGGAGGTGTAAGGAGCATTTCTTTTCTAAGATTCCTGAGCAGATTTATGGACTTTTACCTTGTTATTGATACTGGAGATAATACATCACTGGAAAGTGTAAGTCACAGTTATGACTGACAATACATTTTGACAGTAAAAACCCCTGGCATGAACAGTCTGACTGAAATAAACATCATCAACAATCAGTGTCAATGTTTTTTATGTTATTTACCTGTTACATCTTACTATTTAAGCATTAAAAAGCATGTGCTACTTATTTATCAACAGTGCATGTTCAAAAGTGCAGGCATACCTTGCATGCAGCCTTTAAAGTTGCAACAACTGATTTTTGGCCAGTTGGGGGCAGCAGAAACAACTTACAATTGACATATCATCTCCCTTTAAGATATGGTGAACTTGTTAGCAAACAGTAGTTTATTTTCACATCCAGCAGTTACAGAGCAACATTATCTTAGAACAGAAACTCACCATAAAGCTCTGTAAATCTGAGGGGAGCTGCCGATTTAACCAACAAACAACCCCCGTTCATATTGTTTTGATTTTCCTCCTGCTTTTGATCATCATCTCTTCTAGATCCGGTGAGAAGGTGGTTGATTTCCCCAACGGTCAAACGGAGCTCCACACTCGTCAGTATAAGAGGAGAGAGTATCCTGATGGGACAGTTAAGACCGTCTACGCCAACGGACGACAGGAAACCAAGTATGCATCTGGCAGAGTTCACATCAGGGAAAAATGAATGTATGTGTTCATATGTGCAGGTAGAGTGTGCTGTGTGCGTGAGGGAGGAAATATTTTTTCAATAATGTATTTAATAGGGATCCGTAAACCCACAGACATAATCATGGTTCAACAATCAAGTGTAGTTTGTCTCACACTAATATTTCTCTTGATCGAGATCACGTAGCAGCACGTGTCATTAATGTTAATGAGTTATCTGATAAACTCAGTGATGATGTAGCACAGTTAAGCCTCTGCTAGCTGAACCTGAGCGCTCCTGTCCAACAGGACACTGACTCAAATGGATGATTTTTTTTTCTTTTTACTGATAAATTGTCACTGTGACAGTTTTTATTTTTATTGGCTCTTTTTTTTTTTCTTCTCTTTACAGGAAAAAAGTCAAATGAATTAAATGTATCAAATTACAGGAAACTAAATGGTTTGTTGACAGTAGTGTTCCAATAATTGCAATAAAAAAGTCCTGACAAGTGATATGACATAATGACTCAGTATTATCATTATCATTATCATGGAGGATTTTTCTTGGGAAAATCCTTTGACATGCAGAAGTGATGTGTTGTACATTTCCACTTTCTAAGTTTATCAAAGGATAAACAAATCAAAGCTTAGCAATAAATCCAGGAAGAAAAAAGAAAAGAAGAAAAGGGACTATTGCCATGATTTTCCTGTTTCAGATACATTTCTTTTATCTGTGCTTTACAATCAGACTCGAAACATTTAATATTATTTCTTTCTCTAACTCTTTCCAAGGATTTCTAGTTTGTTTTTCATTTCAGTTAATTATGTTGCCCTACAGATAATTGCATGGTATGTTCAGGTTTCTTTTCTCAACCTTCCTTGTGGCTCATGTATATACAGTTTTTTACACCTGCTCTTTTGTTTGATACAAGCATCACATATGTCAGGGGAAGACTGCATCACTCACTCCCAAGAGTCTTCCCTACAATATTACAATCATTTATTCCAAGTTGATTAATCTTGTGATCTGTTCACCTGCTCTGAGATCAGTCATGGAGTTTTGGACCAAAAATATCTTGAGGTGTAGTTTTCAAACTATTGTATTCTGCACGTGGTTTGAAGCATCGACTGAGCAGTGGAGGGTCCTTTGGCCCCCAGAACAGTGAATCAAAATCTTCTTCGCCCTCTGTATCTTCCTTCAGCTCGTCCTCTTCCCTCCTCCACTTTGTCTTGTCCTGGCCTGAAGCCAGCTGACCCGTCAGCTTATGAAGCTCCTGTATGATGCTCTTGACATCCAGCTCCTGCCGCGAGGCCTTCAGAGTGGCCGTGTTGAAGGGGAAGGTCCGTATGAAGTCTCCAACTCTGAGCGGAGGAATATGTTGTCCATTCAGTGCTGTGGTTCCCTCTAAAGGAGTCCTTACTGGCTTGTGGCTCCCGCTGTGAATCAGTCACAACATTTGTTTGTTACACTTTATAAATGGTTGGACCTTTGGTTGAAAACCGATTTCTTCAGCTTGAAGCAGCTGTTCAGTTGGGTTCGATTAGAGCAGTTTCAAGCCATGAAATGTAGTTTTTAAGCATAAAACCCCAAATTTGATCATTGTCCAAGCTTCCAAAAAAACATTTAGGTCAAGAGAAAGTAAGTTGTCACTGAAACCAAGAATGATGTAATAATAATTATGGTGATGCATTCAAGATCTTCCCTGTAGACAGATATTAGTAATGATACATTCAGTCAAACAGCATTACATCCATACAATCAGGTGGACAACATCACTGTGTGGACAATGTTTTGCTTTTAAGAACATTAGCTAACTGAAGTCCGTCTAAATATTTATGCATTGTATTTAACAAATCTTTTTTTTTTTTAATCCTGACTGTGTTGGGCAACAGACTCATTGTAATTTGTTAACTTAATAAAACCGAGAAAGGACTTTTGGAAAGACTCAAAAGCCTCTTAAACTGCAGAAAGAGAAGAGTTTTGTGCTTCTCTGTATGCTGCTTATTGGCTCGCTGGTTGATGATTTATTTTGTTAATCATTTTTTGTTGAGAGGTTGAGAGTTTAATGTGTCCTTTGTCGGGTTTAATTAATGCAGAAAAATATTAACATTAATAACCACGATGACTTTGCACACCCACTTCTAATAAGAGAGAATCTAACTTTTGAAAGAAGGACATTCATTGTCAGCCAGTTCACACATTCTCTACAATGCCTGGTGTCTTTGCAAACTCACAGAAAGCACAGCAGTATAGTGCATATACCTGTAAATGTTGGGGAGCTTCCAGGACACAGCAGAACGTGTGGATCCCAGCCCGCTCTGTCGGATATCGGGTATCTTAGAGGAAACGCGTGTCTCTCCTGAGGGCTCCAGCTCAGCTTCTGTTTCGGTGTCGTCGTGGTTTGTAACCTCAGACACGTGAAGACTTCTGTTGTCCATCAGCCACGGTGCAAAGGCTGGACACGTCGGTCTGTTTACCACTGACGTGTTTGTCCTTGAATGTGGGACAAGTATCAGGTTCAGGGTCTTGTCGGTATGGGTTTTGGTAACTGTGGTGTTAGGCTTTCTGCCCCTGGCTGCAAATAACTTGTTTAAGTCAACAGGGGGAAGGTGTCTTCGGATGTCTGCGACAAAAGCATGCTGTCTGGATTGTCTTTGTTTCATCTGTTCAGACTGGGGAAGAGTTTTCAGCAGAGGGAGTGCCTGAGTTTGTGAGGGCTGGATGCCACTCGTTTTACTCTGAAATTTGGTTTCTTTAAACTTGGAGAGCACAGGAACGTGTGAGGGAAGGTTGGCATGGAAACAAGGCTGCTTGCACTTATGTTTCTGATAAGCTTTCTCTCTTAAACTGTCAATCGATGTGTAGTTCATCAAATCAATCAGATCGCTGATCAGTCCTTTCTTCACTGTGATATCAGCTTGACAGTCCAGAGTCAACGCGGGACTGTAGTTGACCTCCAGCAGCCAGGGTTTAAACTTGATGTCAATAAGGATATCGAAGCCAAACAGCTCCACGCAGTTTGGACAGGAGGGGACGGAGGGAGCGATGGTGAGGAGGGTCAGAGTGACGATGTTGTTGATTTTCTGCCACAGAAGACGCTCGTTGATGTCTTGGCTTTGGAGGAAATGCCTGAACTTGCTCATAGTCCACTTGCATCCTTGGCCCACTCTCCCTTTTTCGGTTTTGTAGAAAGGACCAAACTTATTGATGCTGGTGTTGGTGAGGTGAGCGAACAGGTTTTGCAGAGATGACAGGTTGTACTTCTCAGTGGCGAATCGCACCAGTCCTTCCTGATGAATGTAAACAGTCAGCGGATGGAAGCTCTTAACGCACACATAGATCCTCAGGTCAAACTTGTAGCCGGAGATCAGCAGAGGGTTGCTGATGTACCTCTGTACAATCACAGAGCAGTCGTAGACCAAGTCCTTCATATCCTCAAAGATGAAGATCCCTCTGCCTCTGGAGAGATCCACAGGCTTACATATCCAGTACAGCGACGGTCCTCTGGTCAGACGCAGTCTGTTGTATTCAGCCAGGAAGCGTGTGTAGTCGTTGGGGAGGATGAAGACAGTGGGACTGAAGTCATACAGAGATGAACCAAACGTGGATCTCATCCTCCTTAGGTTGCGTGCCAAGCAGTCCTTCCAAAATGAAAGTAAAAAATGCAAATCATTACTTTTAGAGAGTGTGATCATTTTAACTGAAAAACCAATATTCCACCTGCATCAACATGTGTTTTTTCTTCCGATAATGTATCCTGATACAAACTGCTTTTTAATGCCAGGTGTTAATGGGGTGTAAATGACAAGACTAGTGCTTCTAGTTTTTCAAGATTTCTTTGTTTTCTGCCTAGTTTTCAAGTTAAAAACAATGTCAATTGTGTGGAGAGGAAGGAATGAGAAAAAGCTAAATAAAACAAGAAAAGTACAAATCTGTGCAGGTACAGTACAAAATGAGCTGAAACTCACTTTAAAGCTCAGTAACATTCTCTTGAGGAGAGAGGAAGGTGTGGGAACATGCTGTAAATGCACAGTTTCAACGCACTGAGGAGATGTCGCATTTACATTTCCCAGTGTTCACAAAGCAGTATGTTTCCTGTAAATTGATTTAGATTAATGCAACAACAAATCATAGTCATAGCTTCTTTGTAAAACAGATGCTTCTTTTGGCAATACTTTCTCAGGTTAATGTCCTTTATAAAAGAGCACAGCATCTAAAACTGAATTTCTTTAAGAGATAAAGTTAACCCAACATGTCAGAGCATCACCTTTCGTGTGATGCCAAGAGTTTTGGGATGGTGGTTGAGGCGCTGCCATGGCAACAGGCTGTGATATTCTGAGTTGCGAAATGCAGAGCTGCGCCAGTAGAGGTTCCAGTCCCCCTCCTCTCGTTCTTCTTCATCAAATTCCTCCCACCCTCGCTCCAGGAGAACCTCCCTCACCACCTCTGGACCTCTGTCATGTAGTCTGAACACCAGGGACGCAGCCATGCAGCATTGTAGGCTAAACTAAAGATTCAGCAGATATACAGAAGAGAAATGTGGATAATTAATATCAGAGCATTCTGTCTTTATCTGGCAGTTGGGGCACTTAAGCTCCATTTAGATGGGATTATCATTGCAGGTGAAATATTCACTGTGCTTCTCTGTAATTTAAATCACTTTGGACGGATTTTACCCTTCCTGGAAATACAGGATGTAGTCTGTAATAGACAAGGAGAATTAGCAGGACAAAGCTGATGTAATGAGCTTTTACTGGGTCTTGCTCTTTTTTTTCCTGTTATAGTTACAGTATATGTTGGTGTTGGCTTGTTTCCATCTATCAGATTGGCAAGAACATTTTTACACACAAGTCAAGGACCAGCTAATTTGCTGCTGCAGAAAATAATGATACAAACCACTGATATCTGCTGGAGAAGTTTGCAATAAATTGTCCAAATGCAGGTAATGCAAGAAATGATGTGTATTAAAGTGCTAGTTTCAGAATGAATGAAAAAAAAAAAAATGTATCAGCCTGAGCCTGAAGATGGTTTAAATGTTATTTCAGAGACTTTAAATTGGAATAATTATGGGAATTTACAATGTTGGGAAAAAAAAGTAATTTGTCTTACCTTTAAATGCTGAATGCACATGAACTACTAGTCTTATTGTCTTCCTGTCAGGTAAATGAAGAGTACATGATGCAGTAACAGTCCTTCCCCTTCAGCTCACCTTTCAGACAGTGTAGTGTTGACAGGCAGTCTGCTCTCTTGGCTCCTCCTACAGACAAAACCAGACTCGCACAAACAGGGACATACTGCGGGTGGTCTGTGACACAGGCTGTACTGCCAAACAATGGTTGCTAGATGAATGACTGCCCATTGTTAGAACTGTTTTGTTTTAAATGCAGTTATCATAGAGACAATAGATTATTTTCAGTAAATACATTTTGTTAATGTTATGCAATGTTGCCATCACAGCAAACGTTTACATATAGGAATAATATTATATTGGGTTATGATACACTCAGTGGCCACTTTTTAGCTGCACCTGTACAGTCTACTTAGACTGACCGCTATACTTACAAGAAATAATAAACAGAGAACTTTTTTTTTTTTTTTTTTTTTTTTTTTTTTTTTTTTTTTTAAACTTTTATTAAATCTCATGGCAAATGCAGGTAAACCCTCAGTAAGCCCGCTCACAATGACCTCGTCCGCTCATCTGAAAGAGGAAATATGGTTTTAACATTGTTGATATGCTTTCACTGTGTATTGAAAAACACTGTGTTTTACAGGTTGTTACCACAGTGGTAGAGTCTGTTCAGTCTCTGTATGTCCAGCTGGCTGAGATGTGTCCTCTGACCCATCTGCACTCCACTCTGCTTGGGCAGCATCGTCGGACTTCCATCTACACTGAAGAAATACCTGCAACAAAAAAAAAACCAAAAAAAAAACGACAGTAACATTTACATGCAAGTCAGTCACTTCCATTTTTGGAAAAAAATAAAATGAAGCTACAGTAAGGACAAAATGATTAGATTGTAAAGTTAAAAAGAAAAAAAATAGTAATATTCAAAATATGTTTTAATGTAGATTGCAGCTGTTACACTTGGCAATGATAACCTGTTACTGAAGAAATGAGGATGGTTAGGACTTACGACCCATAATGCATTATGGAGTTAATGTCATACGGCAGGTTCAGAGTGTTCCCACGTTTCGTCTTGAAGTTCTTTTGTCTCCCTTTAAATCAGAAATGTTCTGAATGATTTATTAGGCTTTGGTCTTTTGAAGCCATAGCAACAAGTTGAAAATACAGTATCTGTGTCCAAATGTGCCATATTATATACTATTACCACAGAAATCCATGTGTGTGCAATGTTGTCATTTAAAAAAGGAGACTTCCTGTCCGAGTGAGCTTCTGTCATCTACCTTTTGTAACTCTATGCAATCTCTAAATCCACATCCACTACAGCAGCATTTTAACAAAGTTAAACAACAATTGATTTATGACTAGAGATGAAACTACAGCTCCCAGAATTCACAAGTGTTGCAGCATGGGTTCTTACGTCATGGCAATTTGGTTTCATCCATATCCATTAACCTCACCAGCTCCCGCTTCAAAAGTGTGTCCTGCTGTTATTACAGACACGTCTGAACTAACTAACCCCTCGACTCGCTCATGTGTGTCAGGCAGTGAGGTTCAGACTGCAAACACCTAGAACTTATGGGAAATGGTGTTTCTCAATATTATTAAAATTATAAATCAAAATATATAAAGTAGGCTGGAGTTTTAGTTATTAGAATTGCTACAAATGTCAATGAGATTTTCTTACATCTGAAGTTCCAGTTTCACCTCAGCTCCCTAAACTCTGCATCTTTGAACCTCTCACCCCGATCACATGCTTTTCTGTTATCTAGATGAAGTTAACCATTTTCCTTTTTATGTTTCATCCTTTGTTGTGTGTCCTTTTGTTTTTAACCTTTGATCTTTAACATGGTGACACACTATTTGTCTTTGGTCAAAGGTGGATCAGCTGATCAGGTGACCACCTGCTGAGCCCATTTACAACAGAATAAAGATCTGTAAAAGGACATGAAGACAGATTATGCTTATCTTCTAAATCTAAAGCACCTTTTTATGTTTCTAGTTTGAATATATTGCAAAGAAGCGAGTTTGAACAATTCCACAGCAGTGGCTGCCCCAGTTTTTCTGCCCCAAAAACAGATGCATGGAGTTGTACGTTGGCAGAATGCACAAATAGTTTGGACACAGCTAGTGTTTTTCATATAGAGAATTAAGATTAAGTGCCGTATTCACCTGGCATGATGCTCTGCCACTGCACAGTGATGTACTGATCCCGGTCCTTGCGGGTGTGCTCATGATGCAATCCCAGTGCATGGACGATCTCATGGCAAAGGTTCCCCACACTACATGACCGAGCATAATACACTACCTGGGGTCCTCCTCGACAGCCGACGGAGGACGCACAGCTAGAAAGTTAAAAAACAAAAAAACAAACCTCCAGTGGTGTCAAGACATGCAGTTATAGTTTTAATTTATTTGTTTTGGCAGGTGTTGAATTTCCCCTAGGGGATAAATAAAGTATCTATGTCTTTGAGATTTCTGCTTCCTCCTCCAATATAATGGAGGTGACTAAAAAATTACATTTGAAAGATTCTACATCTTTTCAATAAACACACCATCCGCAGTTCTGAGTGGAACTACTTTCTGCTAAAGAAATAGTCCCTATAAAGCAACTATAGAGCAACACTGACACTGCTTACTGTTATTTTTGTAAATGTACATTTTTAATGCTGTTAACAACAAATAATTCAGTTCTCCTCCAACACATTGGAATAGCTTATAGTTCCAAGTGCCCATACCTCTGGTTTTATTCAGCAATTCAAATAATAAAGTAAAAACAAAGTGACAGTTTTGTAGAGTTTTGTCATTTGAATGAACTGACCCTTTAACTGAAATATCCCGGGACATATTCCTCACCCTTTGCCGTTGAGGAACTTCAGGTAGTTCAGCTCTGTGGTGTGTCTTTGGAAGCGAATACAGGTGAAGTCAGATATCATTTTGAAGGCGGTGTAGATGTTTGACTCTCGATCAGCTGTTAGAATGAAAACATAGAAACTGTTTTACCATCTTCACAGTACTGGTCTCACATTATTAGAGTTAGAACCACAGCAACCCACCCACTTCATCACTGATGGTGTAAGGTACGATGGCGTCCAGCCACAGAGTCTCCACAGCATTCCTGTCCTCCTGTAAAGGTTAGACACAAACATTCAGTATCATTACCACTGAACTAAACACTAAGACTCCAGCAAGACTTACACAAGTCGTCTGACAAATTCAGCTTCAACACTCCCTGTCGTTTTCAATTTCGTCCAAATTTAAGGTCACATTAAATTACGGTGTATGTCATGTGTGTTTCCCCTTTTATCGGAGATATATCTTATTTCCTCTGGTCTAAAAATTCCCTGATGAAACTACATCTTTCTTTCAGCCATGTGGGACACAATGTTCTCCCTCTTACCGGAATCAAAATGTCTCCCTCTTGGACAGTCATGTCCTCCTGAAGCTCTACAAGAGTCACAGTGTAGGATAAAAACAGTGTACATTGCATTTATGAAAATGATTAATTTTATCTCTATGCGGAACATTTAAATTTTACCCTCTAAGGTTTCTGCACTGTGTCTCTGTGGTGGCTCAAGCAAGCTGGAAACATTCCCACCTGCAGAAATTTAAACATTAAATTAGATCATTTCATTAAAATCTCAGAAAAAGTTTTAAAACCCAGTGACAACCAACCTGGTGCAGCACTCGTCACATTGTGGGTGTCATTTAAAGGAACTGCACCAACTGACAAAGACAATAAGAATCAGTCAAAGGTGGATTATAACTGTAATTTTATATTTATGAAAATTGAGTTTGTACCTTTCAGAGATTCAGTAGAGGCTGGCTGTGGCACATCAAACATGAACGTGACAGTAACATTACCTGTGGAAATTATGGAGTACATCTTATATTAATCTTTATATTGGAGCTAATGTAAAAATCCAAAGGGCACCAACCTGTGGCAGGAGTAGTTGCAGCATTGTGGGATATATTTACAGGGACACCACCAGCTACGTGAAAACAAAGAGTGAATGATCATTGTAAATAAAAGAAATCATTATGTAGCAGGATATGCTGTTTGAATCCTTCAGTCTGTACCTGTCGACACGCAGATGAAGACCAGAAGCCACATAGTGCAACACAGCACAGACTCACAGAAAGAGAAGACCTCTGTTGGCTTTCTGACAAAAAACAGTTACCATGAGGCTTTTTTATTAACAGGTGTGAGTCATTCACACTAATTATGACCTTTCAGCTTCAGGCTGAACTGCAGAGGGCGCTGTAGATTTCTTAGTGGTGGGTTATTCTGTGGACACTGAAGAGTTTTAAAAGTTGCGGTACTGACGGTGCATACAGAGATGCATCATCAGGAGAGGCAAATCAGGCAAATGTTTGGGGCCCCTAAGGACAAAGGGGGCCCCTGATAGGCCCTCATATTGGCACATTTTGCATTGACAACTATAAACCCCCATAAACCTCCCATAAACACACTGCTGTATGATGATGAGCTGTAGCTAGCATCTGTAGTCTGATAATCTGCATGTGAGACATTTAGGGGACATCTGTAAATTGTAATATCTGCCAATAGTCTGCATGTGGGGGTAGTTCTTCAATGGGATTCTTTGCCCTCGGGCCCCCCAGAGATCGCCACCGGGTGCATATAATAGCCATTCATAGTGAATTGTTGTTTGCTACTAGTTTTTTCTCTCCATGTTTATGTTGGCAACTATACAGATGTATGCTTACATCCTTTGAGCAAAGGTTTAGAATCTTAGAAATATTTTCTAATGTCAAGTCTTGAGCCCAGTTTGGTTTTTATGCCTTAAAAGTGTCTCACACATTCAGAGAGTTTAATACTTTTTGCCGTCGCTGCATTGAGATCCTGGTATTTACAGACATTTATAGAATAGTGCTCAAGAATTACTCTGGAGGGGGGCTGAGGAGCGGAGGTGCTCTAGTAGGCCTATGATTTAAGACTCTCACAGTGTAATCACAACATTTCCTCTCATAGCTAAAATGTCCACTGTCAAATAAAAGCAAAAATACCCAATAAATAATGAGCTCTTGAGGAGCTTTTCAAGTATGAATTTTGGAAATGAACGAATGCAAAGAAGAAGTGAGCTGGAGGAGAAAACATGTTCAGATTTCTGAATAAATACAGGATTAAAGCTTTTTCAGCATCTGAGAATATAACAGGGGGAAAAAAGAAATTGAACATTGTTTAGACAGCTGGTCCTCAATGAATAGGCAGACTGCTTTTCTTTCACAAAGTGATGAATGAGGGTTTTTGTGGCTCCCAGCATGACCACTAGAGGGCCCAATACGACACCCTAAACAACTGAAGGCTCTCGATCAAAATATGTGGGTTTGTTACCCTGAGCTTTAACTTTCAGGCACGACTGCAGCTTTCTCCCAGGCGGAGGACTGACTCTCAACAAACTCCAGCAGTAAATGTTGGCGATGGCTGCGGTTAGAGGAATATGAGCTGAGGGGTTAGTGGTGAATGACGCAGGATTAGAACAGGATCGCTCTGCAAGACAGAACTCAGGGCTCAAAGTCAATAGCGACTATCTAGCTATGTGCCATAAGGAATGCTGCGTTCAGGTGTCCTTGAACATGCAGCAGTATAATGTGCATGTAACTAGAAATGCACTATGTCTATTCTTTTAATCAGTGAGTAGTTCTGGTCTTATAGCACCAGGATGTTGATGAACGACATGTGTTTATTGTTATTAATGGTGCTACATTCAGGCACCAGAGGCAGCACACACTACACAGTTCACTAAACTTTTATGTGGTTTTCTAGATACAATCATATTTTACAGTTTATATATTGTGTCCAAGTGATGGACTCTAGAGTGAAAACTTTACAGAGGTCAGTTTAACACAGGCTTTCCTCCTAAATATGTGTAGCCACCAAGCCCAAGGTTTAACCATTATCAGGGTTACTTATGCAGCTTACAGCTTTTTTCATTGGATGAATAATACGCTCTGTGATGAGTCAGTTACTGCAACTGACAATTATATTCTAAATGAATTGTATTGGTCTCTAAAGAGTCACAAAATAGGGGAACTCCACATCACTTAGTACCAAAACCCAGGTTTTTGTCATCTGTTCAATCCCTTAGCTTTAAATGTAAGTGATGGGGGACAAACCTCATTCTGTGACAAATGTAATCACAAGTATATCTAAAGCTAACATGAGGCCTCAGCCATTCAAATTAGTCAAATCAAGCACATGTCTGGACAGTTGAAGTCTTTTACAACTATCCTTCCACTGCGGCTCATTTAGGACACAGTGTTTAGGGAAAACATAAAAGGGTTTAACTTCTTGATTTGACTAACTTGGACAGCTGAAGCTATATTAGCTTTACAAGCTTTTAAAATCATTTTTACACAGAATGAGGACTGTGAGGAGGATTTGTCTATCAGTTACATAAAAATGCATTAGGAAGGGATTGTTTAATGGTGAGAAGGCGATTACAGCAAACAAAACCAGTTTTGTTGATCAAATTGGGGCCTAAGACAGACAGACAGACAGACAGACAGACAGACAGGCAGACTCTATGTTGTTTTAAAAATGACTTAAAATTAATGTGGTGAACTGAGGAAACCCTGTTTTAGGCTATTTCCTGTACTCTGCCAAGAACCGGACGGATTTGGTCTGGGTGGTAAAACAGCACAGAAGGTTGTGGGAACTTTTTCCTTAAACCTGAGCAGTGCATGCTGCACTACTTGGGGTCAGCCCTATGTTCCCACAGCCCTATGTTTCCACATTTCTAAGAATGTTTTGAAAATTAGGCCCTATTTTCCCACAGTCTTATATGTTCCCATAAGCCCATGTCCACACTAACCCGGGTAATATTTATCCGGTTAACCCTTCCGTCAAACTGAAAACGATGCTTACAAAAACGATCGCTGAGGTGGATAAATGTGAAGACACCGTGGAACGTGGATGCAAAGCGTTCTGAAAACGATTAGTGTGGATGGAGATCATTTTCATTGTGAATGTGCATTTTTATATTTACCCAGGTTAATGTGGACAAGGCCTAAGATTTTTCTCAAAAGGAAACATTATGGTCCCATATTTCTTAACATAGGGCTGTGGGAACATAGACTCGCTCCCCACTACTTTATACCTTGATGCACCTTGGTGTTGCAATAACAACTTATCTAATTTATGGTTTATTGCCTCACTCAAGTGCCTTTATATAGATAGAAGACGCTACCTTTTCATATTTATCTTGTTGTCTATTTCTGAGTTACCAAACATAATTTCGTTATGTGCCTACAATGACAAATAAAAGTGTCTTGCGTCGTAGCTGTTACATTACAGTTTTCCCACAGGCCCTGAACACAGCATCAGTCACTATCATGTGATGTCCTGTCATGTGCTGCAGTCACTTCCTACTGATTTGGTCCGGAGCAGACAGACTCTGCTGTATCATGTCGTCTTAGTCGGGCTCCTCAGACATTATCCACTGCAGTGAACATGTTGTTTCGGTATAAATCCAGCCGTTGTGCATCTCTGAAGCTGGGCCTTTGGTTCGTGGCGAGTCTGGGATGTTTGCTAGTCCGGTCCGGAGCAGAGGAGGACAGCAGCAGCCTGTGGTACCAGGACCTCTGCAGGTAACTAACACACCTCCGGAGCAAACACTGCAGCTTCGAACACAACAAATAACAACATTACAGCAATTCTTCCGAATCCTTTTCCGAATTCTAACTTGATTCACAGATAAGTCAGTGGATGATTTATTTGCCTGTTGTCGGACACCCGGTGACTCATAACAAGGATGAAATGAAACATTACAAGGTTTCCTGTTAAATTTAGCTCATTAACAATCAATTGGCTCTTTGTTTCAGTTACAATATCAACTTTTACATTTGGTTTGCCAGGCTTGCTAACGTTAAATTACCCGTATCAACGATGCAAGAGAGCTAATATATCGATGAAAACAGTTTTCTTGTCTGAAAAACCGAGCTGCTTGATAAGTTTTAGTCGGCCCACAGTTGAAATGACTCTCTGGAACTCTGTGAAAATTATCTCAGGCTAAACGAGTTAACGGTTATATCTGTTTTTATCAAGCTAAAGTGTAGCCTAGCTAACTGCTAACGCTACATCATGCAACTGTCATGTAACAGCTAACGCTAACTGTTAACACAGTAAATCACATGTTTTAGAGTCTGGCATGGCAGCTTTTACATAAAAAAAACATTCACTCAAGTGCTGCGTTTGAATATAAATTTGTGGTACTTGTACTTGGGTATTTTAATTTTATGATACTTTCACTTCTATATTTCATAGCGAAATATTGTACTTTGTATTTCACTACATTTATTTGGCAGTTTTAGTTACCTTTTACTTTACTTATCAATATGTTTGTATACTGAACATAAAGTATGAAGAGCTTGTAAAACATAATGCATTATTTAACTACCCACCAGTGTATACCAGCAGAATTAGATTATCAATAAGAGAATCACGTCATTTTAAACATGTAAATATAATAAACATTTCATATTTCCAGCTTTTCAAATGTGACGATTTTCTGCTTTTCCTTTTGAATTATTCCGACTTCAGTTTAGTTTGAATAATTGTGAGGTTTGGACTATTTGTTGGACAAAACAAACATTGTGAAGGTGTCACTTTGGATCTTTACAAACCAAACAATCTATCAATTAATCCAGCAAGTAATCAGGAGATAAACCTTAAAGAAAATAACCATTGGTTGCAGCCCTACATAGTTAAAAAAAATAGCTCCACTTCAACAAACTGTTATTGTAAAGAAGATGTGCATTAATACATAAGTAATAATAATCTAATTATTACCTCCCCTGTGACTGTTATATTACTAGATCTGAACAGTATAACAATCACAGGGACCATTTTTTCTGCATTGAGTACTTATTTTTATACATGCTCTTAATTTAGGTACATTTTCAATTTTTGATACAGGACTTTTACATGTAATGGGGGACTTGTACAGAGTGGTCTTAGTGGTTTTACTTTAGAAAAGGATCTGACTAGTTCTTCCACCACTGATCAGAGGTAACATTATACTGCAAACTGTCGGCTAAATACAGTGTTGTCCTCCTGTTGCTCAAATATTGACACAGCAATAAGGCTGAAAAGATAACAGGTAGGTCGGGCTGAAATGTCAGGCTGGTTACATTTCATTAACCATGTTCATGTAAGGAGGCTGTTTATAAACAGAGATAGTTCACCAGAAACTTTTGTCAGGTTTAATTGCAAATGGGATATAGGCAGCGGTAGATGAAGTGTCATTCAGATCATTTACTTTTATTTATCATTTACTAGAGTTGTGTGCAAAAGTTTGTGCAGCCCTGGGCAGATGACATATTTTGATGATTTTTGTTGTGAAAATAATTCAATGCAACCCCTGCAGCATACAGACATTTAAAAAGAATGGGCCTCAAATGTTAATGCGCTGTTAGTTTTTATTCCATGAGCTTAAAAAACAGAAAAGAGACGCTCTCCTTGCAGGTCGCTCCAAGTGCTGAGATATTTTTAGGCTGTCTGGCTCACACAGTGTGTTTAAGATCCGCCCATTTTCAATGATGTTCAGGTCAGAGGACTGTGAGAGCCGTTCAGAAAGCTCCAGCTTTTTTTTCTTGAGGTGGTTCATGGTAGATTTTAAGGTCTGTGTCAGATCAATGTCTTGTTTTAGAAACAAGCTTCTTTTTACTTTCGCTTCTTGACTGACTGCAGGACAAATGCATCCGGTTTTTGCTCATATTCACTGGAATCCCTTCTTCCCTCTATCTTTGCATTGTGCAATGTGTCTGTTGTTTCTGTCACTCAATTTATCGATTTATCGACTTATTGATGCAGCTGTAAATCAGATGATTCAATTGCTTAATCTATACATTTTCAAAGTAATGAAAAATACCCATCACAACTTTCCTAAAGGTTGAAAATGTTTTTTGTCTGACCAATACTCTGAAACGTCAATATATTCAGTTTATTACCATGAGACAAAACAAGCAGCAAATCCTCACATATGAGAAGTTGGAACCAGGTAATTTTTGTCATTTTTGCTTGAGACAATAAATCACTCAAACATTTCTTTCTCAACTAAATAATAATACAATATTAAAATAGTTGATTTTTCTGTCGATTAACTATTGTTTCAGCTCTGCAAGCCAATTTTAATTTATCTTCTAATGTCAGGAAAATTTTGTTCAGTGGATCAGTAAATCAATCAATATGGAAAAGTCCCTGCACCAAGTCTGTCCTGTGTCCTTCATGTCTTTTGTTTCTTGCGTTGCAGTTATAAATGGGAAGCTGTGGACCGAGATAACAATGTGAGCTACACGTTGAAGCTCTGCGAATCTTCACCGTCAACCAGCTGCGGCCCCGGCACCGCCGTCTGCGCTAGCAGCCTCAAAACCAACACCAAACAGTCTGTTGGTGAGTACCGGTGCACACTGGGACACAGTAAAAGTTTTGCAGTTGCATCAAAAGCTTTTATCAGCCAGGTGTCATGGCTTCATGTCAGTCTGCTGGAGAGATAAAACGCTAAACAGGAAAGAAGCTAAGAAGAGAAAACTTGATTGTTTAGGAAAGTTTGATCAAGGTTTTGACAGGTTCTCTTCAGCATGAACGATGACTGTGTGTTCAAATGCAGCTTTGCCAATAGTTTAATGGACCTGGTGACATTTTAAGGCCTGTTGTGTTATTTTTTTGAATGTCACTGTGGTCAGAGACTTTGTTCCTGTAGAGAGCTGCGGATGTAAAGGAGTGTTTAAGTGCAGCTTCTGTGGTTTGGAGGGTGTCAGAGAACATGTTTTCAGCTTAGGTGTTGTGATGCCAGCTTTCTTCTGTGACAGTGAAGAATGTGATAGAATACCTGTGATTGGCCAAGAGTTAAAGGGAAGAGATGTTTCATTTTCCCTCTAGTTTGGACGTGAGGGTTAAGCCAGGCAGCCCCAAATCAGGCGCCCCAGACTAATAATTTTAGAATCTACCAGACCGGTTGTTGTTTAATGTACAGGTTGGAGGGGGGCGGGGTCACAACAAATGGTTAAGCCTCTGAACAATGAATGATTAATGCTCTCGGACACTCGGTTGGATTTCTGGAGGGCCAGAAATTTGTGGTCTTCTGTCTCACTGTCACTGTCTAATTTCCCTCATTGCTGCTATCACACGATCTGTTATCAACTGTAATGAGCTTATTCTAACAGTCACTTTTTACACAGAGTTGTAGTCTGTAGTTGTAGTTGTAGTCTTGAAACCTGTGTGATGACGCTTTGAATGTCCCCGGAGAAGATGTAGACCACATTGCCACCACATTCCCACACTGTCTGCACCTGTTTTCTTCTTACTTTGTGCAGTTCTACTATGAACAGAAAGTGATTCTGCCGTTCTCTCTCTCTCTCTCTCTCTCTCTCTCACTCAACACTGAGGATGCAGTCGTGTTGTTTGAATAAACTTTATTGGCATTGTCACTGGACATAAACGACAGGGGGCTCCGTGCTTATGATCAGTGTGAGCTCCTCGTCGTGTTTGGCTGATTGACCTGTGCAATGTGAGAATAGGTTTCACAGGTGCTCATCAAAACGTGTGCAGTGAAAGTTACACAATTTACAGGTTCAATAAAATCACACAGTGTCTGCTCAGCTTTATGTGGGAGTCGTAACGAGAGGATGGTTCACCTGTTGTTGTTTTGGCATTGGCTGTGGCCCTCAGTCACCTGTGTAAAGTTTGCTAATAAATCCAGGTACTGTAATGTCTTCTTTGCTGTACTTTGGACATCATTCGTTCCGTCTTGTCGCTCCTCAGGGCCACAACCTGTGTGAAGTTGCAAATTTCAGCTCAAAATGTGGTTTTGCAATCGTCACCTTTGTCCCCAGCAGGAGACAGGCTCAATGTCATAAAAACGAATAGAATAGATTCCTGTTGTCACCTTGTGTCCGACAGTGTCGTGCAGGATAATTGAGTTCGCTTTGCTGGGGAGCAGCAGTGTGTTTACAGCAGGAGTCGGCCAGAATCCAGCATGTTGGAGTTTACTGTCACAGTCTGATGTGGCACCCAACCATGAGCTGATGCACAGTTGGTGCTATCTGAGTCCAATGCGTCCCCTGTGTCACATGACAGCCACACAGCAGAACATTTAGTGGCTCTTTAGTGACACTGCTTGAAAAAAATCTAATTCCTAGCAGCTGTTGTGTTTATATAGCTGCACTGTGGTCATTTTGTGGGCATGAAATTAGCTGTGAATTAACTGGGAGCAGGACTGTGGTCAAGAACATTTGAACTGTGAAATGCTGTAGTTTGATCTTTTTTTCTCCTCTTTCTAAGACCTGAAGTGGAGTGTGGTGGTTAAAGTGTGTCTGCACATCAGTGGCCATGAAGGGAAAACAATAGAAAGAGTGTGTAGAGTCTTTTGATTACTGATTTAAATATCTGGAGATTTTCAACAACTTATTTATTTATTTATTTTTATTTTTTTTTCGATAATTTTGACATATAAGATGCACTACTGCCTCTGCATCTCTGCTGTGTAGATAGATAGATAGATAGATAGATAGATAGATAGATAGATAGATAGATAGATAGATGGATAGATTATCAAAATATTTGCAGATTCATTTTCTGTCAATTGGCCAATCAGTGAATTGACTAATTGCTGGAGCTGAAGTTGCTGTTGTCATAGAGCCTTATCTAGTGCCTAATCTCTCACTGTATATAAGACCTGATGAATATCCTACTCTGATGGAAACTGCAAAACAATCAATATAAGAATAGATGTTAATTATATTTACAGAAACTAATAAATCAATGGAATTTACACATGGTTTAAACAGTGGATGGGTTTATGTCAGGTCATAAACAGTGACTGAACTGTTGTGAGGGGAGTTATTGTTGCTACATCTCATATACAGAACTCATCACATGACCAGTGAGGGGTTTATTAAATGTGGAGAGAAGTGCAGCTGCATGGATCCATCTCTCAGAGCTTTATCAGAACATTAGCAGATCTGATCTGTGTGTGTGTGTGTGTGTGTGTGTGTGTGTGTGTGTGTGTGTGTGTGTGTGTGTGTCAGCAAGATCCACATCTGTGTCCTAGAGGGTCTGAAGTGTCTCAGCTTCTCTCTTCACTGTTCTTCTAGCTCTTTGATACCAAGCAAACTCCTGTCTTCTTTCTGCAGTTCAACCATTTAGACCATTAACCAGCTCATGTGCTGCATGTATATATTTTTAGATGAATTGGTAATTAATAAAATCTGTAATAAAAAAGGATCTGAGAGTTTTTCTAATGTTGATTATAAGCCAAACAGAGACAGAGACAGCCCTGATCTCTGATTAATACAGCAGCCTTAATTGATTAAGCTGGATCTAAAGCAGCGGCTCTCAGACCTTCTCAGTCATGCTTCATATTTAGAGGCTGAAAAACAACTCTGCTCCTGGAAACCAGTTTAAACTGAATATAGATGACTCAATAATGAAAATAGTTAGAGAAGTTATTATATTGACCAAGAAAGTAAAGCTGAATTTTGTTTTATTGAAAGAACATTAAAATCAAAAACTTGAAATTGAAAAAAATTGAAAATTTTCTTATTCTTTACATGAGTTACCTTTTGTGCAAATTAGAGCTGCAGCAATTAGTCGATCCAGAAAAAAAAGGTAATCAATCATTCAGTCATTTCAGTAATTTTCAAGCACAAAATGTCAAACATTTGCTGTTTCTAGCTTCTCTAATGTGAGGATTTGCTTGTTATGGGGTGTTTTTTTTCACTATTTCTTCTATTTCTTGACATTTTAAAGACTAAATGATTAATTAAGAAAATAATCTGCATGTTAATTGATGATGGAAGTAATTGTTAGTTGCAGTTTGCATCACATGATCAAAAGTCTCCCCAGCGTGTTGTTTCCTGTCTATATGAGCGTTGCTAATTTGCCCTGTTAGTATGAAAGTACTTGTTTGTTTATTGTTCCAACATCAATCAGATTCATTCATTTTTAGTTCCCCTCCACACTGGCTCATAAGCATCCAGAAGCAACGGGCCCCCCTGTGGTGAGGGCCCCACAGTTTTGAAAACCACTAATTAAACCAGGGGACCCTTTGAGCTGCTGCATTGTCATTCATGAACATATTTCTGATACGTTTTGACATATTTTATAATATTAGAGTTAACATGTAGACATAAATGTTAAACATCTTTTCTTTATTCTGATACACAGTCATTTGTTCTTATTTATATCACTAACTAGTTATTGTTTTACTGGATGTCCCTTACATTTGGTTTTTAATCTAAATCTGTCCTTTCACAGTGGTCACAAGCTGTGCTTTTGTTATGGAAATGGTGTTTTTATAAGCACTCAGGCTGCAGCTAACGATTTATTTTCTCGATTGATCAATTCATTGTTTTATCTATAAAATGTCAGAAAATAGGGAAAATGGTTGATATGAATTCCTTCGGTCCAGAGCGATGTCTTCAAATGTCTAGTTTAGTTCAACCAATATCCAAACTCTAAAGATATTCAATGTAATGTGATTAAAAGAAGGTGGAGCCAGTTAATGTTTTGCATCTTGTCTTGTCACTAAACAATTAATATATCACATGCATTTTATATTTAATTTTACCGGAAGGTGACTTCAATTTAGACTCAGGCTCACCGACACTATTTTGGAGCTGTTTTCCACTTTCAGTTACGTCACTGTCTTTGATTTTTGTCCGTGAGCTCACTAAAGAGTTGCTTCCACGCCTCACAACAACAACAACTTGTCCTGCAGTGTGAGGCCGTGACCTTCCCCTGGTGACAAATTGGTGTTTGGTTGCTCTCAGCCAGGCGGTGTCATCTGACTCACATTTCTGACTGCGACAAAGAGCTGTGTCGCCCGCTGAAGGCTCTGGACTGAATACTGCCGACTCATGTTGTCAGTAGGAGACATGTCCAGCTTTTTTTTTTTTTTTTATGGTTTTGTCATTAGATTTGAGTTATTTCCGAGAGTGAAGATCACTGATGGAAAGTGAAAGAAGCAAGAGATGGCAAACAAAGAGAGGTGTGGTCTGATGAGTTGGAGTTTAATAAGACTTGCTGACTTATCACATGACCCAGGAACACATCATGGAGCATAAAAGCTCACAAAGACAAACAGACACAAATCTCTCTCTCTCTCTCTCTCTGTCTCTGTCTCTGTCTCTCTCTCTCTCTCTCTCTCTCTCTCTCTCTCTCTCTGTCTCTCTCTCTCTGTCTCTCTCTCTCTCTCGCTCTCTCTCTCTCGCTCTCTCTCTCTCCCTCCTCACACTTTGACATTCATGTCTCTTCTGTTTCCTCAAATCAAGATCTTTGGAGAAAAGAAACTTTAGAATTGAATTGATTGGTTAATTGAAATTTGTCTTTGGCTTCTCCCAACACACCATTAAATACATACAACATACAATAGTGCAAATGAGCAGGTAGCAGCAGATTATATAAATATAGGTTATATAAATACCAGAAAGCAAATCTTATAAAATATCAAGTGTTCCCTGAAGTAGTCATTTTGTGTTCAATGCCTGTACGGCATAGGGAATGAAAGACTTCTTGTAAATGTTGGGGCCCTCATTCAACAGCCAAAGAGGAGCAGTTCAAACTCTGAGTGTAGTGGGTGTGCGGTATCTGCAACTACGTTAACAGCAGGTTCATGCATTCATGTAATATACAGTGGATTGCATGTGCTCCCATATTGTCATAAAAAATATTGATATTAGGCCACAACTACCAGTTATTTTGTATAATTTATTAGTTTTCTGATTACCTTTTAGATTAATCATTGATTAAATATCCCAAGGTGATATCTACAAATTGCTTTTTTTGTGTGACCATCAGTTCAAAAGAGATAATCCCAAAGATAATCAATGTACTATCACATAACAAAAAAGGGAAAACATCATCATGAATCTTCTTCTCATGGCTTCAGCTATTCAGCCCACGACTTCACTGTTATGGTTCACTCTCACAGTGTCGTTTTCAGCAGCAGCTCTCAGTGAAGGAACTCTAAAAACCCACTGAGCCCCACCTGCTCAGCATCAAACAGTGGGCAGACGCAGCCAGAGACCAGCTGGTGAAGAAAGTGGAGCATTTAGCATCTAAAGAGCCAGATTTTTCCCTCGGGAGTTGGCAGAGACCCAAAGCTGAGCTACAAGAAGAGTGAATGTTGGACTCGGATTCACCAGCTGGACTGAAACACAGACTCCAGATAAATGATGATGCTGCTCTGTAAATGCTGGATGAGCAAATCAGCAACTGTTTGCCAACAAAATCACCATATCAGCTCAAAAAGTAATGATACCTGTGTGTCAGTGTTGTGTTCACAACTTGTGTCTAAAGAGTCAGTTAATGCAGATTTGAATGTATGTTAGTGGTACTTTTATTTAAGCAAAGTTTTTTTTTGTTTCTCAAAGATCTTTTTATTAGATTTTCAACAAATGGACAGAATGCATCTTCGTATAGTATACAATGGGTGCATAAGTGTAGCATAACATTAGCAAAATATACAATTTATAAGATGTAACATATATATGTCAACTCTACAGCACATGTCCATATTAAAAGAAGCAGAACAGGCAACCTTAACCCCTTCAACCCTTGCAGCCCAAGCCCATTAAACAGCTATATAGCATTTATATACCATATGAAAAGGTATTTCTCCTCTGGAGTTTTACAGGGAGGAGCTGGAAGTCGGCTTTTACATTTAGAGGAGGAAGAAAGAGGAAATAAATCAATAACAAAGGAGGGGTTTAGAAATGGATAAACCTCTATAATCTGTATTACTGACAAAAGTCATCTCAATGACAAATATGTATAAATAAAAAAAGATAAAATAAAAAAGGGGAAAATCAATCCTTAATTTGAGTGAAGATTTTGAAAGTACTCTAGGAAAGGTCCCCCTATCTTAAGGAACTTTTTGTTTGACTTATAGACTGAATAGTGGATCTTTTCAAGGCTTAGACAGGACATAATGTCCCCCAGCCACTGAGCATGGGTGGGCAGGGTCTAAGCAAAGTTTTGGATAAGTTTAAATGCATGTTAGTGGTCCTTTTATTTAAGCAAAGTTCTGAACACAGGATCTGAATAAATCTTCCATATTTGGTTTACAGTTATAAATGAAGAAAAACAAACAAAAAAACAACAATTAATTCTTATATTTGAGTAATAATCAGTCTTCATTTTTGCAGATAATCAGTTAATCATGTAATCTTTTCAGCTCTAAAATGTCCAGAGACATTTCAGCAGGCTGCGTGATCTGCTTCTTCGCTCCCTGTCTGTGTACGCAGTGTCTTCATAATAGCTGTGCTAATATTACTGCACCTATAGTTGAAGCAGCGCAACAGGCTGGAACATGAGCTGTGCTTCACATGAACAGTGTTCAGATACAAACAGCCCAGCCAGCAGCAGTTGTGTATTTGGTGTTAGTAGGTCACTGTGTTGTTGAGTAACATTCCTTTATGGTCGCCTTGTGATAGGAGACCTGCCATATCAGAGGGAGCAGAGGGCACACACTCACAATAACACGTCCAGAGTTTCCCTGAAACTGCCTGTGTAAAAGGTTTACAGAAGAAATAGGAACTGTTATGTTCATATCTGTGTAGTATTTGAAATTTAAAAGAGAGACTAAAATGCAAACAAAACAAAAATATAAGGACCAGAATAAGGTCACCTATTAAACACAGACAGATACATAAATACAGTTTATTACAAAGGGATGAAAGTGCCATTGCCTTTCATAAAAGAAGTCTTTATGTAGTGAACTGAAGCCATCATTTGATTAAGAGCCATAAAGATCTTCAGGAAGTAGATATCACTTTGCTCCAGAGACAGATTAGATTAGATGTCCCAGTAAAGTTGGATTTCTGCTCAGGATTTATCATAAAAATTTGACTTTTCCGCTCAGAATCTCTCCAGGTCACAGAAGTGAACTGAATGTCACAGAAATCTACCAGTAACTTTACCTGCTCGTGGACCTGGGATGACTTGAAAAGCACCTGGTCTGTTACTACAAATAAATCCTGTCTTTAAACTAAGACTAAGAAACAATTTTACCACAAATTAAACCAAAAATGATCCAATTGACCAGTTAATAGGTGACTGCACAACTCCACGTATCATAGGCAAAATATAGAAATGAGTAAATCTTTATTTGTCAAATATATGTGTATATGTATATAGATAGTTTTACTTGCCTTTAATATACAGGAGGCGTTATGTTTTCAGGTTGTCCGTCCATCCATCAATCTGTCCATCAAGGACGCCTTGAGGGAGTTTCTTCAGATTTGACACAAACTTTCACTTGGACTCAGCGATGACGCATGAACTGATTAGAACTTGATGGTCAAAGGTCAACGTCACTGTGACCTCACAAAACGCGTCTTTGATCATAACTCAAGAATTCATACTTTAATTATGATAAAATACACTTAATACCTTTTTATTTAATTCCTTCAAAGTCTTCACTTTATTATGCGAGTCTGGACAGATGAGGATGGAAACTGCAACTTGTCTGGTTGTTGGTGGCAAATAACTGCAAGGCAGTAACTGTAGTTTATCTTCCTTATCCTACAACTGTCACTGTTACGTATTACCTCACCACACATAAAGCATTTTTATACATTTGATTTGGGTTGAAAATCTGCAAACACTTCAGTAAGCAAAGCTGAGGATCTAATGGCAGTTTGTTTTGTTTCCTGTTTATTGCACGAGCAAACATTTTTTCGGCTTCATTTGACAACAGCCTCACAGACATGAGTTACTCTCACAGTGTCTCATCTGGCCGACCTACTGCGAGTTTATTTAACTGCCTGAGTCTTAAATCAAGTCGGAGGCTTCACGCAGGATGTTTTCCCACTGCTGTCTGTGTCTGATGATGATGATGATGATGAATGAAGACTGTGCTGACTGCAGGGTCAGGATATTATGGTGCAGAGGTTTATCTTGTGTGTTTGTGCGTTTACAGGGCAGTGGGTCAGTAGAGGTTGAGCTATTATTCTGCCAGACTGTCTGCTTCAGCAACAAACAGGGGCATCCAGTCTGAGAGTGAGAGCCTGGCTGTGTTTGTGTTGGATTGTCTGACAGACCTTCACTATATTTATTTATATGTCTTACATTTTTGATGCGTCATTTATCAGATATACTTTTTTACAGGCACCGAGATCTCTACATCTTTATTAAATTCAACATTTGTGTAATGAGTTCTAATCGTTACTGCCCACAGTCACAAAACATAAACATGAGTGAAGTTGTACGTGTCTACGAGAGAAGCTAAAGGCCTTGAAAAGGTGTTAACTGTGTCTAACTGACTCTGTGTTTCTCTGTCTTGGATGTACAGGTGAGCTGTCCCTGCAGAGGCTCTCTGGCACAGTGCTGGATTACAACAGCACAGAAAAATGTCCAGAAAGCAACAACAGCATACAATCCAGCATCAGCTTCCAGTGTGGGAAGACCATGGTAAGACTCACAAACAACACATGAAATATTTACAGTTTAATAGTACTGTTGGTTAATTTTTTTAAGTGAAAAGAGGTAAATACAACCTCTGCAGCAAACATCATGTTTACCCACAGAAAGCTTCAGCTTGTGTTTCTTGAAGTGGTTCATGGTGGGTTTTTTTCTGCTCTGGAGCTTCTTTTCACTTTCACTTTCTTGACTGACTGCAGAACATCTACATTCAGAATGGGCTGATATTTAGTACAATCCATTCTTCTGGCTGCCACTCAACCCTGAAGCAGAATATATCCACCCCCGTGCTTAACAGCTGGCAAGTTGGTTTCCAGTACAAACTGAGATCGACTGAACCTGGCCTGGTCAGAAACCTGGTTTAGGTATAAATGGCCTAGTAATCAGGTTTCATCAACAGAAATCCATTGTATATGCAGTTTATTGCATATCGTAGCTGACACTTTGAACATGTTAGTAAGGTTCAAAGTAATAAACTGTACTTGAACATGTAGTTCTACCATGAATATGCACTTCAGCTGTTGTGAAATACGGAGGAAACGTTGTGCTCTGCTGGTTTTAGTCGGCGCTTTATATTCAGCACAGTATGACTCGCCAAAACATTAGACAGCAGACACCAGGCTGATGTGATGGAGCTGAAACAGAAATTAAACCCTGACAAATATTTTTGAGTTTTCATTTGACTCAAATTTCAATAAACTGAAGTTTTAGTAATTTTTCTCTTTTCTCTCTAAACTGGTGTTTATTGAATTCTGGCTGCTGTCAGCTACAATGAAAGGAAGTGAATCTTTGAGTGGAAACAATGTAGGACAATGACGGTCACCTGCTCATCTGAGTCAAAAGTCAGTGTGACTATGGTGTGACGATGCGGCTGAGCGGTGGGTTGGCATTGATGTGTCATTTCCTGTTGAATTTTATTTTCCAACAGAAGATGATCTGCACTAGATTTTCAGTTTACAAAGTCTGATGTGGGGAAATGAAAGTGGCTTTTATGAGACTTCTCAAAATCTCATCTAATGCTGACAAGAAGAAGTGAGGAGTCAAGTGCAGATGATCTGTGAAAAATAATGAGTCTGAGCAGGAACGTGCCACTGGTACAGACCGGACATTTAATGTTTCTTTTTTTGTTTAGTCACTTTCCACATTTATAGACATGATTTATATTTTGCTATAAATATTTTGAGGAGTCTTTAACAACCAGAGAGAGACTGGTGAAGAGGAAAAACAAATAAATGTCACTTAAACAAATTAAAAGCTTGTATTCAGAACCTCTACATCAGATTGACCTTATCAGTTTAATGCAGTATCTGTAATATATTTGTCTTTTTCTCAATGCAACCCTTAGATTTGCTGCTAGACAATCAGAACTACATGGTAATGATTTACATGCTGTATATTGCGATTATAAATAACTGACAGTGGGCTTCAAATGTCAGAGACCACTTTACCATGGAAGTCTGGTCTCAAACATTTGGATGCTACTCTATATAATGTATATTAACTTGATTTAATCATAAACCGTAACAAACAGTAACAAATTATGCGATATAAACCTCCAATAGTCTGTTTTTAGGAGAACTTATAAAAGAATATTTGGCCAGAAATGAATCTATTAATTGTTTTTTGATGAATCTGTTAAAGGTGCCATCGTTTGTTAGACCCCCAGGACCACACATATTGTTTGTGGTCCTTGAGGTCTAACAAACGATATTTCCTCGTTTGCTTGCAGTGTTCTTCGTCTTTGTTGGTGCTTTAAAACCAAATGAGGGAAACAGTGTGAAACCAGAGCACAAGAAAAACAATACAGGGAACATTGCTCCATGGTGATACGAGGGTCAAACACTCCACAGGGAACCATTTAATATATAACACTGTCATCATTTTAGTCTTGTCAGGGATAAATGAAATTCATAGTTCTTTAAATAATAGTTTTTCTATTCCTTCATAATGTAAATCAGTGGTTGACTTCAGCAAACGTTCTCACGTTCCAGAAATGACTAAACTGGGTTAGTAAAAAAAACAATGTGTCTTGTGAGACACCAAAAGAGACAGAAGTTGGCCTGTGGTAGAAAAAGTTGCTGATCTGACTGAATGTAGATGAAGAGTGGGAATTAAAAAGACTCTTTTCTGAGCACTTGCTCTTGAGAAGCCCTTGAGCAAGCACTGAACCCACGTCTGCTCCAGCAGCAGCAGCAGCAGCAGCAGCAGACTAAGGTCAAGCTGGGCAGCGCTCAGCTGTAAATGTTACTGTAAAGTAAAATATTTATAGAAATGTTGACTTTGCCTGGTGTCAACAAGACCAGAAAAACATCATCAATGTCAGATCTCAGAGCTCAGATGATGAGCTCTCTGCGCTCCTCTGCCCACTCTCCATCCCCAGATCTCTCAGATCTTCAGATCAGCTGCTCCTGGCCGTCCCTTGGTTGAGGCTGAGCACAAAGGGTGATTGGGCTTTTGCGGTAGCTGCCCCAAAACTTTGGAACAGTTTACCTCTTTTAATTAAGTGTTCCCCTATGGGGACATTTTTAAGTCTAATCTTAAAACCCACATGTTTTCTCTGGCTTTCGAGTGTCCATAAGGATTTTATCTTTCACTTTTATCCCTTGTGTTTTTAATTCAAACTGTTCCATGTCTGTCTCAGACCATGAGATAGTTAACGCATCACATTTGAGCTGTTTCTATGTTGCGTGTTTCTTGTTGTTTTTCATTGTACAGCACTTTGGTCAACTCTGGTTGTTTTAAATGTGCTTTATAAATAAACTTGATTTGATTTGATCCAAGACGCCTCACAGGCTTCCTGAGACCAGCTTCAGGCAAATTAACATCTCTGAGTTCCCCTGAATATTCACATGCAGCAGATACAGTATGTTAAAAGTGGATATAAACACTCAGCGTTTTACTTTATAACTGAAACACTGGCACATTTCTGTTTGTGAAGTGATTTATATCCTGTATAAAATGTTTAGTGTCTTTGTTCCTCTCTGCAGAACAGAGCTGTGAAGGGCACAGCATGATAATGCTTCTATTCAACCTTATCAACATGAAACTATCTGTCTGACTCATTTTGCTGTGTTTGTGTGCCACAGGGGACCCCGGAGTTTGTCGCTGTTTCTCAGTGTGTGCATTACTTTGAGTGGAGGACCTACACCGCCTGTAAGAAAGATAAATTCAAGCCACACAAAGAGGTATGTGGTGGAGAATCTGATTTTAGAGGATGACTCAGTTACCAGAGGGTTTCTGTGTGTAAGAATGAAACTGTTGGTGTATCTGGGAAGGTTTTGGTGTGGTATGTGCAAGACAATGAGCCGAGGAGTTGTTAAAGTGGCAACAAAAAGCTTTCCTCCCACTCCTGTGAGGATGTACAGAGTTTAAGTCATGTGTTTTGTTTATCAGTGTAGAGGACAGGTCACATGTCGTCACATTGATCGAGTTAATGTGAGCTTAGCATGGAAGAAGTGAAAGAATGTGTGAAATGAATTCATGTATGAGCTGTTGTGTGAAATAGATTAAAGATTTTTGTTGGTCAGATGAAAATCAATTTATGAGCATTTTTATTTTTATAAATTTGTGTATTAATAGACTGGGATTTGTTTTTAAAAATTTTTGTGCTTCCATGAAATAGCTGATTTAATGAATAGAAAAAAAACACGATATATCTCCTATAACAGGAAAATGCTGGTGCCTAAATCAATTTGGAGCTTGTGAAGTTCTCTGAATTGAAGTATTGAAATCACTTAGTTGTAGCCCTACCAGTTACTACATTAAGTGAGAATTTACACATAAATCAGGAGCAAATCAACCTGCAAAGAACCATGTTGTGTGTATGCAAACGTCCCAACATGTAGAACATTTGAACAGCCACACTAAGGAGGAGTTTTCTTTACTGCTTAAACATATAATTTCTACCATAATTCTCCATTTTCTGTGTATGAGTGTAAGATCGAGTGATTCTGACAGAAATATGTCAGTGTTGCAGTATGAACCTACTTCCTGTGTGTCCAGGTGCCCTGCTACGCGTTTGACTCGGACGGCAAAAAGCACGACCTGAACCCTCTGATCAAACTGAGCGATGGATATCTGGTGGACGACGGTGACGACAGCATCGACTTCTACATCAACATCTGCCGCAGTCTCAGTGAGCACCTGAGGGAGGGAGGGTGGATGGATGGATAAATGACTTAGTAAATGGATGTCTGATTGCATTCAACATTTATCAGTATGAGAGTTGTGGGTATGTGTGGGTGTTTTTTTTTATTTAACTGGGAAACGGTTGAATTTGATTCCAACAAGAGGCTTCAACTAAAAGTCGTCATCTTCAGTGGCAAGTTGGACAATAGAGACACCACAGAAGAAGAAAAGAAAATGAAGTGTCAAAGTGCACAGCCAGCTGAAATTGAATTGTCTTTTTGTACATCACTCTCTACCTCCTGTTGTTCAGAAACTAAGTGGGTTTGGCCCCATTTTAGCCACTAATTGATCACCCATGACTAATTTTAGAGTTGTGCAGAATTTCTGCCAGATCAGCTGTTGTTTAACCTGCAGTTTGAGGCACATCACGCAGTCTGATTAATCACCTGAATCATCAATAATATGACTGGTGGACGGTCACCTGGATCTCTGGCATGTCAGACATTTTGGTCGACTGTTTTTCAGATTGAACAGTTCCACAGTTCCACATGGCTGCTGTCAAAACATCCATTATAATCTGTAATCAGCTTGTTTTAATAGTGGAGTAGAATTTTACATGTTAAGTTTGTGTGTGTTCAGTGTTATACACTGTGCGCTACCACCCTCCAAGCTGATTTCCTTGTATAAACAAACATTGTCGTCTTGTTTGTCATCTCCTCCTCTTTCAGACCATCCAGACAAATCCTGTCCAGAGGGCTCTGCAGCTTGTCTGGTCACCAGTGACGGCTCCTACAACATGGGCTACCCCACCAAAGCGCTGGAGCTGGTGGACAGCGACAGGTACCTCCTTAAATGAATGTTAACTGCTGTCTGCAAACAGCCCGTAGAAATCTGTGGGACAGCTAGAGCTTTGATTTAAGAACGTTTTCTTAAAAAGGTTCCATGACTGTCAGAGCGTCCACGATTTCTGTTTGGTGATTTGTTTAAGAGACTGTGTTTTCATTAGGGCTTGTGTCAAACATCCATGTCTTAAATGTCTGTGTAGTAACTTTTTATAAACAGAGGAATAAACTTTTAATAAATGAAAAGCTATGTTTCCTTCCTGTCTCCTCTCCTGTCTAGTCTGAGGTTACAGTATGAGCTGAGTGCTGATTCGTCTCCTCCAGCCATCTGTAAGGGTCACCATCCTGCCGTCACCATCACCTTCACCTGTCCATCAAGCAGACATTCGGTAGGTTATACACATTCATATAGATGAATATACACAGAAAACATTTATACATTTCATCACTTGCAAATACTTTGTTATATCTTCCTATTTTAACCTATGTTTCATGCTAAACTACTGAAATATGACTGAGGTCTCCTTTACTTTTACTAAAAGCGATCCTTGGTTCCATCACAGGGTAGCACTCCGAAGATGACAGCAGAGCTGAACTGTCGTTATGAGGTGGTGTGGGTGACTGAATACGCCTGTCACAGAGACTACCTGGAGAGTCACACCTGCAAACTGACCAGCGAGCAGCACGACATCTCCATAGACCTGACGCCTCTCACCATGAGCTGTAAGTATTTGTTCCTCTAAAGCCGGGACCTCCGCCCAATGTTTTCACCGTTGACCTGGTGACATTTCTCCTCGTAATGAGAAACCTGCTGTTCTCAAAGAATACAGTCAGACTGCAGAGCGGTGTGGGGGGAGAGGAGGGGGAAAGAGTTGAATGTGAGACACACGCTCTAACTTCATGTTTTTATACCATTATAAAACCCCACAGGGAAATGAGTAGCCAAACTACTGTCTCTTTGCAAACACATCCTCATTCCTCAAACTGTTTTTTACAAGGCTGGAACTACAAGAGCCAACTCCATTGGCAGAAAACACAGCGAGCCAAGTACTGGTACATTAACCCAACCTACATTTTTTTTTAAATAAAGTTCAAATATTGCTTCTCTATTATTATCCACACTGACACATTTAACCTCCAAGAATTATTGGCTCAAAGTGCTGCTTTTTTTATCCCAGTAAGAGGAAGTAACTTTATGAGTAAACTGTAGTGACCTTCCTGATTTTGTCAGCTCAGTTTTAGGAATAGGAATAGAAAAACTTACTGTCCATACACAACCTGTGTTTGACCTGATGGAGGCCACAGGTTAATGCTTAACTAGAAGTACTGTATCTCACTGTGTTGATGTAAGTGTATATGAATGTTTAAAGCCAGATACTGTTAGTTTCATATTGAGGGTCATTTTTGTCACAGATTTTGCCCATATCTGTTATGTTTAAAGGAAAAGGTCCACACATAGTCTTTTCATGTGATCTCTCTAAAGCTCACACATTATAGCTTGTTTTTACACTTTAGTTTTCTATACAGATTAAACAAATACATTTCAACACATTAATGTGTTTTAGAGAAGCTGGTATTATCATAATTATTGTTATTATTTTGTGCTAAGCTAAGCAAATCATTTTCTTAACTGTAGCATCATATTGTGACGAGCTTGCACAGAAGAAATACTATGAGGCAGTGAAGTCCTGTGCCCCAATACACCATGTGACTACAGGATATCCTCTTTATTCAGCATTGAAACTGAACACAGAGCAGAAACATATGCTGGAGACCGCTATTCACTACAGGAGTCTCGGTCATGGTGATCCATCGCTAGTTACAGCTGGACACCGTCTTGGCCACACAAACACTGAACAACTATCTCACACAACCGTAACAAAACATGAATGACACTGTAAAGTGTGTGTTCGCTTTATGGCTGAGAGTTACATGAAAAGACACGACAAGACAAAAGACTTGCAACAACTGTTCCAGTGTTCTAAAAGACATCCATGGACATGGTGATCATTAGTCATTGGAGAAATAAGTCAGACCGAACCCCCCGCTGTTATTTTGTGTTGTTGTGTGCAGCTACAGACCATCCATACTATGCACATTCTGAGTCCAGTGACGGGGCTGAAAGCTATGTCTACTACCTGAACGTGTGTGGACAGATCCACAACAATGAATGTGGAGACAACCCGTTCATATCGTCCTGCCAGGTGAAGAAGAACGGAGACGTGAAGAAGGTGGCGGGGAGACACGAGAACCAGACGTTACGGTAATCTTTGTGGCTGTGTTTGTGTGCGCGCATTGAAGTCAAGCCTTTGTTTGTGTTCACTCCTTGTCTGCACAGATACGCCCTGTGTCCCTGGTGATAATAATTAACAACAGTGGGAGCAGGAACTGTCACATGAGCATTTTCACATTAAAGGTTACATTGCATTTCTACTTTAAGTTCTCGGTTTTGCTGCTACAGGTTTGTTCTGTTATGACCAATAGCTTATGGTGGCTAATGTTAGCAAAGTTTAGCTAGATACTGCAGTGTTACTAATATTACTGAGTTGGTTCACTGGCTTTATGACTCTTGTAAATTTGTGCTACTGTTACACTGTGTTTTGATGATTTTATCACAACAGTAAAAGACATAAAACAGACTGTAACTCAACAAGAGACATTTTTCTTGTTTCCTGTTTGTGATCCAAACACTTTCACAGAGCTGATCATGAACTGCTCATAACTGAGATAAAATTGATAAAATACAGTTTCAGATATCCTCTTACTTAGTGAGCATTGAGGTGGAGTTTGATATATTTTTTCTCTATTATCAACAAATGGGTGTTTTCCCAGCAATAACCCATGTAACAGTTTCACATCATTAACACTTGGCCGCTGCTAAATCACTTAAGATTTGTTAAATCTCTTATCTTCCAACCCTGTTCCTCCCCGTGTTTTTCTCCTCTGCAGTTACTCAGATGGAGATTTGACTCTGATCTACCCAGACGGTGACAGATGCTCCACCGGCTTCCAGAGAATGACCATCATCAACTTTGAGTGCAACAAGAATGCATGTGAGATTCTCCTCCATCATGATTTTCAGTTGACACTTTTCTTAACAACACTGTGTTGAGGATTAAATTCTTTCCACTGGCGTCATCTGGTGGTGCTAATGAGAACCAGAGCATCGATGTCTGGCTCAGCTTCACTTCCAAGGTGCAAGGAGAAGAAAAATAGTCAGGAGGTCAAAAATCCACAAACATTTGTGCTATATTACAACTAAATATGAAATAGTTTGTCATACTACAAGTGTTGCTGGAATTTTGACCTCTTCAGGTGGCAGACAGCAACACAGGCTGGTATCATGCAATTTGCACATTTTGCAAAATATCTCAGACACCACTGATAAAATGAATCATGTCTCTGCAATAAATCTGAATTTCATCTCCTTGTTTTTGCATTTTCCAAATTAAACTCATTGAGCCAAAGGATCTTACATATACGGGTCATAATAAGAGACAATGTAAACGTAACGTCTGTAGTTTTCTTCTTGGGCAGAGTTTCCTGTATTAATGTGCAATATCCTGTATATGTCACCATTTTTAGCTTCTTGAGAAACCTCTCCTTCAGACTCAAGACTTTTAACTTTTCATGTGGTGACTCAATCATTCGTGGATTTTTACTATCACCTTGTGTAATTTCCAGACAGGTCAATGTCAGACAGGTGAATCATGTCATAACTTCGACCTTATTCATCCTGCTGTGGTTTGCCTTATATCTTACCTGCAGCCAACGGTGGCCGAGGGAATCCGGTGTTTGCGGGCGAGACGGACTGCACTTATTACTTTGATTGGGAGACGGCCTTCGCCTGTGTCAAGGAGAAGGAGGATCTGCTGTGTCGGGTCAGAGATGGAAACAAACACTACGACCTTTCACCTCTAACAAGATACCCCGGTGAGTTCAACAGCTCCGTTTATCACATCATCTGACTGCGAGCGTCAAGATCTCTTGCTAGTTATAGTCACTCCACATTTTATTTTAGCTGACTGATTTATTAACAGGGCTTTGAGATTAGAGGAAAATCACAAAATTAAAATCTGATCAAGGACATGTTTCTTTTTCTTTAACAAAGGGCTCTACACATCATAATAATCATACTCAATTGTAATAATTAAACCCTATTTAAACCAAATCCACCTAATATATACCTGATATAATGACCTTCGATAATGTATTTATTATAGTATATTGAAGATTGTAGGTATGTGTAAACTCTGTTCAACTGGGATTAAACAGTTGGGGGATTCAGTGTGACTTCCACTCACTGAGGATATCATTATGGCCAATGTCCATTGCCAGTAAATGTCTATAAACCCTCTTAAAATCATAGAAAAAATACAAAGAACTTACCAGGGTGTCATCTGGATACGTCCATGGGTAAATTGCAAACAGGAACTGCTAATAGCTCATTCTGCAGCTTTTAATGCTCCCAATTTGAGGTGAAAAAATGACCCACCTACATGAGAACTCCAGATGAGATAACTGACTGGAGCAGGTAATGTTAAAATCAACCCACCTGCCTTAGAGAAATAAATCCAGTCTGAACTGGGCTTCAGTAATATGAACATTTAAATATTACTTCTATTATTTAATTTCAACTCAGTGAGTTGCTTCCTGATGCTCATGTATTTGTTTGGACCACTGGGTCGAAAAATCCCCTTCCTCTGTGCGTCTGTGTTGCTTCAGGCTCAGATGTCAGTGGGAACTGGGAGGTGGTGGACGCCAACTCTCCAAAGCCGGATTCACGTTTCTACCTGAACGTCTGTCACAAAGTCGTCCAGACAGGAGGCGCCGCCGGCTGCCCGGTGAACGCCTCCATCTGTGCCATCGGTAAGAGTCTTCACAAGGATGGGGGTTCCTGTTTTTCTTTGTTTGTTTGTTTTAGCTTTTCCTTCTAATTATTGGAATATTTATTAATTTATTATTTGTAACAAAAAATACAATTGTACAGGTTAAACAGAATATTCAGTTTTTCAACATGTTCCTGTTTCTCACATTGAAAACCAAGTTCAACTAAAACATTTATTCCAGTTTATATATATATATATATATATATGTGTACATTTACAAATACATACATAAATACAATAAAATATAATTAAGGGTAAAGAAACTAAGGGGGAGGGTGTGGTAAATGAATTGAAAATATTAAAGAGTCACCACCTCTGCAATGGATGAGATAATTCTTTATTATAATGAACCTGACCAGTGTGGTTTGTTGATTTGTGTGTCTGTCTTCAGATAAGGATCGTGGGCCCATCAGCCTGGGCAGCTTCCTCTCATCTCCCCAGAAGACAAAAATAGGGAATGACATCAGACTGGTGTACACTGATGGAAGTTTTTGCCCCAATAAAAAGAAGAGGATCCAAACTATCCTGACCCTAAAGTGTAAACCAGGTAGGTTGAACAGAGACATGAGAAGTGGGTAAATAGGTTGAATAGATTTCTCTTTATAATGTTTTCAGACATTTGAATCTCTCTGTGTTCTGCTGCTCTTTCCTCCTCCTCCTCCTCCTCCTCCTCCTCCTTCTTGTTTCCTCGCAGGAGATCTCGAGAGTGCTCCTGTCCTTCGTACCGTTTCATCTGATGGATGTGTGTATGAGCTGGAGTGGTACACTGCTGCTGCCTGCGTCCTCTCGAAAACACAGGGAGACAACTGCAAAGTGGAGGACCCTCAGGCTGGTACGACACACACACACACACACACACACACACACACACACAAGTTTGATCAACATGGTTTTTAACTGATCAGTGTTTTCAAGAAAAACACAGCAGAGAAGAAAAAGACGCAACAAGGTTCATGGGGAATGTGTATTAGTGGTTAAGCACAAAACAAATCTCAGAGGGAGATATTTTTGTAGAGTTCAGTCCTGGTTTTGAATTCTGCTTGTTGTTTTCTGCAGCTGGTTTATCACTTTCTGACATCTTGAAAGAACCGAACAGTTATTTTCATCATCTATTAATCAGGCAGTCACCGTCTCAAATCACTGAGTAATTGTTTGAAAATAGTGTTGGAATGTTGGAAAATAGTGAAAAATGCCTGTCAGAATTTCACAAAGCACACAGTCTTCAGCAGTCTTGTGTAATCTGACCAACAGTAGAAAACCAAAATAAATATATAATTTACTATCATATAAAACAGAGAAAAGCAGCATATCCTCACATTTGTGAAGCTGGACCCAGGGGATGGTTTCCATTTCTGCTTGAAAAATGACTTAAACTATCAATTTATCATCAAAGTAATTGCAGGGTTGGAGGCGCTCTGCTTTGTCTGAATTAAAACGTGCATAAAGTTATTACGCTTTTATGAAAAATTCATTCTTCATGGAAAACAAGCAAAAGCACAAATCCACACAGTAACAGCCGCATAATGGGCCTCTCATTTTTAGCTCTGACCATTTCTTTTGCTGGGAAATTCATTTTCTCTCAGTAGATGAATTATCTAATCATTTCAGATCTACTTTCATCAACACTTTTGGCCACCAGCTTTCAACAGGACACATATACACATATTTGACTGTTAACCTCATATCATGCTCACACAGCGTTTCTGACAGTTGAAAAAAGCTCAGACCACAACTGGAAGTCGCCTGATGTTACATAGCCACAGTTTAAAAGCTCAAATCCAACTTGTCACGCTCTGCTCTCAGATTTTACATGTGAGGGATAAAAACCTACAGAATATAGCTTTTAAGGAAACCATACTGTTTGAAATCCATAATTCCTATTTTTTGTTTCAAACACATTTATTACACTTGCTATGAGGACTTTTCATCACTTGTCCAAGAGGCTTTCTCAACTCTACCACCTGCTGGGGAGTTCCAGGCATTTTCACCTCCATTGGTTTCACCTTTTATATCCCAGGAGAGTTGTTGAGCTCACATGTGAATCATTCAAGAGGTTACTTGAGCTGCCATCACCAGCAGACCAAACACTGAGGGGAGTTGACCTGCTCCTTTGACTCGACTTTAATCCTCCTCTGTGTCTAACCTGTGCTGCTCCACAGGGTTCTCTTTCAGCTTGTCATCTCTCACCAAACACGACGGCTTCTACAACCTGACCAGTGGAAACTACGACTACTTCATCAATGTTTGTGGCCCCGTCAAAGCTGCCGACTGTCCTGAGAAGTCCGGAGCGTGCCAGGTCGAAAAGAGGTAAAAAGGAGCCGTGGGCATAAAAGAGGACACACAAATGCACAGATTACTACAACTAAGCATAACCATATACTATGTGTGTGTGTGCATAGTTTTTATTTGATAATTAACAAAGTGCTGTAAACAGAAAAAAAACCTAAATCAAAGGAATATTTGGTGCGACCAACCTTTGTCTTTAAAACAGCAGCAGTTCTTCTCAGTACATTTGCTCACAGTTTTTCAAGGGACTTGGCAATTTGTTCAAAGCATCTCTGAAGATACAACCCAAATCTAATGTACACTTTAGAAAAGAAACAAAGGGAAATGTGATGTAAAATACATTTAAATTAGCTGTTAACTCACAGATAGTTCATTTAATTGTATTCCTCTCATGGATGTTATTGTGACTTGAGCCGTATTATATTTTTTCCGTCTGCGCTTCCTCTTCAGTTCCTGGAGTCTCGGGGAAGCAAACTCTCGCCTGTCTTACTACGACGGCCTGATCCAGCTCACCTACAGTAATGGCTCCCAGTACAACAACAAAGAACACACGCTCAGATCCACTCACATCTCCTTCCTCTGTGACCCAGAAGCTGGAGTTGGAAACCCAGAATTCCAGGTAAACTCCTCCCTTTCCTTTCCTCTTTCCTTTTATTGTTTCAACTGTGTCTCTGCATGTTCTGGATACTTTATGGTGTATTTGTTCCCATTTTTGACAGTGCATATCTGCACTTTTTAACAGTTTTTACATTGTCTTTGTAATCCTGTTTTTATGAGCTATAAATGAACACGTTTAAATATTGTCTTTATGAATCCAGGTTGAAGACAATTATACATATAACTTCCGCTGGTATACATCCTACGCATGTCCTGAAAGGCCTCATGAGTGTTTGGTGACAGATCCCAAAAGTCTTGAGCAATACGACTTATCCAGGTAAAGCATGTCTGCATGTGCCACAGTATGTTAAGAGGCATTTTAGATGTTCCAACCTGCTCTTCATCGTTTTGTCTCCAGCCTGTCTCGCTCCAGTAGCAACTGGCAGGCCATGGATTTGTCTGACACCAAGAACCTGAAGAAGTACTACATCAACATATGCCGTCCCATCAAAGCTGTGCCAGGCTGTGCCCGTGATGCGTCCGTCTGCCAGATGAAGTACATATCCCAGCAGGTCAGTAACAGCTAAGGAACTGAGAGGTAGCTAATTCAACGTTTTGACTGACAAAATGAGATTTGACAAATCTCAAAAAAAAAAAAAAACATAACATGAAAAACTGGAATTTATGTCATGAGGTCCATTTTTGCATAAAGGTCTTGCCTAGTGCATCTTTAAAAGGTCCCATATTTTATACTACTTGTGTCTCTCTCAAATTGAATCGAAGGCAACTGGACTAGTCCGCACTAGTCAGACTAGTGCGGACTAGTCCAGTTGCCTTCGATTCAATTTGAGAGAGAGATAACTATGACCTGGTCGAATGAGAACATTCACAGACAGATATACTACTTGTGTTTTATTTGAAGCAGTTGTGCATTTCTCTGCGGACTGAGGCTTTGATACTTTCACAATATTAATATAGAACTTAGACCTGCTTTATAATCAAACAGNAGCCGCTTGGATAAGAGGCGAAACGTCTTCCACAGACAAATGCAAGTCCAGTTGCCTTCGATTCAATTTGAGAGAGAGATAACTATGACCTGGTCGAATGAGAACATTCACAGACAGATATACTACTTGTGTTTTATTTGAAGCAGTTGTGCATTTCTCTGTGGACTGAGGCTTTGATACTTGAAGTTAAACTGAGAGCAGAAACCCAAATCTAATGTACACCTTAGAAAAGCATTAGTGCATTTCTCTGTGGACTGAGGCTTTGATACTTTCACAGTATTAATATAGAACTTAGACCTGCTTTATAATCAAACAACACATGGACAGAGACCTTCATACACTATTGGACCTTTAAGATGGCAAAGCCTGCAGAATTGCATCTGCTTGTCAGACATATCAGACAAGGAGTCAGCAGGATAGCCGGCCAACAACACAAATATTTTCGTTGTTTAAATTCCTCAGAAATAACCACAAAGTGTTATAATTAAATTGTTTGCTCAAACGTTTAATATTGAATTTCTCAAAGCTGTTATGTATGGCAGTCTGCCATTTAGGAACTGCTTCAATTAAAGCCCAATACACAAAGATATGATATGTACAAAAAAAAAATCTCTGTACAAACCTTGGACCTACTATTTGCTACTTTGCCTACTTGTTTTTATAATTACGTGATCACTGTATCCATCTAAATGACAACCGTCTGCCAGTGGATGCAGAAGTATTCTGTGATATGAAATTTAGTATCAGTTTCCCTTGTTTCATCTTGTGTCCTCAGGACTCTCTGAAGGAAGTCGTATCAGTCAGTAACATGGGTATTTCCAAGCGAGGGCCGATCATTGAGAGCCGGGACCAGCTGCTGCTGGAGTTCACAGACGGCTCTGTCTGCATTTCCGAAGGCCAGAAGCTCACGTACACAACGCGCATCCACCTGGTCTGCTCCAGAGGAACTCTGGTAAGTGAACAGAGTTCAGGCATTAAAGTGGAATTCAGCTTGTTTACACTGAACGTTTCACACGTGTAAATCTGTGTTTGTGTCCCCTATCATGTGCAGGCCATGGGCCCGCGGTTCCTCATGTTCCAGAACTGCACTGCCAACTTCATGTGGGAGACCAGGGCGGCCTGCGCCATCAGCACCACCAAGAACGATGTGTGTTCACCTATATGACAACATATTCTTATCTCTGACATTTAATGTTATATATTAACAAATGGTTGGAATAATAAACAACTCTGTATTTTTCTGTGTTGACATCCTCAGAGCTGTGCTGTTGTGGATCCCAACACTGGCTTTGAGTTCAACCTTCAGCCTTTGGCTTCAAACACTGGATACAAGACTCAAGGAAATGGGAAGGACTTCCTGGTAATGCAGACATGTTGATAGTGAATAATATCCTCAAAATGCAGCTCTCGTGTTGTTTGAATGTGTGTGTGCTCTGATGTTGACTGTCTGTGTGAACTGCTCACATCCTTTAACCCAGCTCTGATCATCTGTGTTGTTGCTCACACCAGTGAAGTGTGGGATTTTAATGTTTAATAAACAAAAACTGTGTTGTTGATACACACTACTTGACATAAAAAATATAACTTCATCATTATACATTAATCTGTTCATTATTTTCTTAATTAATTAATTGTTTAGTCTGTAAAACTTCAGAGAACAGTGAAAACTGAGTATTACAGTTTGCGTGGAGCCCAGGTCAGAAGAGAAGGATAAGCAGCAAATATTTACATTTGAGAAACTGGAAACATCAGTTTTCCTTGAAAGATGACTTGAAGCATTAATTGATTATCCAAATATTGCCCCATAAACTTTATTTTTCAATCAACAAATTGATGAGTTCAGAAATTGTTTTAGCTCTGAAATAGCTTGAGCTAAACTCAAGAAAAACACTAAACACCACAGTGTATCAGAAAAGCCCTGCAGGTAATTAGCTTGTATTGTTTGCTTTTTGCTGAGTCCGTCAAAAGGTTTTGAATTTCCTTTGTAGTTTGAAGTTAATCTGCTGTTGTGTTTTTGTATTTGTCCTAACTGTTCCTCTTCTCTTATGTAGTTTTTTTTAAATCATATTTTTTGAGACTTTTGAGACAACAACAAAAGTAAAATCTCTGTTATGTACCGCCCTGCAGTTGAACATCTGCTCAGATGCGGCCGCGTGTGGACAGGGCATGGCTGGCTGTGAGCTGGAAGATGGGCATCCCTCCAGCCCGGTGGGGGTGGAGAAGACCCTGCAGTACTCCACCGATGGCCTGCTCAAACTAACGTACAAAGGACCCCTGGACGATCCCACAGGTAACGAGGATGTAAAAATCACAGGAACGTAGAGTGTTCAGTGGTTCTCTTTGTGCAGCTGGTTTTTAACAGCAAATCATGAACTGAGGTACAGGCTGCTTCACCGTTACAGCTGCATCATAGAGATAGCTGGTGTTAGTTGTCTCTCTTTTCATTCTTCCAATTGTGTTGATGGTAAATAACCAGAGAGTTAAAACTTGCAGCAACAGGAAGTCCTCTAACCTCAGAACAGCTGGTTAACTCATTGTGTGATGGTTTGAATTAAAATGAAACTATGAGCCATTGTTATTCTCCGACTCCATAAATATTGAACCAATCAAATTACAGTTGCAACAGTCTGAATCAAAACTCCTGGTAAACATAAATGAAGGTGCACTATCTCTGCACAAAAATAAATAAAAGCATAAATTCTTGTTCAATTGCTTCTTCTACTTTTTAAGATCTAAACATTTTCTTGACTGTGCACATTATTCCATCTTTTCCTCAGCCACTCGCGACACCTTCACCATTAACTTTGTATGTGATCCAAACTCTCACCCTGGATCATTGAAACTACTGCGAGAGGACATGAGCTCTCTGCCGAACCGTGTGGTCCACGACGTCCTCTTTGAGTTCTCCACCGCTCTGGCCTGCATCCCCGCTCCAGTGGACTGCGAGTTTAGTGGTATGGACGCACACACACACGCACACAAAGCTTCGTGTACATGTATGTGAAAGTTTGAGCAGTGAACTGTGAGCTACTGTATATAGTGTCTGCAGATTTGTGTTCGTTTTCTCTGATTGTTGATTTTGCTTCTGATTGAATTGACTATAAACAAGGTGTGGTTAAGAATTAGAAAGCTTTTTGTTTATTGAATGAAACCATTTGTAAATATACAACCACCAAACTAACACTAGACCCCCTTATACACCCACCCTGTTTTCTCTTGTGTGTAAATACCCCTCTCTATTACCTCCAGACACCCATGGTAACAAGTACGACCTGAGTCACCTCATCCGGAATGGAGAGGACAGCCCCTGGATCGCCATAGATACAGATACGGTTAAATCACGTCGCTTTTACATCAATGTCTGCAAACCTCTCCCCCCCGTGGACGGCTGCCCAGGTCAGTACAGTCAGTGTACCCAGGTATACCGTGCACACAGTAAATAAGACGTTTCAACTCACATGGGGTTGTGATGATATTAAATAAAATGAATAAATAGATAAATAAAATCTAATGAAAATATGGGGCATTAAACACAGAGGAAGTGAGAGTTTGGGCTTTTCTTTCTTGCAGTTATGAATGACTAACAAAATTGTTTACATTATTATTTTACACATGAGGAGCTGCAATGATAAGTTGATTATTCGATCTAGAGGAAAGGAATCATGAACTGTTTTAACAATCCATGAAACATTTCAGTCATTTTTAAGCATAAACACCAAATACTTGCTTCTCAGATCTGAAGATTTGCTTCTTGGTTTTATCATATATGATTGTAAATGAAATATTTTTTGGTTTTTGAGAGCGGCTCAGATAAATCAAGACACTTAAGGACGTCCCTTTGGGCCCTCAGAAATTATTATGCGCATTTTTTGCTTTGTTCTAGACTGAACAACTGATCGATTAATTGAGAAAATAATAAGCAGATTAATCAGTAATGAAAATAACTGGCTCATCAGTTGGATTACATTATGTGTGATTTTTCATATGTATCAGAAACTATTATAAAGCCCAGATTTTTTAGTTCAAATTTATATCACCAGGTTCTTGAGATTAGGAATCACAGTAGGAGAGTCCAGACACGTTGCAGAATGAGGTCAAGATTTCAGTTACGATCAAAGGGAAATTGTTATAATATTTTTCCAGTCACTGTAGTTATTTGTTATTTTCTTCTCTGCAGTGGGTCCTTTGGGTGCTTGTGGTCTGATTGATGGGAAAAATTACAACCTGGGATACGTGCAGTCCACGCCGCAGGTAGCCGAGAGCGGCTCCATCAGCATCACGTACCAGAACGGGGATCTGTGTGGACCCATATCCCGCTACTCAACACGCATCATCTTAGAGTGTGATGACAATCCGGTGAGTATCAGAACTCCCACTGTGACCCTCCCCACCCCGAGCCACTGTCCAGTGTTATCAGAGATGATTGTGTTTCCACAGGAATGTTGCTGTATACAGGTAGATAAACTAATCAGATCAGATCATCACGATATGACTGTCAGTGCTCTTAGAGATGGTTTGCTCCTAACACACACAGGCTGTGTAGTGAAAGCAGCAACATCGGCTTCAGTCCTTCATCAGTGTTTACACAGGAGGTATTCAGGTGCAATAAGGGGTGTAGGTATCCTGCCTTTTGGCAGTGCTCAGAGCCCAGTATACAATAACTTTCTATCTCTCTATCTTACTATCTGCAAAAAACAGCAGATCATACACATATATGTAAGAATTAAACACAAATGATCTGAGATGCTGAACTTAAACTTCCAAGTTTCCCTCAAGCCACAATTTTAACTTTCTAAAACTGTGGTGGTTACTTATGTTTTTTAAGTCTCTTACATCAAATAATTTTAAAGGAGAAACTTCACATGTTGGTGTTGGTTAGTTATGTGTGTAAAACAGAAGAAAATAGACCAACAGGTATATAAAGGTTAGAATCTCATTTTTTGTCATCTGGTTTAATTTGTATACCAGCCTGAAACAGTTCTACATCAAAGTCTGTCCTTATCCCAGCACATGGAAGCGTTTTAACCACAAAGCTGAGCTTAGTTTGCAGTTATTCTCAGTTCCATTTTCACTTAACCTTCCTATTTGAATATACTGCTACTTGAGAGGGCAAGTTAGTATCTACCCGCCCATATTTATATATACCTGAACAGCTTGTACCAGATTCCAACTAACCAGAGGAATCACTGGTGATGTGGCACTTTAATGTCTTTTCATCTCTTGTGTGTCTGTATTTGTAGGGCTCCCCGATGTTTGACCGTAAAGATGCCTGTGAATATGTGTTCATCTGGAGGACATCTGAGGCCTGCCCTATCAGGAAGTCTCAAGGTAAAAACAGTGACAATGTGATAAGAAATGTGGACACCAGTATTTTAAGGAGAAAACTGCAGCTATTTGTGCGATTATTTAATACTGATATTTGAAAATGTGACGTGACACGTGTGCATGTTTGGTGTGCATGTTTGGCCATTGTCCCAACTTCTCCTCCCAGGTGACGAATGCCGGGTTCGTGACCCACAGAGTGGCTACGAGTTCAACCTGAGCTCTCTGAAGGGAAGAGATTACCCCGTCCCGAGTGGTAAATACACCTACCACCTGTCGATCTGCGAGGGGCTCAAGAGAGGCGTCTGCACCCACAAAGACACGGGCAGCGACTTGGTCTCCTCCTGCCAGGCTGATGGAGACAACCACAAGATTGCAGGTATGGAATTTGCTGGATGTCCTGATCTTTTATTCACTATTTGTGTCATTGTTCTTGTATTTATCTCTTTTGTGTCTGTGTGTGTTTTCTCATGTGTGTATGTATGCAGGAATGGCCAACCAGGTCCTGAGCTACGTGGGAGACCAGCTCATCCTGAACTACACCAACGGAGAGACCTGTCACAAGATATACCAAAGATCAACAGAGATTTACTTCTCCTGCCACCCAGACAAGCATCCTGTGAGTTTACACATAAACACACAGACAGAAAATCAGCTGATCCCACAGCTGCTGATATAAATGACTGTTAGAAATTTCTAGGCAGACCTCATAAGAAATTTGTACATGGGGTAATGTGATGGAAAAGTAACATTTTGTTGTTTGTTTACACTAAAAATGAATGTGACCCAATCAGCTCTCTGTGCATATATTGTAAAAAAACGAAACAATACACATTCTCGTAGATCCAGATCTTTGTATTTGTGTAGTTTTAGCAGTGTTGCTGCACTGGAGCAGTTGGGGATGATTATTGGTGACTAGCTTGATAGCTAACTAGATAAAGGGGAAGTTGGAAGTCATTTTTGAACTTTTGACCAACCTAGGCTGGCAGTGTTAAGTCAAATCAGTTTTATTTATATATAACAATAATATTTTTTTAAACAATCTGTGCATGATATGACACCCTCTATCATTAGATCCACAGTTCACAAAAAATCTCCCAAAAAAAATGGAAGAAATCTTAGGATGAGCAACAGGAGAGGCACAGACAGAGAGAGATGTCAAGACATGTCCTGTGTATGGAATAAATCAACATAGTAAAATTACAGAATAGCTAGATTGTAAACATGTACAAAGAATATGATCCAAACCAAACCAAGCACCATAAACACAGAAAGGAAACACACAGAGAGGGGGAGAGAGAGAGAGAGAGAGAGAGAGAGCAACACAGGCAACATGCACAAAACGGATGTCAGCATCAGTATCTCATCTGACGGGAAATGTGGATCTTTCTTTCCCTCCAAAAGTCTCATTCTGTTAATTCAGTGTTTCCTTATATAAGGCGCAGAAGTGCATCCCAGCCCTTTAGTGGTGCTGACTTATTGTTTGTGTGTTTTGCTGCTTCACTTGTTAAGGGAGAACCAGCGTTCATCAAGGAGACTTCAGACTGCACCTACCTGTTCAACTGGCCCACCGCTCTGGCCTGCGTCCCAGTCAAAACCACCAGCTGCTCCTACAAGTAACAACCCTCCTCCATCCTCCTCTTGCGCCTTCCTTCTTTTTTTTCCCTTCCTCTCCCTCCTTTTTTTATGCTCACTTCTCATCCAGGTGTTTCTCATTTTACTTAAACTCTATGTGTACTTGTCCACTTCAGCATTGTACATTATGCAGAGTAACATTTATTACCTAGATTAATCAAAATACTATGAGCAACAGTTTATATAAACAAAGACAGTACAAGCAATAGGACACAGACATACAGCAGTTTATTAGCAGCAGCTATTCATTTATGATTAATGCTTGAATAAAAATATATTTGACCTTATTATCTGTGAACAATTTCTTAAAACAATTGTAACTTGAAGCCACAGATTTCCCCATTCATATGTTTCTGTGTGTTTTTGGATTTGTCAACATCTTACAAGGAAGTTTTCAAGGATCCATCTACTAACCCTAATCCTAACCTTAGAATTGATTTGAAGTTATTGCTGCTCATCTCCTCCAGTGACACTTGGATTGTTTTTTAATTGTGAGGTAATGAATCAGGGCAGGTACTTATACATAAGTATTTGTTTTTAGTCTTCATCTGCACCAAGCATCACAGTTACACTATGATCCACAGCTGGAAGATTAGCATATGGTTGCACTAAAATTCAACAAAAAATGTCTCTATTTGACCAGACAGCAATGACAATGTAATGATCAGCATTAAAACATGAACAGAAAAGTGGCTGTTTAGGAATCTGTTTAAACCTTGAACATGTGTGATATTGACCCTCCACCCTCTGTTTGTCTGGATGTTTCCTCAGTGATGGTCAGGGCCACTCGTACGACCTCTCCTCTCTGGCTATGGACTCTCAGAACTGGGAGGTGGAGACCTCCGCTGTGGACACGAAGAAACGATTCTACATCAATGTCTGCAGGTCGCTGGTGCAGCAGGGAGGTCAGTGTGTTCTTTACTTAAGCATAAACTTATACTTTATCTTGTAATAGGATTTTGATAGCTGTATCTGCTTTGTGCCAAGCCATAGTGACGTGTTTCTACTGTCACTGTCTGTACTTTGAGAGGTTCAGCCTTATTTTACTCTTTACTGATTGCTTGCAGCTGTATTGAAGTTGTGTTAAGCTACTTCTGATGCAAACTAAAGCTTTCCACATCAAAAGCTTTCCACTGGTGAACCGGCGGAATGCTTTTATTGTGAAGAAGTTATTGAAAAAGCAGTGTTTTCTCACCAAGTTAACATAAGCTTTGCTGGTGTTCAATAATAACAAGTCTAATCAATCATATTCTGTGCTGTTTGATCGGCAGATTAGTTTAAACATTGCGGTGTGGAAAAGTACAAACAGAAACAGCCACAATGAGCTGGATTGTTTATTTACTTATTTATAATTCGAGTTGCAATAGTTCATTTTGAAACTGAATTTTCTTTGCTCATCCTTATGATTTAATCATTTCACTGCCTTTCAGTTCTTTTAATGTTATAATAAAAGTTACATTCTTAAAAATAAATGCAGTAAAAATCCGACCCTCTGCTCCTCTTGTAACAGGTTCATGGAAGTGTCCCTCCAGTGCAGCGTCCTGTGTCAAGGTCGGAGATGAATATGTGAGTCTGGGGCAGGTGGACTCTGGCCCCACGTGGGATGGAAATATCCTGGTGCTGCAGTACACCAGTGGCGAGGCCTGCCCCGACGGACGCCGCACCAGGAGCAGCATCATCCGCTTCAAGTGTGACAAAGACAGAGTGGTGAGGGATACACTCTGCAAGTAACAGACATGATACGTTAGGGTTGGACAGAAACATAAAACTCCTGTAGTAAGAATTTGAGACTGTAGAACAATGCAGCTCACCTGCCTCACCCAGTAACATGATCAAATTAGTTTGGGTATTAAGGCTTTTATCGTGTTTGTCTAAATGCTGCAAGTCTGTATCTATATTTGAATATGATTTATTTGATATGAGCTTTTAGTCAAGATTAGATAATATTAGATAATATCAAAATATATTAGTATTAGGTTACACTGAAAAATGCAGTGAACTGCCAGGTCTGCTCTGGGCTCAGCTAAATGAGTTGGACATGGTTGAAGGGAAGCTAAAATTCCAGGGTGGTGCAGGACTTTATTAGGAATTAACTTAATGCTTCTACATTGTTCTTAATGTTTTGCTTAGCTCAGAATGTTACTACACCATTCTCGTAGAGACAGGTGTAAACACTTGGAATAAATACTGTGTGTTTATGTGAATAAAAACATAAATAGCAAAACTGTGTTCCTGTCCCCCATCCAGGACTCCCGGCCCACTCTGATCTCTGCCCTCGAGGAGTGTGTCTACACCTTCCTGTGGTTGACAGCTGCTGCCTGCCCTCTAAACAGCACTCAGCATGACAACTGCAGGGTCACCAACCCAGCTACAGGTCAGACACTCTGCTCTGTACACACCGTATATACACATACCTGTTACCTGTATGTTATATCATTTTACTGTCTGGGGACAATAGAAACTGGAAAACTGTGGAGTGAAAGAGCTCAGTAGTTGTTAGTGGAGTGTATGGGGATGTAGAGGAATAGAGGAGTATTAGTATTTGTATAAAATGGGACCTTTAAAAGTGTCTCATGTTGAACTTTTGTCCCCCAGGTCATTTGTTTGACCTGAACGCCCTGACGAAGGAAGGTGGTTACACCGTCGCCGATCATCAGGACCAGAGGAAGACGTTCCACATGAACATCTGCGGAAACGTGGCCAACACCGGATGCGGCCCTGATACCGGTACGTGCGCCCACCCAAGTGACCCTGCATCTTTTAGGTGTTTATTATTTAGACTGACATAGAAAACAAACACCACGTTATCACCTACATCATGTGCTCAAATAGAACAGTAGGCTAAATTATACACATTGCATTAGTGTAATGGAATAAAGTTTTTATCACGTTTCAATGAACAGAAACTGCAAAGGACATCATGTTAACATTTCAACTCTACCCTGTGGTTCTGACTGGTGCAGCGAAGCTCCATTGATTTTCAGTGGGAGTTTTATAGACTAAAGCTGCATAGTGAAAACTACTCTATGTGTGCAGGGAAACCCACAATCATTCATTCCTGTGGGAGTTTTGATGAGGATATTTGCACTATGAGAAGCTGTTTAATCCTTATTTTAACATTATAAAACTGAGAAAAAGCAGAGTAGAGAAAAAAATGTTTTTGTGGAGGTAACAACATCAAGCCAAACTGAAAAAAAAAACTATCACAAATCACATTCTTTAACATGGGGGATGGATTAATGTTTTGTGTTGCTCACGCATGTGGATGGATTATGTAACACTGACATGCGTCACGGCTGTTTGTCAACTGCATCACACAGCACCTGAGGGAACATAATGAGAGACCTGAAAGCCCAAATGATTGACTGCTGGTTTACCAGGGTGTAGTAGATGATGCACAGTAAACTGACAAATTCACTGACAGAGCACAACCCTGGGCCAAGGCTGCTCATTAAGTCTGAATATGTAAATTCCAACTATGGGAATATTTAGAAATGTTTAATCCACATCTGGAATGGCATCAAAATGTCTAGTAGTAGACAATTATAAGATGCTTATAGGATACAAGTGCCAGATATTTTTAAAATTAAAATAGTTGATGAGAAAATGGCAAACATTTTCATCATTTGCATATTTTGCAATGTTGAAAAATCACTTATCATTAGAAAATAAATCCTGGATTCTCAACTGGATCTTGATCACTTACTCATTGTTTCATAACCGAACCATCTGCCGAATGTCACTGAAATCTGTGAGATATGTCATACAGACAAACGAACAGGTCCAGGGAGGTGAATATAATCACTTGTATGTGTTTGTTTTTTATTTAATTCGAGCGAGCAGTAAGTGGACGTACAGCTGTTGACCATGAATGTAGATCATAAATGTGCTGTAAACCTTTTGCATTCTCCAACATCCATATGCATATTGTGTTATAGCTGTGTGCATTGAGGATGCCACCACAGCGGTGAGCGGTGGTCAGGTGAGCAGGAAACTCTCATACAAGGATCATGTTGTGGAGCTGATGTATGAAGGAGGAAATCCCTGCCCGGCGAACCCCAGCCTCAAACACAGCACCATCATCCAGTTTATCTGCAGGTACCTCTCCTCCTCCTTATCTTAAAAGATGCAGATTACTTAATTCAAATCGATGTTTTGACAACAGTGAAAATCCTCATTAGGTTTTTCAGATTTATGAGTTTCTTGTGTGAAGGCAACAAAATCTTGACGTTAGCTCTGTGTGCTTAGCTTTGGATATATGCATCCTGCAAATTTCATATACTATACACTCAGTTGGCAGTTTATTAGGTACACCCAGCTAAAACTAATGGAGTTTTGATGTATTGATGCACACTGAAGGACTTGGCACCATTTGGGAGAAATCAGCCAAATACTTTTCTTTGAACTTTTTTCCAGTAATCTTTTGACATTTGTTTCATCTTTCAGCTATTTGAAACGTACAGTATGCTGATATTTTGCAGAAACACCAGTAATATAATTGTCTTGTTAACACTGCACTGTCAATAACTAATAGTTACAATATGTTCCTGTAGGCCATCTAACATGGGCTCAGCCCCCGCAGAGCCAGTCCTCATCGACTCCGAAACTGAAACCTGCACACACTTCTTCTCCTTCCACACACACCTGGTCTGTGAACAGCCTGTAAGTATCTTTGTGTATTTGTCAGTGCATTACGTCAGATTACACTCACTCTAAAAAGTAAATTTTTTTTATCAAGGCTTACCCATCCAACACAGTTCAGAAATAACTGAAAAGGAATATGTTGTCATCAGTGAATTAATGTGCAGAATGACACTAAACCTGATTTCAGCCTGTGTTTGCATGTGTGTGCAGGGATAGGTTCTGTAACCATCAGCTGAACACATACAAATGTTTTAGTCACTCACAGTCATACAGATGTTACTATCACTCAGTCATACAGATGTTACTATCACTCAGTCATACAGATATTACTATCACTCAGTCGGACAGATGTTACTATCACTCAGTCATACAGATATTACTATCACTCAGTCGGACAGATGTTATAATCACTCACAGGCATACAGATGTTCTTGTTAACACACACAGGATGCTGTGACTTGGTGCAGCTTTTATCTTAAGAAGTTATTTCCACATCTTCAAGTGTAGAATAGATGGACAGAGGCTTTATTGATCTTAAAGGAATTTAAAGGTGCATTCTTTTTCAAATTAGCACTGAATTGACCATTTCACAGAGCAAATTGAATTTCAGCTGCGTCTAGCCTGCAGGTCGACTATAATCAGCTTCTATAGACTTGTCAAGGATAATCAGAGGAGGCAGGAATGCAGAATTACATTTCTTTGGTGCAGTAGAAGCGTGGGTTTGTCTCTGACTCACTTGTTCCAAAATACTTCTTAAAAGTCAGGAGCATTTAGAAGAGCAAATATTAGGAGAAAACGATGCACAGTCATTGTGTAGTCGATAAAAGAGTAATAACATTACAGTAGAAAATGTCTGAATTCCTTTACTTTGGGTTTGGCTTTCTGAAGCCTGAAAACTCTTATTGTTCAGGGTTCAGTTCCTTTTTCCTTTTTCCCTCAGGTAAAATGCTCAGTGGAAAACGGCTCCTCTCTTATAGACCTGACTCCTCTGATTCATGTCAATGGGTACTACACAGCAACAGGTCAGTGAGCCAAGGTCTCACATCTAACCACTTAAATACAGATATCACATGCCTTTCATGCAGTAATGGAGCTCTAAATGTGAAACAATATGCATCATGTCAGTGTGCTTCCCTTTCTCTCCTCCACTGTTGTCCCTTCAGACGAAGCAGTAGACCAAAGTGATGGATCTTCAGACTTCTACATCAACATCTGTCTGCCCCTGAACCCCATCCCTGGGGTCAACTGCCCCCCTGGAGCTGCTGTCTGTATGGATCCTGATAGTGGACCACCAGTGGTGAGACACACTGACTAATGTTGTCCTTTATACTGTTTTCAGACCAGGTAGATGTGGTTTGATGTCAAAGTTGTAAGTTCAGACATCTCTAGATTTTGTGAGTGACTGTTTGTTATCCAGTCAGCAACACGTGACCCATTCAGAGAAAATTGGAGGCAAATCATGGTGAAAGAAGACGTGGGAAAATGTGTTTCTGTTTCCTTTTTTTTTTTGATGATGATCCTTCTTTCCCTTTTGTCTGAAAATCTTTTTTCCTCTAATCTCTTTCTCCTTCTCTCTCCTTCTGTCTCTTCAAGGATATTGGACGGACGACCAGCGGCCCTGAGATCGACAGCGCAACAGGAGAGGTGTCCATCACTTATTACAGCTCCACCAAGTGTGCAGAGGACCCTGCACAGAACTACTCCTCCACCATTATCTTCACCTGCCAGAGAGGCCTGGAGCTGGTCAGTCAGCACTTTCTATGTCCCTCACATGCACCGGCACTGTTGTTTTTATTTGTGAACAAATTAGTGACTAATTACATGTCTGTATCCAGGGCTCTCCACGAATGGTGAGGCTGGAATGTATCTATTTGTTTGAGTGGGCGACTCCTGTAGTCTGTTCAGATGACACCCACATCAGCGGCTGCCAGCTCACTGACACCCAGCTCCAGTTCACCTTTGACCTTTCACCACTTAAAAGTGAAGTCCAGGTGAGATTACGTCCCAGTAACTCGTGACTCTAGGTGAACCTGGATATTCCCTTCATCTTGTTAAATACATTCTGTCAAGGTGTAGGTTAGAAAATATGGTGAATCCAGTTATTTGGGTATTTTTCGTCTGGTGGTCTAGACTGTGTGTGTTTCTATGTTATCAGGTACCAGGACCGTCCAGCATGTACCACATCAGCGTGTGCGGCTCAGTGTCGGAGCCGGCCTGTAAGAAGAGTGCAGTTTGCCGGGTGTCTGGTTCCGGTGCAGACAAGTCGGCTTCGTCATTTGGCATCTCCAAGTTCATGACTATGAACTACAGACATGAAGAGCAGGCCGTACTGATGCAGTATGGTGAGGGAGATCCCTGCCCACCAGGTGAGTCTGCTGCGCTCGCCTCGTTTACAAAAAGGCTCACGATGAAACGCTCATTTCCAACGTGGTCACAGGATGTTATAAGTCAAAACACAAGACATGCTATGTAAAACTACCTAATGATATCCTGAAATCCAACATTACATTGCCACAATTTAAATAAGAAATGCCCACTTCAGAACACCTTAGTACAACAAGGACTATTTAATAGTCAAGAGTAAGAGGAAGAGTCAAAAGTAAAAATGAGGAGGAACAGGGCCGTGTCCTTGAATAACTGAAGTTAGCTTTGATTTATGATGAAATGACAAAAACATAGATTTTTAAGTTCTTTAAAGCTTAAAAATGATCTTGAGCTGTCGGAGCAAAACCTGCAGAAGCTAGTGCATTAACCAAGATTGTTTTGGGTGAACCCCTTTAAACTCCTTATTGAACCTCATTAAGTTTAGTTTTCATCGTCTGCAGGTTATTAAAGTTATTATTAACTGAACTCAAAGATTCAGTTTGGATCAATAACATTGATTAAACGAAAATAATGAATTTTCACAACCTGCTGCTCCAAAATGAAAATGAGCTGAGCAGCACAAGATCTGAAATGTTGATACAATGAAACATCTGATATTTCACAAACTACTTGATCCGAACAACGGAGGTATAAATGAGCTGCTAACGTTACCTGCCTATTTTTAACATTGGGTCTTTCCTAATAAACAAAAACATGTAGAGATAAAAGGTTTGGTAAGAGAGTCATGTATGATCACCAGTTCCTTTTCTCTCTACTGAAAACCCCCCCTGCCTTTGCTCTCTCTCCTCCAGCCTCTGGTAAACGTCAGTCCTCCATATTGTTCACCTGCGACCAGTCTGCGGGCAGCGGCTCTCCACAGCTGCTCTCAGAGACGGCAGGTTGTTCGGCCACTTTCCAGTGGAAGACCAGTGCCGTTTGCCCCCCAAGGAAGATGGAGTGTAAGCTGGTCAGCCAGCATCAGACTTTCGACCTTCGAGCGCTGTCCTCCCTCACCGAGCCATGGAAGTTTAGCCACAGCGGAGATTCGTAAGTTTAGCTAAGTTTCCATTGTAACTCTTTCTTTTAATCATAGGTTTAGTCTTAAATATATTAATGCATGCTCTTCTTTTATCTTCATTCCAGAAAGAATTGAGTTAGAAACGAAGTAAATGAAGCTGTTTATGCATCAAAATCTAAAATACAGTATAAAATGAAATAAATACAGAGGATATTTCAGCAATAATAACTTTCCCTGCTTCACAACAGAATAGATACCAGACAAAGAATAAAAGGTCATATTGGAGAAAACATTGTGAATTAGAAATATTCTGTACCTAAAGCTTGATCTTGATGCTTCATTTCTAGTCCTGAGTTTATTTCAATATGACACCCTGTCCTGTTTTTACATCCTCAGGTATTTCATCAACCTGTGTCAGGGTATCCACGGCGGACTGCCAGGTTGTCCAGAGGGAGCAACTGTGTGTCAACACTCAGCAGCAGGACAGACTCACACCCTGGGCCGAGTTTACACCCAGAAAATGAGCTTGACTGGTGGGTGATCAAGTCGAACACACCCCAGGAAGCTTAATGTTCAATAGGATTTTTAAAAGGGCCAATAATGATATAAATGTTTGGTGCTGAAATTCATATCAATTTTAACCTTTTTCTCAAAGGAATTTAACAAATGTTATTGATGAGGCATTTTTTCTCAATGGGATATTTCACAACTCAGACTTAAACTGACAGCAGTGCAGCCATTGAGGTAAACAGTCAAATATAAATCGATAATTAGATGAATATATTGAATGGTATTTTTTCCTTCTTTCTTCTTTCCCCTCTCTACAGATGGAAAGATCTCCGTCAGTTATTCAGCCGGAGATGACGTCTGCGGTAACGGAGTGAAGGCGAAGACTGTGATCCAGCTGAGCTGTGGCTCCACTGTTGGACACCCAGCGCTCATCAGGTAACACGCACACACAGTTTTGTATTTTCAGCCTGACTAGCCAGAGATCGAATTTGTTAGGATAAAAGCTTTGAGATATTATTTACAGCCAATTTGAATAATAAAGTAAATATCAAATAAGGACGCGAAAGAAATTGAATGAAGCACAACAGGATTTTTTTTTCTCTGGGTCAAAATCTGCATCATTACCTACAGATCTGGTATCTTGACAACTACATGTGATGCTCAGACAGACAGACAAAGCACATTCCACAGTAACATTCATTGACTCTGTGGTTCAGCTTCTCTAACTGCCAGTTAACAGCAGAACTGTTTCGTCTTTAAAAGTTAAACCTCTTCTGGTTAAAGTTTCATTTGAGCTGCTTTGCCAAACATTTGTTATTTCTCAGCAGACGTCATGTCGTTCACAGCCATGAGTCTGTTAGATTGAATACAAGTGATTCACACTGACAAAGTGTTAAAATTGTCGTTTTTCCAGCTCCGTTGTTTGTTAATGTTTTTCTTTGTATCTCCTCGTTTACATTGATCAAAAGTAGTTTCAATAAAAATTATACATTAAAAAGTTTATGTACTTTACTGCCACAATAAACTCCCTCATGTTTTATTTGTTTAGTTTTTTTTCATCCACTGCCACAGTTAGTCGTGCTCTTTGGTTATGGTTTTAAATTCACTCCAGCAGTTAGATTGGACCTAGAAATATCAAATCTAGAAATCTAGTTTTCTAAAGTGTGCAGTCTGCAGCGGCGCTAAGAGTATGTCATCTGTGTGTGTGCATGTGTCTGTGTGTCTGTGAACAGTGTTGATAAGGCATCGTGCGAGTTTGTGATTGGGTGGGAGACTCGGTCGGCGTGCGCGGTGAAGCAGCGTGAGGTGGAGATGGTGAATGGGACGATACAGGTTCCTGACACTGGGGCCAGACTCAGCCTGGGAGCGCTCTACTTCAGGTACCGTGAGCACACACTCCACCTGTCCAGCTCTGTCTCACTCTCCAGGTCAAATGAACATGTCATTTTTAGTTTAGTAAAGGGAAGGGGAAATACTTATCTGTGAACTCTTTTTTACCCTCCTTCTCCTCTCAGCCACCATCAGGCATCTGGAGACATCCGTCCCAACGGCGACCGCTATATCTACCACATCCAGTTGTCTGGCATCACCAACAACTCCTTGTCCAGCTGTATTGGTGCCAACATCTGCCAGGTGAAGCTCAACGGTCCGTACAGACGCAGGATCGGCTCCTCCAGCAAAGCCAAGTACTACATTAAAGGTCAGTTACTGCACAGTATAGCATCACGTTTCCCCAACTGGCCCCTGTCTCTCCATCTGTACTTATTAATGACGTGGTATTTCATCGACCCCTCTGCTTCTCCATCAGGAGGAAACCTGGATGTGATGGTGCCCTCTGAGTCTGAGTGTGGCCGGGAGAAAACCAAAATGGTGTCATCCACCATCATGTTCCACTGCAACCCCTTGGCAGGCGTCGGCATCCCTGAGTTCATGCTGGAGACGGATGAATGCCAGTATCTGTTTGTGTGGCACACGAACGCCGTGTGTGGTCTGACGTGAGTGAACACTCACCTGTACCGGACATAAAACATCTGGAATATAAATTTTACTCCATACAACACAATTTAAGATGGAAGAAATGGCAAATATATATGATATGTTTCTGTCCTGCAGAGCTGTTGATGCGCGGTCATACGACGACGACGGCAGCGACACTCCAGCTCTTTCCAGGCGGAGCCAGGCGATGGGGGTGGTGCTGAGCCTCCTGATGGTGGGTCTGTCTGTCTGTCTGCTGGGGCTTTTGCTCCACAAGAGAGAGAGAAGGTGAGGCCACAAGTCTCCATTGGCTGGATTGTGTTTATTTATTAATTTATTTTGATTGAAATTAGTAGAATTTAGAATTAGAATTTAGTTTTGCTGAATGTTTTTATACATTTCTTGTGTCTTTCCAGGGAGCTCGTGATCCAGAAGGTCGCTGGCTGCTGCAGGAGAGGAAACCAAGTCTCCTATAAATATGCCAAGGCAGGTTGATCAAATGAATGAATGAATGAATGAATGAATGAATCTGCCTCTGAGTCAGCCCTATATTTTGCTTCATGCACTAACTTGCCTTTAAATCTCAGGTCAACATGGATGACGAAGGGGGCGAGGAGGAGATGGAGTGGCTGATGGAAGAGCTCGAAGCCCCTCCCACGTCCTCCTCCTCATCGTCTCACCGGGGCAGGAGTAACCATGGCAACGGTCACATCAGGACCAAGCCGGTGAACACAGACGGTCTGCGCTCGTTCACGCTGGACGACCAGGACGACGACAGCGAGGATGAGGTGCTGAGCGTCCCGGGGGTGCAGGTGGTCAAGTCGTCCGGACTGTCGAGGCACTCCGTTGCTCATCGCAGCGCCTTCCTACAGGTGAGCGTCATCTCCGCATCAGTCCAGGTGTTACTGTGTCTCAGCTCGATGCTCAAAACCAGAGATGTCCTGTTCAAGTCCTTTAATGTCGTGCATCCAATCCGATACTTATATTTACCTAAATGTTGAATGAATATGTGTCATACCTGAGAACAACCAAGTTCACCCGTGGCTACTCACAGAATTAATGTTAATTACCAACAGCTTATGTGACCTTTTCCAGAGAATTGAGTTGTCTGAACAGCTGATAGCATTGGTCAGCGCAAGCTTAAAACAAGAAGCTGCTACTTGAATGTTTGTATATCAATCTTTGCTGATTAGAAAGCAAGAAAATGCATGTACTTGCATGGACACAAATGCAGAGTAGTGGTCTTTGAGGGGTCCAAAATTTCAACCCAATCTGAAATGGACCTGTAGAAAAAAAACCCAGACCCAACATGCACAAATTCATTTTCATAAAAGTGAGACCTGATCCGAGGTGGGCCTGAGAAAAGCCAGACCCAGTTCATTTGACCAATTGACAAGGAGCTGTGGTAGAAAAGAGCAGCAATATAATAATTCATCAGAACAAAGCTCCAGCGAGCTGTGAGGATCAAGGTTCTCGTTCAGGCCTCGAAACACACCTGAAACCACGTACCTTTTGGATCCACTCATGTACTGGACTTGTTGAGACACAGACCTGAGACCCTGCCCGAGCCGATCAGACTGAGTGCTATCTGGTTCCACTCATGAAGACCTCCACTGCAGAGCGCTGCTGTCTTGAACCAGCAGCAGAGATAATAAAGGATCAGATTCTGATCAGGTGTATTTTAGCTGATACTGATCTTTAGGATCAGCTCTACTGAAAACCTCACGGAAGTCTTTCTTTTCAGGAGGAGAGTGACGAGGACCTGGTCGGCCTCCTGGACGACTCGGACCGGAAGCGGAAGAGCAGCAAACCTCGCTCCTCAGCCTTTAACCTCGGTAACAACACGGCAGCCAACAGGAAACGGGACGAGGATGACAGTGACGAGGACCTCCTTAGGGTGTGATGTCACTTCCTCCCTCTCACTACCCACCTCCCATCCTATCTGAACTCTTTTTCTCTCAGTGAATGTCTCCATAATAGCAACAACAACAACAGTGAAATACCAACAACACAATGAAAGCAGAAACCTTTCCTCTTTTTTTGGGATTTTTTTTGTTTTTTTGTTTTGGGACTGCACCTTTACTCGGCCTACTCAGACTCTATCCAGTCCACTGTCTACAGACTGTCGATGTTAGCACATGGTGGTATCTTATTTATTGATAGCTGATTATTTAAAGTGTTCTTCAGGCCATTTTTTGACCTGCACCCTATTTTTCTCATATTTTCTTCTTTAATTCTGAACTGAAATAATTTGCTTCACTATAGCTACTTCAGTTACGCCACATTTATCTAATCAACATCCGACAGGCCAGTTGAGACTTTAGGAATGAACCCTGACGTATTGACTCTGCAACGAGACGTGTCAGTGAAAAAGATGTAAATGAAAATGATATCCATCTTTTCCTCTAGTGTTTGGAAATGAAGCTGTGCCATTGCTTTAGCACTTTATTGTAGCACTGATTAGCTGAAAATGACACGTTTCATTGCAGAAGGCGACAGCTACTTTTGGGGTCGTTCTTTTTATTATTATGTCCATCGGCCTGGACGTTAAAGGACAGTATTAGAAAACTGTGGTGAAGTGTACAGTTGAATAGTGGAACAATGAAGCAGGTTTTGGGAGAAAAACAATAGCTATCAAAGGAAGCTCTCAGCTCCCAGGACGTAGGCAGAGAAGGTGTCGGCTTGTGTTGTTTCTAAAGGGAATGAAGACACCCGTTTGTCTTTTCTTGCTGTTTACAGTTGCTATAATAGCAGATCTTTTCTCTTTCTTTCCCCTCGAAAAGAAAAGAAAGCACGATGCCTTCCTGATGATGAATTTACTTTGCATTTTCATCAATGAATCATGTCCGGCGACAGATTGATTTTTTTTTTTTGTCTTGTGTTGATCAGAGACATTGTACATAGATGATAATGTTCTATAATATGGATGTTTTTGTTTGTTTGTTTGTTGTCTTCACTGGTGAACTGCTCACACGTTTGTTTTCAAGATTATTTAAATGGTTGTCTGAGCTGATTATCTGTATGTCTCTGTGTTTTGTGTGGAAATAGAGATGGCCTTATGTGTGAATGGACGGTGGACGGAGGCGAAGAGTGAAGCTTGAGATGTTAGTTTAGGTTGTGTTGGTTTTGAAGCACCCCACCCCCCACCTCCTCCCTCCCGCTAAAGCCATATTTCCTCAGCCACCACTGGCACTAATGACTGGGAAGTTGGGAATTTTTTTCTCTGCTTGCACGCTCTTGTACATTACAGGCTGGTTTGTTTTGGTCTGTGACGGCGGATGTTGCTGTGTCAAAAGTGAGATTTTAACTCGGTAAAGCCAAGTTTTTGTAGTGCCGAAATCAGCCCCTTTTTAGCCAAATGCATGTGACGATAAGACAGAAGAAAGACATGAAGCATTGATATATGAAAAATGCAGGCGATTGACTTACATTTAACACATTTTCTGCTTAATAATCAAACTAGCGCTGCCACAAAGGATGTCAGGAACGATGGAAGACCCATGGCTCAGCTGTGTGGGTAGAGTTTGTGATTTTATTGCTTTCTAAAAATGGAATCAAACTGACTGCGGTGTTCTCACATCAGAGTGGTGAGGAAGCCTACACAGTATAAGCACACACAGTATTTGGGCGCCGTCTCACTTGGTGGGTGGTTTTCATTTATTCCCACCCCAAACGATTGTTTTAAAGGTCATTAAAAATTAGGTTACAGACAAACACAAACTCGACTTTTACCCCAGTGCAGCTTTTGTAGAAATGTTTAGAAGTGTAGCGGAGCAGCTTCAAAACGAATCAAACTCAAGCTCCTGTCATTTTGAGTCTGTGCTGTGCGCAGTGTTTGATCTCCTCTGGTGCGCATACCAGTGAAGAACATATTAAGAAATAGTGTTTTCCAAGGTTGTAACTAGCAACTATTTTCATTATTGATTAAACAGTTGATTATTTTTTCAATTAATAGACTATAAAATGTAGTAATAGCGAAAAACGCTCTGTTTACTCTGACGGTTTCAAATGTTTTTTTCCCCCAAGCATCAGTCCTATAAATGAAGAAAACAACCTTGGGAGAGCAGCCATTGATCCGTAGACACCAAAAGTAGGGCACTTACAACAGACTCTGTATGTTTATTATTACATGATGATTACATGAGGGTGAATTCGCTTCTCTCAGTATTCAGTCCACATAAACTAGAGTTAGTAACAGACGTGATGTCATTGCTAAAAATCTCTTAACCAATCAACAAGGAAAGTTCACCATTCAGGGTATTTCTAAAGCTTTTTACACAAATTTGCTAATCAAGTTTTTTGTAAGATGCCACTTGTCCAATACACAGACAAAATGACAAAAAAAAAAATCTAAAACTGGCATTTGCATTGGAAACATCAGTGTTTTATATGGAGGAGATGGGTTGTGCCATTAAAGTGAAATTAAACACCAACGAATACAAAACATCATCATTATTCTGGTCCCTCTGCTAAAGGTTTCAGTCACTGAGATCACAAACTAAACTGGATCTTTTTGACTCCACAAAGATCATGAAAAACTGAAGCTTTGTTTACATCTTGCTCTAAAATCTAACTTCTCATGTTATAAGTTAATGATTCGAGCTCTTCATAGAATAACCATGTCATTAAGCTGCTGATCTGAAATTATGACGTGCTTTACCCAAAGTAAAATCACCGATGGGTTTCCAAAGAAAGGTAAAATAACTGCAACGAAATGTCAACAATCCATAACTGAAATATGATTAAAAGTTCAAATTGAGCCTGCTGACGTGACGGACATTTTTGTTTTAAAATTTTAAACATTTTCATTTATTCAAGCATGTGGAGTTTCCGATAAAATAAAACCTCAGCAGTCTTTCTGAAATCACTTCACAATCTCGACCTGATCAGGAGGAGGTTTGAACTAGGATGAAAAGCGTCTACCTGTGTTTGACACTTTGTGACTCATCTCTCCTGAGGAGACGTCGTAGCACTCCTCATTACAGAGAAGCAGATGGTACCGTGAAGTCGTTTTTTTTTTCCATCGTTGCATAACGTCTGTTTTCTTCTGTATTTAGCACCAAAGTTTGTGTGGCTCATCTGCATGGTACTGTACTGAACCACCTCTTTCCCATGAAGATATGAATGGACATTCTTGTGCTTTTTTCTGTCATCACTCGAGCAGAGAACTGTTTTGGGTTAGGTGAAACTAATTCCATTTCTGAGAGCGAGGTTGAGAGCTACATTCTCAAGCCGACAAACAAGCTGCCAGAATACAGTGACTTGAAAAAAAAAAAAAAAAAAAAAGCACAAGAAATTTTCTGTGATGATTCGGTACTATGGGAGATCATTATGTTTTAGTTGGTGTAAGTTATGTTGTCTGATATGTTTTTCAGCTCTTTGCCTGTTTTCCTATTTAAAAAAACATTGATGTAAAAAATATTACATTATTTGAATAAATAAGAGATCCGCTGTTTATCACTGGTGTGGTTTCATTACATTCTGTCACTAATAAGAAAGAAAGGAAGCAAAGAAAATAGACATGTCCTGTTCCCAGATAGCAAAAGGAAACTTCTGGCCCAACATGTGTCTGCGTCCCGGCCCAAGTCTGGCCCATATACTTCCACATCTGGGCAGATCTCCAGCTGTTACCCTTCTGTATTGTCTGACAGCCAAAAGATTTTCTGTGTGTGTGCGCCAGAATTGGTCCAGATGTGGAAGTATCATCTGACAATCAGTCTGTGTATGGGCCAGATTCGGGCCGTGGAACCGGGAGTGAACTGGCCCAAGTATGGGCCGGATTTATTTTGCTACCTGGACTTGACTTATCTGGAATGGCTTCAGGTTTAACTTGGACTTGTCTCAGTGGATCTGAGATTTGACTTGGACCTGACTCAGAGGACTTAGATTTGTCTTGAATTACTTGTGACTTAACTTAAACGTATCCGGATGGACTTGACTTGCACTTGTCTCAAAGATCATTCTCAGCGCTTAAATCTGCTGCTTTTCTCGTTAGAAGCTGTCTCTGTGTCTGCAAAATGACAGGTTTCACTTTAAGTGTGATTTCTTCAGAGGACAATTAAGGATAAGTTTTCCTGTCTATTCTAGTGCCATCCATGAAGAATATGATGTATTTCATGCTTACATGTCCTAAAGTTATCAGTTACACCTGAGCATGCAGTTATGTTATGGTGAGTCTTAAAACATTGATTTGTCATGAAGGACTCGATACTTGACTTGGATTTGTCTCAAATAACGCAACATTTGATTTAGTCCAGTCTCAAGACACTTTAGATTTTACTCTAACTTGTCTTGAATAACTTGACACTTGACATGCACTTTCTTAAACGCTTTACACTCGACTTAAACTTACCGTGAAGCACTAGAGATGTGACTTGGACTTGTCTTGAATGACTTCACCTCAACGTTTCTCAAAGAAGTTGAGACTTGACTCGCACTTGTTTGGAATTACTTAAGACTTGACCTGGTCTTGTTGTGAAGATTAGACTCAACTTGTCTGTAATGCCTTGAAGCTTGACTTGGACTTGCCCCAAAGACATAAAGACAGCTCTGTCAGCTATTGCTGAATAAGTTAAATCAAAGAAATCATTTTATAAAAACTGTACTGTTTCATTCTTCTCAGACTGGACAGACCAGTTCACCCTCTACTTGTAAATATTGTCTCTTCATCTGGGGCTGCTTCTTCCAACAAAACTGCAGGGACTTTGAAAGAGAAGGTGTAACACAAGCACCATACCCTTCAAAACCATTGCACCAGCTAAATTGATATAGCAGCAACTTGTGATGGTGATGGTGTCTCTCCCTCCACTCAAGAGCAACTTTTTGAGGCCTTTCCTGAGCTCCAGAAGAAGCAGCTTTGCAAAAAAAAAAGAGATTTGGCAGTTGCATCATATTTCAGTCAGATTAATGCTTAACAGATTCCCACAAACCACATTTAAATGTTGACTGATTGACAGCATCACTGACTGTGTGCACATGTGCATGGGATGCAAGAGACAAGCTGCACAAGCCATGTTGTGTGCGTTTATGTTAATGAATCCCTGGGCATGCGGTGGTGGAGGCTTTTCTTCCACGCAGTCTGACGTCTGAAAAAAGTGATAGGAAACTTGTTTTTAATGCCCCACTGCTCTGCAGGTTCAGTGACAACGTCTGTCAGTGGACCTTTGCTCCTGCTGGTCCTGTTTAAAACTGTAGAGGGATGCTCAACATGCTGTCCACTCTGGCAAGGCTGTAGACACTTTGACACTGTGATAGAAACTGGTCAGAGTTGTTTCTTGCAGTTGTTTAGAGAGAACAAACCAACATTTCTGCAACCATGACCACTTTTGACGACATATTGGAGGAAGCTGGGAAGTTCGGCCGCTGTCAGAAGCGGATCTTCGCCCTGCTGTGTATGGTGTCCATGCCTTGGGCCGGTGTGTACGTCGGCATCGTCTTCCAGGGTTTCACCCCGGATCACTGGTGTCGGGACTCTGCGGTGGTGGAGAGGAGGCAGGCGTGCGGCTGGAGCCTGGAAGACAGTCGCAGGCTGACGGTGCCTCTGGTCAACAGCTCTGGGGTGCTGCAGCAGAGCAGCTGTGAGCAGTACAAGGTGGACTGGAACAGCACAGGACTCACCTGTGACACCCAGGAACTGGACCTCAGCAAAACTCCCACAACAGCCTGCAAAGAGGGCTGGGAGTACGACTACGAGGGCAGACAGTCCTTTGTTACTGAGGTAAGTAAGATGTGACAGAATAAAAGTGAAGCAAATAAAACCAAACTATTTTAGGATAAGTCCCTTTCAGTCTCTGATTAAAACGTACTTTTATCATTGAGCTTCTCCTGGTTTCACCTTCCCCTGAAGAGTTTTATTTCTCTTAAAATCACTCTGCTGTTTTTTATGCTCTTGGTTGTTTTAATTGTTCTATCTGTTCATTGCTTTGAAATATATTGATTTGATCGATTCTGTTTTATTTCTACCGTTGCTGAGCACTTTGTAGTTACGTTTTGAAGGTGCTCTATAAAAAAAGAACATAATGTTATTATGATTAGGATAATAGAAACCTATGAAGTCAACAATACAGTGCATATTATGCAGCTAGGAATATAGCATGATTCCCACTAAAGGATCATTTAACATTTAAAGCTAATATGTACATA